CTGAGTGCAGCGTAATACTAAACTCACTCACTCACTCTAAGTTGGAAGACTGATCACAGGAAATCAGCTAGTCTGTCTCACAGTCACTGAAGCGCGTTATTTTCCTTTCAGACTAGAAGTAATTGTTTGTTTCTATCAAAGTTATATCTATTCAGAGACTAAGCGTTAGTCTAGAAATCAGCTATCAAGATGTGGATAATGGGAGGGGTATGCAAGGGCAGGCGGCAGGATATTTTGGGGCAGAGTCATGGCCAGGTCAGATAACAAACTGGTAACCTAGATTGAGGTCCTATATCCCCTGGTCTTTCCGTCAGTGTTTCAAAATTAATTTGTTCTATGAACACTGGAGGAAGGCGACAGTTTTGGAGATAATACATTGTTTTTTACATTACCAGGAACTATTTTTATTTTGAAGATAAAACGCGAGGGCAAATGATAATTTTTAACCATTTAGTGCATCACAACAAACATTTGGGGTGGATTCCCTACAAGAGTAAAATAAGTTCGGTAAGTTTTGAAAATGCAAAGACTTGATGATAATTTAATATGCATTAACGCAAAGTATTCTTCAAAAACATCATTTACATAAACCCCAATCATCAAATCAACTGGACAGAGTACACAATATTGGCAACCAACCAACTTGACTTTACCAAACGAAAAGTAACCGAAGCCACCCACATCTAACGACACCGACCCCTGATCAATAGAGATCGATGAACTGCTTGTATAAACTTTCAACATGTCCAACTTCTCCCTTGTCACTGGCAGCTACATGTAATCCCTTGTCATCACGTTGTTACTGATGTTGTTTATCCATAAAGGTTTTCCTTATTTCACATAAATGTACATAACAAAATTAATGATTATCGTTACGATAAATTATATAAAAGAAAAATGATAAAACATGCATAAACAGTAAGTAACCAGTCGCTAATTATTCTGACACGCTGTGCAAGCATGCCATCACATACAATTAAACATTGTACACGTCCTGTGCGTTTGTAACCTATGCAGCACAGGCGTTAATTGTTATTTTCTTAGTTTAAGCTAGATTAAAATTCCAGTCCAAATTCCAATTACAAGGTGTCTGATATTTTGACAGATGCACTTACCATCATATACTTGAAGACATTTCTACAAACCAATTTTCCTGAAAATATCATATTCTGCCACGTTCTGTTGTCCCATTAATAAACAGGTCAGTATATTGTATCTTTGACCCATTTACGGCTAGCTACGGAAATTACCGAGCGGCAAGTGCTTGCCAACTCAATACCTCGGGACGTTTTTGTAACACCTCTTTTCATTGGCAGATTATGCCATCGTCTAGAATTCGTCCAACCAATGACACCGTTAGAAAATGAGTGGAATTTGCAATGGCGTCGATGTAAACAGTTACCACGGAGAGCAGTAGATAAACCAGTTTGCTCACGCAACAACCGTCAAAAGAAACCTTTCCTTGCCATGTAAAAGTAAAATATTTACCTTATTATTTAACGACCTTAAACACCAACAACCGACCAATGATACACATGCAATGATTGAATTAACGCGTTGAATCATTATAAATTATCAGTGTGTAGTAGTCCCCCGGTTTTCGCTTACTTTGTCTTGAGAGACAAGTGACGAAAATGAATATGAAAGAACTTAGAATACACGATGTCAGTCCGCACATTTACTGAGGTTCAGTACTCGGTTGTTTTAGAGCTGACCGTTATGATGTAATCTTGATTATTCTAATAAATGATTTTAGGGAACAAATTTACAATACCCTTGATACTTTCCCAACTGAACCTAATCAAAACCTGGATAACTTTCCCGAAACACTAACCCTGTTTCTGTTTCTGTTTTTAAAAGGGGAATGGGGCATCAGATTTGAGATAAATATAAAGGATTCAGCTATATCAATATGCTAAGCTAAGCATACCAGGAGAATTATGCCCCCAAAATAGCAGTTGGATAAACAAGTTTGCCTAGCATTTTAGACTATTAAATGAATATGTATGCCTCAATTTGTCCTTGAAATCCAAACTGTACTTGTAAAATGGTTACTAAAAGCATAAAGATAATGAAATGATGGATAAAATGTTAAAATCTTACAATTAGAAAATTAGTCAAATTGTAAAGTTGTATCGATTATGCCATAAAAAACAGAGAGCTACAATGGGTTCCAGAAGTCTAGACCTAATTCTACATCACATCTAGACCATCAGACCTCAGCCATTAAAATTACTAGTCAATGCTATAATTTGTTTCACTTTTGTTCTACACGAGATAATGGTCGTCTAATGCTTAGGGTCACATAGTTTGAATATAATAAGATTTTATAGACTTTTGTCGTGAAAGATGTTGATTAACAAGGGCCAGCAGAAAAAGATCAACATGGTTCATGTCACTGGTAAATGGTGACATGTCTATGCTTGGATTACCAACAAAAAGTAGTAATATTGAAAAGTTGTAACTTTGTCTATTGTGTGTGCAAACTGAAACTTTATTTCATCACTGTAGTTTATGTACGATATTATTACGATACAATTATCATATGATAATCTTAAATAATTCTTCCCAATGAATATGTTTGTGATTAGGGACCTTTTTGGGCCAGCCCTGGAAGTTTGTTGTCATTTAAACCACCAGCTTCATTGTATATTCTTAATGTTATTTACAAGAATTAAAGGTCACATGCGGGTGGGTGTGCACTCAAGTGTAACGGCTGGTTCATTAGCAGATGCAGCCTTCACGGGTCATTGTGTGTGTATATATAGAAAGTTGGGCTTTGTAAAGACATGCTCATTTTTTGTGTATAACATTTTGCAATCAACAGACATCATAACATGTCATGTGTTCAAGTATCACACTTGCCTGTCTGTGTAATTACATAATGTGACAGAGACCGAACTCGGGCCATAAATCAATGCGTTTTGTTTATGGTGTATAGCCTGATTGGTGTTAAGTTCAAATTGCATGTGGTCAGTGATCGCAGTTGTGTATTGAATATTGTCATTAGCAGACAGGCAGGCAGACACACTGGTGTCAATAAAACAAGACATTGAGTTTTGTCTGTGACAGCGACATATCTATATCACAGTTAGAAATCGTGTCATTTCTAAATAATGCTTTTAAGTATCGAACTGAGAAAGTGACTCGGTAAGAAGAACGTGTGGTGAAATAGACAAATGAAATTATATAAACAGTTTATTTACTGTCATAACATACAAAAGCTCGCGCCTGGGAGATATCAACAAAACATTAGGAAACTAGCTCACACCAAAGCCTTCACAGAGTATTCACCAGACAGCCCGGCTTCCAAGTTCGCGGCGAACCTATTTCACTGCGCACGTGCTATGAGTGCAGTCAGCTGTTGAAACCCGTTTTCCCCAGAAAAGTCTGGGGAAAATTAGTGAAACGTTTGAACTCCGATTTCGCGCGTTTTTTTTCATCGCGTTATTTTTCAACTTTATAAGTTGAATTTGCATTTTTGACGCTTTGTTTCGGTAAGTCCATACGGAAAGGTATCAGAATCTGCAAAGTTGTGTTTTACGTTGCATGTGACCTTTAAACAACAATATCATTACAACAAAACAGACTCTTTATTTTGTAAATGATGGCCTGTGAGGCCTATAGTACAAATTACAACAAAACACATAGATATGAATACATAAGCAGTTAAGATATTCCATCTTATCAGCTTCAGGAAATGTTACTTACTATTTTCATAATGCATGCGCAATTATGTTGTAAGACAGAGTTTCTACCAATGTAAGTAAGTAATCAACTGTAGTGACTCACATTATGAAGCAAGGAATCTGAAAGATCTGTTTTCCCGCGTCAGCAGGCATCTCCATTTGAACTACTTAAGGGAAATTGATCTGCATCATAAATTGTAACTGTGTAATGTAAATTATGGATTGCTTGTTTTTTAATTTGTCATATTCTGTTTGTAAATAATAATGTAATGAATATATATGTTTTCCAAAAACTCGTGGACTTTTTACTTAGAACGAGTATGAATAATACTGACGTAACGTAAAACTCATCTCAACCCAAGTAAGTAATCTTTATCATACATCATGCATCAGATTGATTAAAAACAAGGCAACAAAATAACAGTTACAGAATGATTGAAATCAACATGGCATTAACTACTTCAGGTGAAGGCTGCCTCTGTGACACCAGATGGCGCTCAGTGGGGGGCTGGAGGGGCAGGATCTGATCCGCAACCTCCGTCAGCTCATCTACAGCTTCGAGCCCTACATCCGCGAGGCTGTCTCAGCGGACCAGATAGAGGAGAACCTGATACACCTGGAGGAGAGCGAGGAGAACTTCCACAAGTAAATCTTTCCATATGCCTTTTCGAGATGAAATGTATCAACATAAGTTGATGTAGGTTACTGATACCTTGTAATTCTTCCCATTGTCTTGCACTCAGCCAGGCAGAGTTTGACGATATTCTGACAATTCAGGGGCTGATAAGGGAATATAGAACTTGCACTCGTGCAACCTGAAACTGCAAAATGCAACCTCATATTCACACCCACTGGATGTAATATTTCGTTGTTCTAAGAATAGGATTATGAGGAACTATAATTTGCAACATGTAATATTTTTTCCTTAATATTAGCCCTGAAATCATGAAAGAGTTCAACTCTTATACAGGCATGAAAAACAGGTCACCAGTAGCAGAGGTACTTGACATTTCAAATTTGTCATTTCGTAATTTTTTGTCATTATTTTTGTCATTGTCATTAAGTGACCATATTGGGCTGTTATAACTTCAAACAGGTCAAGTTGTTTTATGTATTCCTTGTGTTTGTGAAAGTGGATTTTCTATAATATTTCAACCATTGATGAGTTATTTCAATATGATGACAGATATGAAATCATAAAGTTGCTGAAACGAAAAATTGATGAGCTCCTGGGACCTTTGATTGATGATGAAATTGAGCGGTTCTCGACAGTTGGGCACATTGGGGCCAACGGACAGGAGACAGTGGTCAGTCGAATCACTGACCGCATCTTGCAGTCTCAGCAGTGAGTTGTCCTCATTGTTTGCTGTGTCTTGTTTTAGATGTGTCATTACTTCCCAAGCTTTGTATATGTTATAAGCTCTTCCATCTTCCATGAAGACAAATGGCTGATTTGAGGTGTTGTAGTAAGTTGTATCTGTATTTGAGTCATGTAATAACCTGTGAAGATCCAGGTTAGAATTGGTCTCCTGCAACCCATGCTTGTCGTAAGAAGCGACTAACAGGATCGGGTGGTCAGGCTCCCTGACTTGGTTGACACATGTCATTGTATCCCAATTGTGTAGTTAGATGCTCATGCTGTTGACCACTGGATTGTCTGGTTCAGGCTTGATTATTTACAGACCACCGTCATATAGCTGGAATCTTGCTTACTGTGGTGTTAAACAAACAACAAATGAATACCCGATAATGTTGATTAAAGTAAATATTCATTACCTAAAAACCTTATCTTCAACACTGTAAGGGGCAGTGGGGTAGCCTAATGGTTAAAGCGTTGGCTCGTCACGTCGAAGACCCGGGTTCGAATGCCCACATGGGTACAATGTGTGAAGCCCATTTCTGGTGTCCCCCGCCGTGATGTTGCTGGAATATTGCTAAAAGCGGCGTAAAACCAAACTCAGTCAGTCAGTCAGTCAGTCATTCTTGTGTACACACTTCATTTACCAAGTGTGCTTGTCATGCCAAAGACCCGGGTTCGTATCCTCACATGGGTACAATGTGTGAAGCCCATTTCTGGTGTCCCCTGCCGTGATGTTGCTGGAATATTGCTAAAAGCGGCGCAAAACCAAACTCAGTCGGTCAGTCAGTCAACACTGTAAACACATGAAATAATGATCACAATGTGGTTCCCCATGTTTTTTCAGATATCATGACTTCAACAAGAAGCTGAAGCGTAATATGACTGATGCTATTGACCAACTGCAACAGAACTTCGAACAGGAATTCTCAGGTGGTCGTCATGGCGATGCTGGTTTTCAGACACGCAGGGAAAATATTGTTACAGACGATGAGGAGGTGACCAAACTGACGTTTCTTACCGTTTTATTTGTATGTTCACTGACGCATGAATGTGATCATAGGTTTGTCCAGCATGTAGTATGTGTTGTATAATTATAATTACAACATGCAAGTTGAGACCAAGAACACTCCATACAAGGCAGCTTATTCAGATAATTTGTAATAATAAGTTAAATGCTGGGCAGATATTTCCAGATTTATGGCATGTCGATTGTTGATGCCTAATGTCGGGTGATTGAAAATCATGTATCTTTGGTGTGTATTATTGATTTTGCGGACATAGACTGGAACCTCGTCATTTTAATGTGTGACTTGTTTTCAGGGAAGTGTGATAATGTTTGACCATGACTACATGAAGCATGTAGCGGACAGTCTCAGCAAGAGCAAGCCCACACAAGTAAGCTTTAATCTCTTGTTTGTTATTATTGCTGCAGCAGTATTAAAGCTATTTGACAGTGGTCTGTGAATATTTATTCTGGACCAAACTGTAGAATGATTGATATAAGGAGCATTGATCTACATATATGACACAATTACATGCATCATTCAGGTCAACAAGCCTGACTAACTGATCTTTCGATAGGCATGGGTTGCAGAGGACCAATTCTGACTCCAAATAGATTGGATGATCATGTTCATGCATGCATTATTTCAGTTCAGGGGCTGATATTACATCCTACCCTTAATTGTCCAGGATTGTCTCCCTTCTGTTACATCCTGCCCTTAATTGTCCAGGATTGTCTCCCTTCTGTTACATCCTGCCCTTAATTGTCCAGGATTGTCTCCCTTCTGTTACATCCTGCCCTTAATTGTCCAGGATTGTCTCCCTTCTGTTACATCCTACATCCCTGCCCCTTAATTGTCCAGGATTGTCTCCCTTCTGTTACATCCTGCCCTTAATTGTCCAGGATTGTCTCCCTTCTGTTACATCCTGCCCTTAATTGTCCAGGATTGTCTCCCTTCTGTTACATCCTGCCCTTAATTGTCCAGGATTGTCCCCCTTCTGTTACATCCTACCCTTAATTGTCCAGGATTGTCTCCCTTCTGTTACATCCTGCCCTTAATTGTCCAGGATTGTCTCCTTCTGTTACATCCTGCCCTTAATTGTCCAGGATTGTCTCCCTTCTGTTACATCCCTGCCCTTAATTGTCCAGGATTGTCTCCCCCTTCTGTTACATCCTGCCCTTATTGTCCAATTGTCTCCCTTCTGTTACATCCTGCCCTTAATTGTCCAGGATTGTCCCCCTTCTGTTACATCCTCCAATGTCCAGGATAAGCCCATTAATCTGGTGTCCAGTGATGTTCCCTTCTGGACATATGCCCCTGTCTCCCTGTTACATCCTAAAGTGTCCAGGATTGTCCTTCTTCTGTTACATCCTGCCCTTCAGTCAGTCCAGGATTGTCTCCCTTCTGTTACATCCTACCCTTAATTGTCCAGGATTGTCTCCCTTCTGTTACATCCTACCCTTAATTGTCCAGGATTGTCTCCCTTCTGTTACATCCTGCCCTTAATTGTCCAGGATTGTCTCCCTTCTGTTACATCCTACCCTTAATTGTCCAGGATTGTCTCCCTTCTTGATGATGATATTACATTATGATGATATGAGCATGATGATGATAATGGATGATGATCTGAGCATGATGCTGCTTCTGTTGCATGATGATGATGATGATGATGATGATGATAAGGATGATGGTATGAGTCTGATGGTGTGTTACAGACACGACATGATGATGATGATGATGACGACGGGATGCTCTCCAGAAGCTGAACCAGATCATGTCTGCCGACTCCGTCAACTCCGACCACTGGCTTCAGTTGAAGCGTAACCTACAACAAGTCATGTCCGACCCTGATGAACAACTCTCGGTATGTATAAAATACACCGTTAAAGATGAGTGGTTGAGAGTGCTGTGATTGTACGTGTTGCCATCGTTCCTACTCTCACAGGTCTTGAGTTAAGCTGAGCGGGAGTGAACAGATGTTTTTTAATGCCATAATCACTAGAAGTCTGACTGTAGCTCTGCAGCCTGAAAATGACCGAATTTGGACATGGTCAACAGTGAAATGTCTGTTTATAACGTAGCTTAATTCACTCACTCACTCTCACTCACTCTCACTCACTCACTCACTCACTCACTCACTCACTCACTCACTCACTCACTCACTCACTCACTCACTCACTCACTCACTCACTCACTCACTCACTCACTCATCACTCACTCACTCACTCACTCACTCACTCACCAAGTCAATGCTCTTGGCATTAAGTTTAAAACTACCCCAGTCAGTGAATCAGCTCACTGGGGAGGATACAACTGAACCTGCTGTATGAGGTACAATAGTTAACATTGCGATACTACCGGGTACCCATTAACTTTATTATATATGTGTTGACCTTTCTTTGTTGTCTTGCTGTAGGCCCTGAGTGTGAAGTTCATAGCCAAGGCTTTCACCAGCACCACTCATCAGACCAGGGAGATCTACATCTTGTTGAGTAAGTAGCACATAGTAACCATGGCAACTAACTCTCAATACGCAGAGCTGTCAAGTTTGAAAAGGGTGAGATGTAACTAAGCTGGGGTCCAGGTTCTGGCATCATCCATTATTCAGTGCATGATGTCTCCTTTCCAGTATAATAAATACCCTGGCCTCACATTCACCACCATAGCCTGTTTTAGGTTCTTACGAAATGACAAAACACTTGTACTCGATTAAAGGAAATGATATCATTTGAGAACTGATGGAAATGTAAATAATGTGATATTCTGCCTCCTTGTCATAGTGTTGAAAATTGTGTGAATGGAAACAGGGGTGATAAAGAAGGATGATAATGACAGACATTGGCGGATCCAGAGGGGGGTTCAAGGGGTTCAGGGGCGGTGGGGTAGCCTAGTGGTTAAAGCGTTGGCTCGTCACGCTGAGGACCCGGGTTCGATTCCCCACATGGGCACAATGTGTTAAGCCCATTTCTGGTGTCCCCCGCCGTGATATTGCTGGAATATTGCTAAAAGCGGCGTAAAACTCAACTCAGTCAGTCAGTCAAGGGGTTCACCCCTCCCCCCATCCCTGAAAATGACTTAAGACCCCATTGAAGATTTTTTGGGGGGGGTTCAGGGGGTTATATCACATGCTGTGTTATAACTGGAAGACTATTCAAAGCAAAATGAAAACAAACTCACTCAATCACTTTCTTTAGCCTATCTGCCATATAATTTTAGCTAGTATATCATATTGAATTGTATCATAGCCATGTCTTACACTAATGAGTACTGAGAAGAGGGTAGCTTTATAGAACCAAAACCAACTGACAATGTTTTTGTTACAGCGGAATATCTTCTGGAGCAGTTCCAGTCCGCGAATAGCTCCATCCCCCATGTGAAGGCGGGTCTCGACTGTGTCCGGCCTGAGATCAGCAAACTCCTCAAGGCTGTAAGTCAGTTTTGTTTGGAAGAGGTTCCAGCAAGCTTTGTTTGTTGTATGAGGTGACCTAATGGAGAGGTTGTCAGGCTTGCTGACCTGGTTAATTTTGTGTCACCTCACCTTGATGGCGTGGGCCATTCTTCATATCAGCCACTGGTTACAGACAGGTATCATATAGCTGGAATATTGTTGGGATGGAAAAGAACAACACAAAACAATGTGTTTATTTTTTCATGTATTACTACATCTCTCCAGTGAATGAGTGAATTCAGGCCCCAATTTCTCGAAACAAACTTAAGTTTTTACTCAAATTTCAAACTGAATTTGACAATTTGAAACAGCTGAATCTAAAACCAAAAAGACAAAACAACTCATGTAACCTATGTTCCTAACTCAAATTGTCTACTAAGTTTGAGTTTTATATTCATTTCAGTATATTCTGGGAAATGTATTTTCCTGCTTTTGCTCAAATTTGAGTAAAAAGTGTAACTTAAGTCAAAACTCAGACTTAAGTTTATTTCGAGAAATCGGGGCCTGATCTTGACTATGATAGACTATGGTCTAATGTGTGAATGGAATTTGAATTGACACAGGACTCCATAAAGTGCACTATCATTGAAAGTGACAAAACAAAATCTCAGGGACAGGTTGGCTGTTAAGCATGCCAGGAACATATGATCATGGGTTCCAAAGCCAGATTCCACCTGATTATGTTTCTAAACTTGTGCTGCATAATCATATGTGTGAGTTTCACTAATGTGGTAATGAATTATGGCCAGCATCACTTCATTCTTTCTACAAACAAGCTGACATTGCGTGGTTGCTTGGTTTGTTGTTTAATGCCGCACTCAGCAATATTCCAGCTATATGGAGGCGGTCTGTAAATAATCGAGTCTGGACCAGACAATCCAGTGATCAACATCATGAGCATCAATCTACGCAATTGGGATACGATGACATGTGGCAACCAAGTCAGCGAGCCTGACCACCGATCCCATTAGTCGCCTCTTTTTTGACAAGCATGGGTTGCTGAAAACCAATTCTAACCGGGATCTTCAAAGGATCTTTACAGGTCTTACATTGTGCGATGTAACTGAAGTATTATTGAAGTCATGTAAGATCCAACTCAAGCATTACACATGGTTATCAGTAGGTTGAGACAGAACATTTAACAAAAACAAGTGGAAATCAATGAATCATATTCCCCTTTTCTTATATTACTGTTGAGTGACCTCATTGAAAGATGGCAGCCTCAGTCTGTTTTCCAAGTAGGCTTCCCTTAGTTACCTTGACCTTACACCTACTAAATGTGAGTTATCTTCCTTAGTTACGCCTGATGAATGAGTTCCAGCAGGAAGCACCGAACTATTGGATACGATACCCTGATAGGTGAGTGACTTCCTACTCTGTTGGCCTTGGGGGAATTCTGGGATAAATAGGTGAGGTGAAGTGAAATTGGGTTAACGTCGTGCTTGAGAATATTTCGCTCATATGACGACGTGCATGCGTATGTCTGTGTAAGTGCGGCTGCTTGTACTATCCCAGACTGAAGCTGGTTTTATAGTGCTAGCCCACTGAGATACCATGCTGCAGTGAAGCATGAATACCCCACTCAGACACAATATACTGACTCTGAGCCGACCAGTCCTTGTTGTACCCATTAATGCCGAGCGCCAGGCAGGGACCAACAAGTACCATATTTTAACGTCTTTTGGTATGACGCAGTCAGAGATCGAACTCAGACAGAGATACACTATTGCAAGACTGAGATCAATCCAAATCTTATCAAACAGCAGTGAAAATTAAGTTTTTGTTTGCATTATAAAAAAATCCTTTTTTTTTTGTGAAAATAACTAATGACATTTGACAGACTCATTGTTAGTTGAACTAGTTACTTTACTTCATGGTATTATTTGATAACTTTGTGACAGTGGTTTGTGTAAGTTGTTTTGTAAAACTTTGGAACAAAGAGCTTACACCAGTTCTGTATATTCAGGTATGTGGAGGAGATTGTCGAGAGCACTCTGAACCTCATATCCGTGCCCCAGTCAGGGCCCACTCAGAGACTCACACCATTACACTTCATTGCTCTCATCGACCCCAAGGCGCAGTGGTTCATCAAATGGATGGTAAGAGCTACTGTTTGTTATCTTAGCTCACCTCAGTTAAACTTTCGCATATTCAGCATCTTCTCTGTAACCTGAAGAAACATTGCAAGGACGATCCCAGTAATGATGTTGCTAAGGAATACTCTCAGAATTGTTATACACATGAGAACATGGCCGACATGGCAGCCATATTTAATTTGTCATGGCTGCTGGATTTCCCCTTTATTATGATGTTTAATCCCCATGTTGCTAATTTCAAGAAAGATTCAGGTGAGCGGCTGAGCCTTGTTTTTTCTAGTATTTAAATTATAATAAACAGTCCTCATTTGTGTTTGATATGCAGCAAACTGAACATAACCAAATTCATTAGACCCTTGCCTCCATTTTGCCTGATGACGTGGACAGCATGGATAGCCCAGTGGTCTAAGGTGCAACAGTGGAACTGTACCTCCTAGCTGTGCCCTGGTCTGGTTTTAATGTGTTTGAATCCCAGATTTGACCTGATTATGATCCTTGGTAAACATGTACAGCTTGCTTCAAGATAGACTTTCTTCCCTTGGCATGCTGACATGTTTTGATAATGTATAACTGAATACTGTTCCATTCAACGTGGGATTTTCTTCCAGCATGGCAACTACAGCAGGAAGGTTCTACTGCAGACTCTGGAGAAGTACAGACCTGTTGTAAGTATATGACAACAGTGATAAGTCATGGTAAGAAGTCAGGGTAGTGAATTGTAGGGGACTGTGTGACAGAATAGTGACTAGTAGGGGGACTGTGTGATGATGACAGTGACTACCAGGGGAGCTGCGTGACAGGATAGTGAATACTAGAGGTGACATGGATAGTGACAACTTAGATAGCTGTGTGACAAGGATAGTGAATACTAGAGGTGACATGGATAGTGACATGGATAGTGACAACTTAGATAGCTGTGTGACAAGGATAGTGACTGCTTGGATTGTGTGACAAGGATAGTGACTACTTGGATAGTTGTGTGACAAGGATAGTGACTACCAGGGGAGCTGTGTGACAAGGATAGTAACTGCTTGGATTGTGTGACAAGGATAGTGACTACTTGGATAGTTGTGTGACAAGGATAGTGACTACTTGGATAGCTGTGTGACAAGGATAGTGACTACCAGGGGAGCTGTGTGACATGGATAGTGACTACTAGAGGTCTGTGAAAACCATCGGCAATCATACTCACTTGTCGGCCATAGATGGCCTTGACATTCAAGTGATCTGAGCAGATCCGCAGAAACTGAATTGGGCCATCCGATTTTGCCTGTTTGCTAATGGGCGCGAAATATGAACTTTGCAATATTCCTTCTATTTTGGATGATGTACGGAACAGTAAATTGTTAAGAATAATTTTAGAGGTTGTCAAAATGCATTCGATATTGATTCATTTTTAGGAAATTATATTTATAAATATTTAAGCTCTAAAATAATTCTTACCACTTTACTGATCAGATCACTTGAATGTCAAGGCCATCTATGGCCGACAAGTGTGTATGATTGTTGATGGTTTTGGAGAAAATGCCTGCTTACTGTCGAGGAAATGATTTGTAGATATTGCAATAAGTTTTTAGACCTGTGGAATGCCGCTGCCGATCGAATCTAGCCCTACATAGGTGCTGTCAATGTGGCTGGAATTAATAAACTTATTTAAAAGGTGACTTTTTGCTGTCTTGGCTGATCCATGATTATGGCTTGGAATTGCGAAGGTAGCTGTTTTCGGTCAGTCGTGGCGTATAACTTTTGAAATAATGATCCGATTGTGACCATTTATAGCTAATTTTGTAGGGAAATCATCTCGCTTTCGATCCATAGGCCTCGACGGGGCCTTAAAAATAGTTAACGTGGTGAAATCTAACTTTGATCGAGGAGGGGGTGGTTCCGTTGTTACATCCCTTTCCTTTTATATAGCACTAGGGTAGGGTCTATATACCTATATGTCTTTCTAGCAGCTGTTTCACAAAGCGTGACACGCCCCTGTGCTACTAGAGGTCTGTGTGACATGGATAGTGACAACTTGGATAGCTGTGTGGCAAGAATAGTTACTACTGGGATAGCTGTGTGACAAGGATAGTTACTACTTGGATAACAGTGTGACAAGGATAGTTACTACTTGGATAACTGTGTGACAAGGGTAGTGAGTACTTGGACAGCTGTGTGACAAGGATAGTATTATTTTGGACAGCTTGGACAGCTACGCGGACAGTGTGTGACAAGGATATACCACCGAGGTCAGTGACTACTTGGACAGCTGTGTTACAAGGATAGTGACTACTTGGACAGCTGTGTGACAAGGATAGTTACTACTTGGACAGCTGTGTGACAAGGATAGTGACTACTTGGACAGCTGTGTGACAAGGATAGTGACTACTTGGACAGCTGTGTAACAGTCAGTGATGACAAGGATAGTTACTACTTGGACAGCTGTGTGACAAGGATAGTTACTACTTGGACAGATGTGTGACAAGGATAGTGACTACTTGGACAGCTGTGTGACAAGGATAGTTACTACTGGAGGTCAGTTTGACATGGCTAATTACTACTTGGATACCTGTGTTACAAGGATAGTGACTACTTGGACAGCTGTGTTACAAGCTGATAGTGACTACGCGGACAGCTGTGTGACAAGGATAGTGACTACTTGGACAGCTGTGTGACAAGGATAGTTACTACTTGGACAGCTGTGTGACAAGGCTAGTGACTACATGGACAGCTGTGTGACAAGGATAGTTACTACTTGGACAGTTGTGTGACAAGGGTAGTTACTACTTGGACAGATGTGTAACAAGGATAGTGACTACATGGACAGCTGTGTGACAAGGATAGTGACTACTTGGACAGCTGTGTGACAAGGATAGTTACTACTTTGATAACAGTGTGACAAGGATAGTTACTACTTGGATAACTGTGTGACAAGGGTAGTGAGTACTTGGATAGCTGTGTGACAAGAATAGTTACTACTGGGATAGCTGTGTGACAAGGATAGTTACTACTTGGATAACAGTGTGACAAGGATAGTTACTACTTGGATAACTGTGTGACAAGGGTAGTGAGTACTTGGATAGCTGTGTGACAAGAATAGTTACTACTGGGATAGCTGTGTGACAAGGATAGTACTACTACTCGGATAACAGTGTGACAAGGATAGTTACTACTTGGATAACTGTGTGACAAGGGTAGTGAGTACTTGGACAGCTGTGTGACAAGGATAGTGACTACTGGAGGTCAGTTTGACATGGATAATTACTACTTGGATACCTGTGTTACAAAGATAGTGACTACTTGGACAGCTGTGTGACAAGGATAGTGACTACTTGGACAGCTGTGTGACAAGGATAGTGACTACTTGGACAGCTGTGTGACAAGGATAGTTACTACTTGGACAGCTGTGTGACAAGGATAGTGACTACTTGGACAGGTGTGTGACAAGGATAGTGACTACTTGGACAGCTGTGTGACAAGGATAGTGACTACTTGGATAGCTGTGTGACAAGGATAGTTACTACTTGGACAGCTGTGTGACAAGGATAGTTACTACTTGGACAGATGTGTGACAAGGATAGTGACTACTTGGACAGCTGTGTGACAAGGATAGTTACTACTGGAGGTCAGTTTGACATGGCTAATTACTACTTGGATACCTGTGTTACAAGGATAGTGACTACTTGGACAGCTGTGTTACAAGGATAGTGACTACTTGGACAGCTGTGTGACAAGGATAGTGACTACTTGGACAGCTGTGTGACAAGGATAGTTACTACTTGGACAGCTGTGTGACAAGGCTAGTGACTACATGGACAGCTGTGTGACAAGGATAGTTACTACTTGGACAGTTGTGTGACAAGGATAGTTACTACTTGGACAGATGTGTAACAAGGATAGTGACTACATGGACAGCTGTGTGACAAGGATAGTGACTACTTGGTCAGCTGTGTGACAAGGATAGTTACTACTTTGATAACAGTGTGACAAGGATAGTTACTACTTGGATAACTGTGTGACAAGGGTAGTGAGTACTTGGACAGCTGTGTGACAAGGATAGTGACTACTGGAGGTCAGTTTGACATGGATAATTACTACTTGGATACCTGTGTTACAAAGATAGTGACTACTTGGACAGCTGTGTGACAAGGATAGTGACTACTTGGACAGCTGTGTGACAAGGATAGTGACTACTTGGACAGCTGTGTGACAAGGATAGTTACTACTTGGACAGCTGTGTGACAAGGATAGTGACTACTTGGAAAGCTGTGTGACAAGGATAGTTACTACTTGGACAGCTGTGTGACAAGGATAGTTACTACTTGGACAGCTGTGTGACAAGGATACTGACTACTTGGACAGCTGTGTGACAAGGATAGTTACTACTGGAGGTCAGTTTGACATGGCTAATTACTACTTGGATACCTGTGTTACAAGGATAGTGACTACTTGGACAGCTGTGTGACAAGGATAGTTACTACTTGGACAGCTGTGTGACAAGGATAGTGACTACATGGACAGCTGTGTGACAAGGATAGTGACTACTTGGACAGCTGTGTGACAAGGATAGTGACTACTTGGACAGCTGTGTGACAAGGATAGTTACTACTTGGACAGCTGTGTGACAAGGATAGTTACTACTTGGACAGATGTGTGACAAGGATAGTGACTACTTGGACAGCTGTGTGACAAGGATAGTTACTACTGGAGGTCAGTTTGACATGGCTAATTACTACTTGGATACCTGTGTTACAAGGATAGTGACTACTTGGACAGCTGTGTTACAAGGATAGTGACTACTTGGACAGCTGTGTGACAAGGATAGTGACTACTTGGACAGCTGTGTGACAAGGATAGTTACTACTTGGACAGCTGTGTGACAAGGATAGTTACTACACGGACAGCTGTGTAACAATGATAGTGACTACCAGGGGAGCTGCGTGACAAGGATAGTTACTACTAGATGTGTGTGTGACATGGATAGTTACTACTTGGACAACTGTGTGATAAGGATAGTGGCTACTTGGTTAGCTGTGTGACAAGGATAGTGACTAAAAGAGGTCTGTGTGACATGGATAGTGACAACTTGGGTATTGTGTGACAAGTATAGCGATTGTCTCTTGTCAGATTCTATACTTGGTTGAATATGTTTTACACTGGGACAATGAGATATTTCACACTATTTTCAAACTTAGGACAGTGTCGTATAGGAAGAGCTGCATATATTTCCTCTAACAAGTAGTGATGTTGTAAATATGCCATGTCACTCTCTCTTACCGTCAAGTCCTCTCTCACTGTGCATCACGTTCTCTCTCTGACTCTCTCTGTTGTTATTTTGCTGTCCTGTTCACTCTCTGACTCTCTCTGTTGTTATTTTGCTGTCCTGTTCACTCTCTGACTCTCTCTGTTGTTATTTTGCTGTCCTGTTCACTCTCTGACTCTCTCTGATGTTATTTTGCTGTCCTGTTCACTCTCTGACTCTCTCTGTTGTTATTTTGCTGTCCTGTTCACTCTCTGACTCTCTCTGTTGTTATTTTGCTGTCCTGTTCACTCTCTGACTCTCTCTGTTGTTATTTTGCTGTCCTGTTCACTCTCTGACTCTCTCTGTTATGTTATTTTGCTGTCCTGTTCATTTTCTGACCTGACTCTCTGACTCTGTTATGTTATTTTGCTGTCCCTGTTCACTCTCTGACTCTCTCTGTTTGTTATTTTGCTGTCCTGTTCACTCTCTGACTCTCTGTTATGTTATTTTGCTGTCCTGTTCACTCTCTGACTCTCTCTGTTATGTTATTTTGCTGTCCTGTTCACTCTCTGACTCTCTCTGTTATGTTATTTTGCTGTCCTGTTCACTCTCTGACTCTCTCTGTTATGTTATTTTGCTGTCCTGTTCATTCTCTGACTCTCATTTACTGTCACATTAACCCACTCTTACTCTCTGTTGACATTCTGGTCACTCTCCTTCATGATGTCAGAGGGGCGGTGGGGTAGCCTAGTGGTTAAAGCGGTCGAAGACCCGGGTTCGAATCCCCACATGGGTACAATGTGTGAAGCCCATTTCTGGTGTCCCCTGCGGTGATGTTGCTGGAGTAAAACCCAACTCACTCACTCACTCATTATGTCTTATGTCCTCTCTTTTAGAATCTTGACATCTTCTCCTCTCACTCTTGTCCAGAATAGCTGAAATGCTTCTTTCACTCACCCATGACATCCTCTCTCTCATTGTGTTCCGTCTCCTGGTCATTTCCAGACAGATGTTGAGATGCTGTGTTTGTTTCTGTAGGTGGAGAACACAGTCAAGCACTGCCTGGAGTTTTCTGCTGCCCGCAAGTTCCCTCAGGATATGATGAGTGACATGTCCGATTCTGTGTCCAAGTTGTCCATCAGTATGTTTGCTAAATACTAGGGCTGTAACGATGCATCGAACTATCAATGGATTGCAATTGTTTAGTCTCCGATAGCAATTAATCGATGGTAGAAACGAAAAACTATTGATGCAGCGATAGTATGTGTGACTATCGATAGTTTAGTAGTTGACTTCCGTTGATAAATGCGCAGAGCAAAATACAGGAAGTAAAGTGGAAGCTCTCTAAACCGGCATGCGTTGGGACCGGCAAAACATGCCGGTATAGAGGGCGTGCCGGTTTAGATAACTTTTCCCTTTTCAACCTGAGAATAATCTTCCGCGTGCCGTAAAATACGACTGAACAACGTGTTGATAGTCATCATATTCTTTATTCATCAATAAAGATAACATCAAAAATACACGTATATAACACAATTGTACATGTTCAGTACAGCTTCCAGTATAATTATGTTATAATTCATAACTCCGAAGTTTCAAGTCCGAAACTGTTAATACACGTTCAGCCAATCAGCCAATTAACAGGAGAGCCCGAGACACCGGATGCCGGTTTAGGGAGCGTTAATTACTGTACAAACGGTCAATTGGGCGGTCTTTGTTGTGCCGAAATACGGAATAGACTGAAGCTGGATAAGAGGGTGTGTAAATGATCATAAATTAACTAGCTTCTGCCGGGACCAAATTCTTGTGCCAATATTGAGGGCATGCCTGATTGGAGGGCTGCCGGTTTAGATGGCTTACACTGTACCAGATTCGTTCACTTTAATTTTGAGTTATCCACCCCAGTTAGCTGTTAACTGTTTACTTGATCTGGGTTTCAAGTTTCTTGTCAGTTATCAAAAGAGACTGAAACCACTTAAACTTGTTTTATTTCATATAAACTATACATTTTTTTTGAAAATGACTTCAAATGAGACAATTCAAGAAGAAAAAAAGTATTGCAATAGTATTGCAACAGTTGGTCACAATAGACTGTCGCTATCAGAATGGTATGTTGCAAGAAACTTTTGCTATCGCAAAAGTTGTTTCCCCCTCAATAGTCACCCCTACTAAATATTGTATAGTGGGGTGTCCGGCTCAGTGTCCAAGTTGTCCATCTGTATGTTTGCTAAATATTGTATAGTGGGGTGTCCGGCTCTGTGTCCAAGTTGTCCATCAGTATGTTTGCTAAATACTGTATAGTGGGGTGTCTGACTCTGTGTCCAAGTTGTCCATCAGTACGTTTGCTAAATACTGTATAGTGGGGTGTCCGGCTCAGTGTCCAAGTTGTCCATCAGTACGTTTGCTAAATATTGTATAGTGGGGTGTCTGACTCTGTGTCCAAGTTGTCCATCAGTACGTTTGCATAATATTGTATAGTGGGGTGTCTGACACTGTGTCCAAGTTGTCCATCAGTACGTTTGCTAAATATTGTATAGTGGGGTGTCCGGCTCTGTGTCCAAGTTGTCCATCTGTACGTTTGCTAAATACTGTATAGTGGGGTGTCCGGCTCAGTGTCCAAGTTGTCCATCAGTACGTTTGCTAAATACTGTATAGTGGGGTGTCCGGCTCAGTGTCCAAGTTGTCCATCAGTACGTTTGCTAAATATTGTATAGTGGGGTGTCTGACTCTGTGTCCAAGTTGTCCATCAGTACGTTTGCTAAATATTGTATAGTGGGGTGTCTGACTCTGTGTCCAAGTTGTCCATCAGTACGTTTGCTAAATATTGTATAGTGGGGTGTCTGACTCTGGGTCCAAGTTGTCCATCAGTTGAGTTGAGTTGAGTTGAGTTGAGCTTTACGTCGCATCGGCATTTTTCCAGCCATATAGTGACGAGAACAAGTTTGCATTAGTAAATATTGTAAGTACATACTCGGAATGAGTTTTATTTCAAAGACATTTATTGATTACATTGTCATTCAAAAGCAGAAAAAAGTCATAGCATCAAATTTAAAAGCAGGCGGATTGTTACATTTCATAGTTACAATTTATGATAGTTACATTTCACAGTTACAATTTATGATACAGATCAACTTCCCTCAGGTAGTTCAGTATCAGATGGGTGCTCACGCGTGAGAACAGATCTTTTAGGTTTGTTGCATCATAATGTGAGTCCCTTGCAGGCGATAAGTCCACGCATTCAAGCAGGATATGCTTGACGGTGAACACCTCATCGCAAGAGACACACATGGGGGGTCCATCTCCATCCGTTTTCAGCAGATAGTCATGTGTAAATCGACTGTGGCCAATACGACATCGTCGTAAAATTACCTCATCGCGTCTTGACTGACAACCCAAGTAGGTATAACCGATTGTTGGCTTCAATTCATGGAGTTTGTTTTTGTCCATCAGTACGTTTGCATAATATTGTATAGTGGGGTGTCTGACACTGTGTCCAAGTTGTCCATCAGTGCGTTTGCTAAATATTGTATAGTGGGGTGTCCGGCTCTGTGTCCAAGTTGTCCATCAGTATGTTTGCTAAATATTGTATAGTGGGGTGTCTGACACTGTGTCCAAGTTGTCCATCAGTACGTTTGCTAAATATTGTATAGTGGGGTGTCCGGCTCTGTGTCCAAGTTGTCCATCAGTATGTTTACTAAATATTGTATAGTAGGGGGGTCCGGCTCTGTGTCCAAGTTGTCCATCAGTACGTTTGCTAAATATTGTATAGTGGGGTGTCCGACTCTGTGTCCAAGTTGTCCATCAGTACATTTGCTAAATACTGTATAGTGGGGTGTCCGACTCTGTGTCCAAGTTGTCCATCAGTACGTTTGCTAAATATTGTATAGTGGGGTGTCCGACTCTGTGTCCAAGTTGTCCATCAGTACGTTTGCTAAATATTGTATAGTTGGGTGTCTGACACTGTGTCCAAGTTGTCCATCAGTACGTTTGCTAAATACTGTATAGTGGGGTGTCCGGCTCTGTGTCCAAGTTGTCCTTCAGTACTTCTGCTAAATATTGTATAGTGGGGTGTCCGGCTCTGTGTCCAAGTTGTCCATCTGTATGTTTGCTAAATATTGTATAGTGGGGTGTCTGACACTGTGTCCAAGTTGTCCATCAGTACGTTTGCTAAATACTGTATAGTGGGGTGTCCGCTCACTGTGTCCAAGTTGTCCATCAGTACTTTTGCTAAATATTGTATAGTGGGGTGTCCGGCTCAGTGTCCAAGTTGTCCATCAGTATGTTTGCTAAATGCTGTATAGTGGTGGTGGCTCAAGTGTGTCCAAGTTGTCCATCAGTACTTTTGCTAAATATTGTATAGTGGGGTGTCCGACTCTGTGTCCAAGTTGTCCATCAGTACGTTTGCTAAATATTGTATAGTGGGGTGTCTGACTCTGTGTCCAAGTTGTCCATCAGTACGTTTGCTAAATATTGTATAGTGGGGTGTCTGACACTGTGTCCAAGTTGTCCATCAGTGTTTGCTAAATACTGTATAGTGGGGTGTCTGACACTGTGTCCAAGTTGTCCATCAGTACATGCGTTTGCTAAATATTGTATAGTGGGGTGTCTGACTCTGTGTCCAAGTTGTCCATCAGTATGTTTACTAAATATTGTATAGTGGGGTGTCTGACTCTGTGTCCAAGTTGTCCATCAGTACTGTTTGCTAAATATTGTATAGTGGGGTGTCTGACTCTGTGTCCAAGTTGTCCATCAGTACGTTTGCTAAATATTGTATAGTGGAGTGTCTGACTCTGTGTCCAAGTTGTCCATCAGTACGTTTGCTAAATATTGTATAGTGGGGTGTCTGACTCTGTGTCCAAGTTGTCCATCTGTTTGCTAAATATTGTATAGTGGGGTGTCTGACTCTGGGTCCAAGTTGTCCATCAGTATGTTTGCTAAATATTGTATAGTGGAGTGTCTGACTCTGTGTCCAAGTTGTCCATCAGTACGTTTGCTAAATATTGTAGAGTGAGGTATGATAGACTGGATAGCTGGTGTAATGCAGTGTATAGCCAGTAATTACTTTTCCATTACAGATATATCACCGAGTGATCAGCGAATGTTCTACACTGGGCCGGAGTTAGACTACGCATACTTCATCCACTGCGTGTGTATTCTGGGGAGACTCCTGTGTTTCCAGAATGGACGCAAGTTCTTCCCACTCAAGCTTAAAGATGGTACGTATACTCTCTATCAATACTATGAGTTGTGCTTGTGAAGTGTATCTGGTGTCAGTCAGGTAATGGACATCGCTCACAGACGTCAAACTTCCCCCAGTCTGTGCATCGGCTGTGTGTGAACTCTACTGATGACTTACTTTGAGTTATCATAGGAATGGAGTCTCACTGAAACTAGTCTGTGTCTCGATTAGTTGGTGAAACTAGAAGAGCCTTTGTATTGTTTGTATATTGTCATGGTTGAAACCCGTGAAGTGTTATGGATGCATTATGATTACATTATTTCTAGGGTGTCTGACATTTATATTCTGAAGTTGATTGCCAACAATTCAACATTACTCCAGCTCTCCCCTATATTGTCTTTCCATTTCAACCTAAAATACCCACCCAGGTGTGTTAAAATGTCAGAACTGTGATGCTGCTTATCATGGTGTAATCATTTATCGCCATGTTTTCAGAAAGTGTGACCATCAACCGACTACTGAAGGCTCTAGTTTTGCTGATAGTTGATCCGGGAAGTTCCTCGTCCAGCAAGTCCCCCAGCAGTGAGTCAATATGCTAGCCTGTAGTGTTCTCTATGATGAAGTGGAATATGGTCAAGTCACTAAGGCTCTGTTGAATCACTGTGCAGAGTTGTGTCCCATTGCTGCCAGAAACCAGTGATAGCCTAGTGGTTTATTCCAGTTCGGCTCTGATCTGGTTTCGAAGACCCGGTTGATTCCCCACATGGCTTCACCCATTGAAAAACCTGTGAAGCCCATTTCAGTGTTCACCTGTGATATTGCTGGAATATTGCTTCACCAAAATGGTAAACTTGTGAATCCTGCACCACTTAGGGTTTTCCTGTCAAACTGACACCCTGTAATATAACTGACGTATTGTTCAGTGCTTCACCAAATGGTAAACTTGTGAATCCTGCACCACTTAGGGTTTTCCTGTCAAACCAACACCCTGTAATATAACTGACGTATTGGTAAAATTCTGTTTGATCTAAAGAGTGATGTTGGCTTTTATGCTGCTTTTGACAATATTGTAGCAATATCATGTATAGGTGATACCAGAAATAGGCTTCTCACCCATGTGGGGAATCAAACCCAGGTCTTTGGCAAGATGAGTGAAAGCTTTAACCACTAGGCTACCCCATCACTACCAATTGCTAAAATACGCTAGATCAGCCATTTGATGAACTAAACTCTTCTGAAAACGATGTTTACAGTCATGATAGACATAGTAGACTGAAACAAATTTCGACACAAGCTGACATAATATGTTATGACTTTCCAAATATACTGAAGGCAACAAAAAAGGGTACACCATTTCATGGCAGTTGTTCCTTTATTTATTCTCAGATTTCTTCCCACAGTCCCTTTCAAAGCTGGTGATTAAAACTGGAAAATATTAAAGAAACGCTTGAATTTTCCAGTGTTCCTCTTTTTGTTTCTCTCAGTATATATCAGAAGTTTCAAGTTGCAACAATGCAGTGTTAGCGTTCTCCTAAATTGCATGCGATGGGGACTCCATTAAAACCTTGCTATATCCCATATTCTTTGGAATTCATTCTGAATTGAGGTGAATATTGAGTTGATTAAGTTATCACGAACCTTGATATTAATGAAAGCAATAATGGGAGTCTGTGTTCATGACCACGCTGCATCTGTATAATGTATTTAATATTTTAAACAAATCGGCATGGATGTTGGTGTAATTATTTTGATTGATTCTCACTAAATATTATTATCCCCTGCCACGAAGTGGGAGTTGGATAAAGGTTTCAACTCCGTCTGTCCATCCGCCCATCCAAAGTGATGGGGACAGGTTTTCTATAAAAAAAACCTTTTCGATAGGTAAGCCAAATTTAGTATGTGTTTTCAGGACATGAATGCCTTGATGGAGTTCGAAAATGGAAACCATTTTATGATTTGTTACAGAGTTATGGCCTTTGTCATGCTTTTCTTGACTTAGCGCATGGTATCCCCAATGGGGACAGATTTTCTCAAAAACTGTTATAGATAGGGAAACCAAATGTGGTATGTATTTTCATGACATGAATGCCTTTATGGAGTTCGAAAACGGAACCTGTGTTACTATTCTGTACAGAGTTATGTCCCTTGTCATGCGTTTCTTGACTTAGCACACATTATCCCCAATGGGGACAGATTTTCTCAGAAACTGTTATAGATAGGGAAACCAAATGTGGTATGTATTTTCATGACATGAATGCCTTTATGGAGTTCGAAACCGGAACCTGTGTTACTATTCTGTACAGAGTTATGTCCCTTGTCATGCATTTCTTGACTTAGTACACATTATCCCCAATGGAGACAGATTTTCTCATTAAACAGCTTATGTATCTCTATGAAGAATGAATAGTTATCAACACAGGAGCAGAACACTGTGGCATGGGATAATGATGACCATGTCTACTTGTTATTCTAGCTTCATACTGATTGGCTATTTCTCACGCTGTAGTGACATGACCATGGTGCTTTGTTGCATATCTTTGAAGATGACCTTGTCCATTGTCATCATGTCACACAATTTCAGTTCATTGAACTAATGTCTTTACTTGAGAAAAGTGGGGAAATCCAGATTTTTATATATTTTAATAGAAAAAAAAGACTGGATTATACATTGACAAACCTACATTCAGAATGCCATTCAGAATTATGGTTATCTTTACATTGTGAGCTAAGTTTGAAGCTGCTTACTAAGTCTTGTGATGTCTTCACAAGGGGCAGATAATTTTCCATTTGATCCTTCACCATGTTCACAATTCCCCTTTCACTGACGGCCATGTTCCTCCCAGGGCAACCATCCTCCCAGTGAGGGTACACTGCTACACGTGGCCGACATCTTGTCTATCCTCGCCTCCAACAGCAGGGGGCGCTGTCACCTGATGTATGGAGAAGGTCGGGACTTACAGAATCGCTCCAAGTAAGTCACAGAAACATTGCCGTCTGGCTTGCCTAATGACAACCTTCAGTTTTAATCCTGTTTCAGATGTGTAGGAATCAAATTAACGTGTTGTCAAGTGTATTTCCTTCTCTGAAATTAGGGGGCTTAAGTGGTCTTGATTAAGGTGGAACAGTTTGCCGTAAATAGTTGCTTGCTCTCTGAGTTGCATGCATTCATAGTTGCATGCATGTTGTCCGAGTTGCATGCTTTCATAGATGGATGAATGCTTTTCGAGTTGCATGCTTTCATAGTTGCATGCATGCTTTCATAGTTGCATGCATGCTTTCCGAGTTGCATGCTTTTACAGTTGCATGCATGCTGTCTGAGTTGCATGCTGTCATAGTTGCATGCATGCTTTCCGAGTTGCATGCTTTTACAGTTGCATGCATGCTGTCTGAGTTGCATGCATTCATAGTTGCATGCATGTTTCCGAGTTGCATGCTCTTCGAGTTGCATGCTGGCATAGTTGCATGCTTTCATAGTTGCATGCATGCTCTCCGAGTTGCATGCTTTCATAGATGCATGCATGCTTTGCGAGTTGCATGCTTTCATAGTTGCATGCCTGCTTTCCGAGTTGCATGCTTTTACAGTTGCATGCATACTTTCTGAGTTGCATGCATTCATAGTTGCAAGCATGTTTCCGAGTTGCATGCTCTCTGAGTTGCATGCTGGCATAGTTGCATGCTTTCCGAGTTGCATGCGTGCTCTCCGAGTTGCATGACGTCATAGTTGCATGCTTTCCGAGTTGCATGCCGTCATAGTTGCATGCTTTCATAGTTGCATGCATGCTCTCCGAGTTTGCATGCTGTCATAGTTGAATGCATGCTTTCCAACTTGCATGCTGTCATAGTTGAATGCATGCTTTCCGAGTTGCATGCTGTCATAGTTGCATGCATGCTTTCAGAGTTGCATGCTGTCATAGTTGCATGCATGCTCTCCGACTTGCATGCCGTCATAGTTGCATGCATGCTTTCTGAGTAGCATGCTTTCCTAGTTGCATGCATGCTTTCCTAGTTGCATGCTTTCCTAGTTGCATGCATGCTCTCCGAGTTGCATGCTGTCATATTTGCATGCATGCTTTCCGAGTTGCATGCTGTTATAGTTGAATGCATACTTTCCGAGTTGCATGCTGTCATAGTTGCATGCATGCTTTCCGAGTTGCATGCTGTCATAGTTGCATGCATGCTCTCCGACTTGCATGCCGTCATAGTTGAATGCATGCTTTCCGAGTTGCATGCTGTCATAGTTGCATGCATGCTCTCCGAGTTGCATGCTGTCATAGTTGAATGCATGCTTTCCGAGTTGCATGCTGTCATAGTTGAATGCATGCTCTCTGAGTTGCATGCTGTCATAGTTGCATGCATGCTTTCAGAGTTGCATGCTGTCATAGTTGCATGTATGCTCTCCGACTTGCATGCCGTCATAGTTGCAAGCATGCTTTCTGAGTAGCATGCCGTCATAGTTGTATGCATGCTCTCTGAGTTGCATGCTGTCATAGTTACATGCATGCTTTCCGAGTTGCATGCTGTCATAGTTGCATGCATGCTTTCCTAGTTACATGCATGCTTTCCGAGTTGCATGCTTTCCGAGTTGCATGCTTTCCGAGTTGCATGCTTTCCTAGTTGCATGCATGCTTTCCGGGGTGCATGCTGTCATATTTGCATGCATGCTTTCCGAGTTGCATGCTGTCATAGTTGCATGCATGCTTTCCGAGTGGCATGCTTTCCTAGTTGCATGCTTTCCTAGTCGCATGCATGCTCTCCGAGTTGCATGCTGTCATAGTTGCATGCATGCTTTCCGAGTTGCATGCTGTCATAGTTGCATGCATGCTTTCCGAGTTGCATGCTGTCATATTTGCATGCATTCATATTTTCATGCTTTCGTAGTTGCATGCATGCATTCATTGTTGCATGCATTCATAATTTCATGCTTTTGTAGTTGCATTCATTAATTCTTTGTTGCATGCATTAATACTTTCATGCTTTCGTAGTTGCATTCATGCATTCATTGGTGCATGGATTCATAGTTTCATGCTTTCAGAGTTGCATGCATTGCACGTGGTTCAGAATCCTAGTTTGCCATGCTTATGTTTCACATTTTGTGAGCACCCCATACCTGCACATGCTTTCACCACAGATGTAAACATGTAAGACCAGAATCACCTTGAGGTTTTCTCCTTCATTTTTTAAGTCAGGGGATCCCTAAATCTTTTACCGTTACTATTATAAGTTACCTGCTTAGTTTTTAACGCAACATATCATATCTGTGTTTGTGTAGGTCCTCACCAGCCCATGTTATTGCTGAGTTCACAAAGAAAGCCCTGATGTCGTCTCTACCATGTGGTGCTGGATCTCAGCCCTCCTGTACCGTAGTGGGAGCTTACCTGTATATATGTAGACAGCTGTATAATACATGTCAGGGCTTGCTGGTGCTACAGCAGTACGACCTGCACAATACAGTGGCTACAGCGTGGAAGGAGGTGAGTGTACCAGCTGTATGATACATGTCAGGGCTTGCTGGTGCTACAGCAGTACTGTCAGGGCTTGCTGGTGCTACAGCGAATGCTGCACAATACAGTGGCTACAGCGTGGAAGGAGGTGAGTGTAACAGCTGTATAACACATGTCAGGGCTTGCTGGTGCTACAGCAGTACGACCTGCACAATACAGTGGTTGCAGCGCGGAAGCGAGGTGGAGTGTAAATACAGTGGCAGCTGTATAACACATGTCAGGGCTTGCTGGTGCTACAGCAGGAGGGTACCAGCTGCTTATAATACATATCGAGGCCTGCACAATACAGTGGCTACTGGCGTGGAAGGAGGTGAGTGTAACAGCTGTATAATACATGTCAGGGCTTGCTGGTGCTACAGCAGTACGACCTGCACAATACAGTGGCTACAGCGTGGAAGGAGGTGAGTGTACCAGCTGTATAATACATGTCAGGGCTTGCTGGTGCTACAGCGATGCGAGCAGTAATGACCTGAACAATACAGTGGCTACAGCGTGGAAGGAGGTGAGTGTACCAGCTGTATAATACATGTCAGGGCTTGCTGGTGCTACAGCAGTACGACCTGCACATTACTGTGGCTACAGCGTGGAGGGAGGTGAGTGTACCAGCTGCATAATACATGTCACAATACAGTGGCTACAGCGTGGAAGGAGGTTAGTGTAACAGCTGTATGGTAATGTTTGTCAACTGTCACTTGTAACACATGCATACCCAGGGATAGAAATACTTTTTTTTCTAAGTGTGCCTTAGGGCACCAGACAAATATTTTAGGTGTGCCTTTCAGAAATCAAGTATGCCCACATGTTTTTAGAATATATGACAATGATGATGATCGTTTGAAATTTATTGTTAAATAAAGAAATGGGTTTATGAGCATTCAAATATGTATGGTATTATTCAGTTTGGAAAAAAATAATTGTTTGGGGTATTAAATGACTAAATGTGAGTTATGTCTCTAAAATATTAGGCATGTCAAAAGTGCACGAGAGCATTTTTCAGCAGTGCCATATCAATATTTACTGTGCCATGGCACACTAATATAAGGGGTATCTCGAACCCTGATACCATGTATGTTACCTGGTATTGGCTGAGACCTTAAGACAGAATCCAAGGCATAAAGTAGAGTAATTTTACCTTTACATTGTCATCATTAGAAGGAGCGATCAAACAAATGTACAAACCAATGAATCAACCAACCAACCAACCAACAAACAAAAACAAACAAACTGATTGTTTATTGTCTCCCCACCCAGGCCTCTCAGGCAGCTGACCGTGCTGCCACGCCCACTCCATCAGACTCCAGTATTGACATCAACAAATCTCACAAGGAAGTCAGTGTGTAAGTACCATGTTGCTGTGTTGGTTGTCAGGCTAACCTCTGTACATAGCCTCTGGGTGTGTTGGGATGGATTTGGCTGTGGCTAAGGTGACACTTTTTCAATTTTAATTTAATGGTTCCAGCAAACTAAAGACAAACATTCCAAAATATGTACCTTATAAATAACTTTATAAACATAACATTTTTAATAATGATTAAAGGGTGTTACTTAACTTATTTTGAGAAGTACCTACATATATATATATATATCATTTATTTCTAATTCAGCAAGTTCATGTGTTCACTTCTATTTATCTTCTCAGAACTGGCTTGCTGTGACAACAAGAAGCTATAAATTTGATTTCTTTCATATCATTGCAGTTAGTCTACCAAAGCACTGATTAAGTATAGTTTATTTGCATGACAGAATAACTATAGTGATATGAAAGAATTGGGTGTTCCTTAACTTGTTTTAGGTAATACAGTGAAATCTGTCTAAACCGGCACCTCACGTGACTGAAATAAAGTGCCAGTTTAGACGGGTGGCGGATTAGACAGTGACGATAATTTTCCATCATGGCTGCCATTTACACTCTCAATCTCTGAATCACTGTAATGCCTTTGGTCTTTTGTAATTGTGCAACAAATTACCCATGTGATCTTAGAACGTTTGATTCACCGTGTAATCACTACTTCCTGATTATCTAGCGTGCCAAGAGGATTAATTAGTGTATTGGATTATGGTTCCTTGAGTGGACTGCTCATACCCATGCCGGTTTAGACAGTATTAATTACAATTAAAATTGCTTGTTGGGACCGTGAAGTTGTGTCAGAAAACGGTATAGACAGGTGCTGGATTAGACAATGTTTTAATGATCATAATATCATTGTAAAATGGCAGGACCAAACTTTTATGCCGGTTTTGACAGTCTGACGGATTAGATAGGTGCCGATGTTGGCAGGTTTCTCTGTATATATTTGTATTTTTTCACTCCAACTGATTTAGACAGCTTTTTGATGAAAAACAACAGCATATTACTTAAATGTGACCCAACATCGGTTTGATTAGATTTGTTATTAAACATTTGCAGGCTGTTCTGGGAAGACACACTGCGTGACAATCTGTTGAACTTCGCCAGTACTGCCAAGGGTATCTTGCTGCTCCAGCTGACTGGCTCCCATCAATGAGTGTGTGTCCTACATGTATACCAGATATGAAAAGAAACTACAGGTAACAATAACCTTTGGTTCTTTTTCATTAGAAGAAAACTCTCCGCAGAATACGAGAACCCACACATTATGGCACTGCGGTCAGAGTTGGCTTCAGGTTCATGTGATGTGACCTTCTATGAACTGTCATCAGATCTTGATGAGAAGCACAAGTGATACATGTGATCTTACCTTGGGCAAGTCAGTCTGTTCAAAAATTGTCTCTGTTCATCCAGCAGTGAATGGGTACCTGGTGGGATAAGTCATATAACTGTTTACCTTTGAGTGCCTCACAGGAAGCTTGGATTAATCGGGGTAATAATGTATTTGTGCTTTGAACATACAAGGATAAAGGCACTATGTAAATGTCCATCATTTATCTTCTCTTTTCATAAGGGGCATCATATCGGAGTAAAGATCTGAGTGTTATGAGATAGAGTATGGTTGCTTCTCTTTAATGTTTTAGACGTTCTCATTAACTCAACTCATCTGGATTGTATTAGTGAGTAGGTGGACAATTGGCTGTTGTTTGATCTATCCTGGAGTAAACATTACTTGCCAAGATGAAGAATATGACTGCACACTGAATGTATATCCAACATTTCTGTAGAACAGTAGCTGTTATAGCAATCATTTCTGTTAATGCATTTTGAGGGGAATGAATATTGCTGAGTACAAATACAAACAAAACAATCAAACGTCACTGTTTGTATTTGATGCCCATACAGTATAAAGTAGTAGACCCGGGTTAGAATTGGTCTTCAGTAACCCATGCTTGTTGTAAGAGGCGACAAACATGATCGGATGGTCAGGCTCGCTGACTTGGTTGACATTTTCATCGTATGCCAATTGCGCAGATCGATGCTCATGCTGTTGATCACTGGATTGTCAGGTCCAGACTTGATTATTTACAGACCGCCGCCATATAGCTGGAATATTGCTGAGTGTTGCATTAAACAACAAACAAAACAAATATAAAGAAGTAATGTGCCAAGCTGCTCCAAGTTAGGGGAGACAACTCTCTCTGAAGCACGATCTACGTATGTTGCAGGTCAGCAAATGTGAGAAATTTGGATATGGAGTGATGGTGACTCAGATGGCTGCCACAGCACCAGGGATCGTGGCTCTTCAGAACACTGGTCAGTTGATACCAATACAAACACACACATAGAACATTAATTTTGGCAGATATGAAAATTTAGAAATGTAATCATGTGTTCTTATGTCACACTTCCAGGTTACATCAAGGCCCTGATGACAGAGTTGTGGTCATCCCTGGAGTGTGGACCCTCTGATGAACCTGTCTTCACCCCCCAAGAGCTGGCCGGTGGATGCAATAGACCGCCTCTCACACAAGGTCAGTAAATGACATTGGTACAAGGCAGAATAGTGCCTGTAAGTCTCGAGGTGTTATTTCCAGTACCAACCTGGTCCCTGGCTCCCTTTGCGCACGACAACCTTGAATATGTGGACTGGGCTCAGGTTACTTCCGGTACCGGAGTTCTGGTGACAAGCGTATATTCAAGAACCAGTTCGACGTTCTGGTTCCAAATTGCCAAATATGACTTTACGGGACCGAACCAAGTGTACAACCATGCTTGGCTGTCACAGCTGTTGACAGTCGTAACTGTTGGCTAATTTGGGGATGGTTAGATCGGAAATTTGTTATTCCTGCAAGGATTATCCAGGGCTCGATTTGAGAGATGTTAACCCACTTGCACCAGGTGCAACCTTAGATATAAACCTAGTTGCACCAGTCAAATTCCAGTTACACTGTTTTTATTGCAATATGTAATATCAGAAATATGCTATTGAATTATTTAGATGTTCTATTCAGAAGTGTACACACTCAAAAATTGACTTGCACCTGGTGCAAGTTAGACTAATAACTAGGTTGCACTTTGTAATATTGGGTTGCACCAGTGCAAGTAACAAAGCACTAAATCGAGCCCTGTTATCGGTTCCTTACTTTCAACTGACAACCATGAGACCATTCGAAAAAGTATGAAAGTGTTTGTCACTGGAAGTACTAAACAACACAAGGTCTTGTGCCAGTGACCTACTTACGGGCCCTCTATAGAAGCCCAGTAATGCATACTTATATGAGAGGCAACTTAATGGATTTCGTTAAGCTCCAGTAGAATCACATCATCCTAGGATGCCAGTATCATTGTTGGCTTGTAGTTTGTTATATGTGGATTGTTTTTAGAAGTTGTGTGCATGATGAAGTATGTCAACTTCCATGTTGCAGCATCTAAGCCGACTGTTGAACATTCTGTCAGGCTTCCCTGCCGTGTACGAGGTGCTGGCGGAGAAACCCTGCCGGTGCGGGACAGCTACAGCTTCCGTACCATCCCAGACACAGTCGATGTAAGTTGTTTCAGAACTCACCTTGACCTACAGTAGTTGTGTTGTACCAACAGAAACACAAACCTACAGTAGTTGTAGTATTGGAAATATTACATGCCACTCAAAAGAGTCCACCTCTAATCATCTCAGTCATCTCTTCATTTCCTGTATGTTACTTCAACTGCGTATTACCTCATCAGTATGTTTTCCTCAACTGTATTTTCCTATACTTGTATGTTACTTTTATGTTACTTCACCTGTATGTTTGTACACCTGTATGTTTCCTTCACCTGTATGTTATGTTATGTTTCTTCACCTGTATGTTTCTTCACCTGTATGTTTGTTCACCTTTGCCCTGTTACTTCACCTGTATGTTTGTTCACCTGTATGTTTCTTCACCTGTATGTTTGTGTTTGTTCACCTGTATGTTTGTTCACCTGTATGTTTCTTCACCTGTATGTTTGTTCACCTTATGTTTGTTCACCTGTATGTTTGTTCACCTGTATGTTTGTTCACCTGTATGTTTGTTCACCTGTATGTTTGTTCACCTGTATGTTTGTTCACCTGTATGTTTGTTCACCTGTATGTTTGTTCACCTGTATGTTTGTTCACCTGTATGTTTGTTCACCTGTATGTTTCTTCACCTGTATGTTTGTTCACCTATATGTTTGTTCACCTGTATGTTTGTTCACCTGTATGTTTGTTCACCTGTATGTTTGTTCACCTGTATGTTGTTTGTTCACCTGTATGTTTGTTCACCTGTATGTTTGTTCACCTGTATGTTTGTTCACCTGTATGTTTGTTCACCTGTATGTTTCATTCACTGTATGTTTCGTTCACCTGTATGTGTCTTCACCTGTATGTTTGTTCACCTGTATGTCCAGCCACCTCATGTTTGTTCACCTACAGTATGTTTATCTCACTGATGGACCGCTCAGTCCAGATATACATATCTCTCTTCAACTACTTAGCAGTCCATTCCTTTGGGCTAAGGTACATATATAGTTTTTTGTCCACTGTTTATTTTCAGTTATACCCTGGTTATTATTTTCTACAATCAAATAAATCAAATGGTAAATGGAAAGTAAGTGACTCTGGAAAAATGACTATGGTGAAACATCCTGTGTTAGAATTGGTCTCCAGCAATATTTCCTTCCTCCCTCCTTTGCTTCCTCTCTGTCTACCTTCTTCTTTCCCATCTCCCATTCCTCCCTCACCCACACTTAATTCAGCCTCCCTATGCACCTTCTTTTCTCCCATTCTTATTCCCACCCTTCATCCTTCACATTTCATTCCTCCCTCCCTGCTCTCTATTTGCTCTCTCCTGTCTTATCTACACTCCATTTCATCCCTTGCTCTGAGCTTCATCCCTCTCTCCATCCATTTCATCCCTCTCCCTCCTCTCCCCTCAGCTTTCTTCCTTTCTTCACCCCTCTCCTTTCTGTTTTGTCCTTCTCTTTTTCCTTTCCTTTCTCCTCTCCTTCCATCCTTTCTCTCCTTTCCTCCTCCTCTTCCATCCTTTTCCACTCCTTTCCTCCCTCTCCTCTTCCATCCTTTCTCCACTCCTTTCCTCCCTCTCCTCTTCCATCCTTTCTCCACTCCTTTCCTCCCTCTCCTCTTCCATCCCTTCTCCTCCTCCCTCCCTCCTCTTCCATCCTTTCTCCCTCCCCTTTCCTCCTTTCTCTCCTCTCTTCCATCCTTTCTCCACTCCTCCCTTCCTCTTCCATCCTTTCTCCTTCCTCCCGTCCTCCCATCCTTTCTCCACTCCTTTCCTCCTCTCCTCTTCCATCCTTTCCTCCTCCTCCTCTTCCTCTTCCATCCTTTCCTCCACTCCTTTCCTCCCTCCCTCTTCCATCCTTTCTCACTCCTTTCCTCCTCTCCATCCTTTCTCCATCTCCTTCTCCTCTCCTCCCATCCTTTCTCCTCCTCCCTTCTCCATCCCTCCTTTCCATCCTCCTTCTCCCTTTCCTCCCTCCTCCTCTCCATCCTTTCCTCCTCCTCCTCCCTATCCTTTCTCCTTTCCTCTTCCATCCCTTCTCAACCCTTTCCTCCCTTCCATCCTTCCTCCCTCCTCTTCCTCTTCCATCCTTGCATCTCCTCCTTTCCTCCTTCCTTCCTCCTTTTCCTCCCTCCTCATCATTCCTCTGTTGTCCACCTGCTGTTCCTATGTCCATTCCTGTGTCCATCCCTGTCTGTGGATCTCCACATAGTCCTTCCCTTCCTCTTCCATCCTTTCTCCATCCCTTTCCTGTTGTCGTTCATTGTTATATCTCCTCTTCCATCCTCTTTCCACCATTCGTGTCCCTCTTCCATCCTTTCCTCTGTCTCCTTTTTCCTCCTTCCTTATTGTCCTCCATTATCCACTCTGTCTTGTCCTCCCTCCTCCGTCCTCCATCCTCTTCTCCACCTTTCCCTCCCTCCTTTCTCCTTCCTTCTCATTTCCTCTTCCTCCCTCCTTTTCCATCCTTCTCCTCCTCCTTTCCTGTCACTCCTCTTCCATCCTCTCAACCCCTTCTCCATTCCTCTTCCTTTCCTCCTTTCTCCTTCCTTTCCTCCTGTCTCCTCCTCTTTCCTCTCAACCCTTTCCTCCTCCTCTTCCATCCTTTCTCCACCCTCCCTCCTCCTTCCATCTTGTCCCTTTCCTCCCTCTCCTTTTCTTCCTCTTCCTCCCTCTCCTTCCTCCCTCCCTTTCCTTTCATCCTTTCCTCCTCTCCTCCTCCTTCCAGTCCTCTTCTCCCTCCTTTCCTCCTCCTCCCTCCTTCCATCCTTTCTCCTCCTCCTTCTCCTTCCTCCTTTCCACTCCTTCCTCCCTCTCCTCTTCCACTCATTTCCATCCTCTCCTCTCCTTTCTCCTCTCCTTTCCGTTCCTCCCTCCTCTTCCTTCCTTTCTCCTCCTCCATCCTCTCCTCTTCCTGTCTTCCTCCTTCATCCCTCCTCTCCATCCTCTTCCATCCCTTCCTCCTCCTCTCCTCTTCCATCCTTTCCTCCTTCTCCTCTTCCTATTTTGTCCTTTCTCCCTTCATTTCCTCCTCTCTCTCATCCTCCTTTCTCCACTCCTCCATCTCTCCCTCTCTCCTCTTCCATCCTTCCATCCTTTTCTCCTCCTTTTCCTCCCTTCCTCCTCTCCTGTCATTCATCCTTTCTCCACCTTTTTCCTCCACTCCTCTTTCCCACTCCTTTCTCCCTCTCCTCTTCCACGTCCTTTCCTCCTCCTCCATCCTCTTCCATCCTCCACTCCTTTCCTCCTCCTCCGTCCTTTCCCTCCCATCCTTCTCCTCTTCCGTCCTTTCTCCCTCCTTTCCTCCTCTCTTTCCATCCTTTCCCCCTCCTCCCTCACACTTCCATTCTCCTTCCTTCTTTCCTCCACTCCTTTTCCTCCACTCCTCCTCATCCTTTTCCTCCTTCCACCACCATCACCTGCTCCTGCCTGCACTGCTTGATATGCTGCTGTGTTGTCCAGGGTGCTGTGCGTGATGACATCGTGCCTGGACACGTATCTCCTGCTGCAGTCCCAGTACAAGTTCCAGGAGTTGCTGCTCCAGGCCCAGGCCGACAACATCACAGATGGCAGGTACACACTTGACATACACTGTATCATCCTCTGTTGTCCAGGGTGTTATATCTCCACTATATACCCTGGACCCATTCACCACCATAGTCCTCATTTCAGGTACACACTTGACATACACTGTATCATCCTCTGTTGTCCAGGGTGTTATATCTCCACTATATACCCTGGACCCATTCACCACCATAGCCTCATTTCAGGTACACACTTGACATACACTGTATCATCCTCTGTTGTCCAGGGTGTTATATCTCCACTATACCCTGGACCCATTCACCACCATAGCCTCATTTCAGGTACACACTTGACATACACTGTATCATCCTCTGTTGTCCAGGGTGTTATATCTCACTATATACCCTGGACCCATTCACCACCATAGCCTCATTTCAGGTACACACTTGACATACACTGTATCATCCTCTGTTGTCCAGGGTGTTATATCTCCACTATATACCCTGGACCCATTCACCACCATAGCCTCATTTCAGGTACACACTTGACATACACTGTATCATCCTCTGTTGTCCAGGGTGTTATATCTCCACTATATACCCTGGACCCATTCACCACCATAGCCTCTCATTTCAGGTACACACTTGACATACACTGTATCATCCTCTGTTGTCCAGGGTGTTATATCTCCACTATATACCCTGGACCCATTCACCACCATAGTCTCATTTCAGGTACACACTTGACATACACTGTATCATCCTCTGTTGTCCAGGGTGTTATATCTACACTATATACCCTGGACCCATTCACCACCATAGCCTCATTTCAGGTACACACTTGACATACACTGTATCATCCTCTGTTGTCCAGGGTGTTATATCTCCACTATATACCCTGGACCCATTCACCACCATAGTCTCATTTCAGGTACACACTTGACATACACTGTATCATCCTCTGTTGTCCAGGGTGTTATATCTCCACTATATACCCTGGACCCATTCACCACCATAGCCTCATTTCAGGTACACACTTGACATACACTGTATCATCCTCTGTTGTCCAGGGTGTTATATCTCCACTATACCCTGGACCCATTCACCACCATAGCCTCATTTCAGGTACACACTTGACATACACTGTATCATCCTCTGTTGTCCAGGGTGTTATATCTCCACTATATACCCTGGACCCATTCACCACCATAGTCTCATTTCAGGTACACACTTGACATACACTGTATCATCCTCTGTTGTCCAGGGTGTTATATCTCCACTATATACCCTGGACCCATTCACCACCATAGTCTCATTTCAGGTACACACTTGACATACACTGTATCATCCTCTGTTGTCCAGGGTGTTATATCTCCACTATATACCCTGGACCCATTCACCACCATAGTCTCATTTCAGGTACACACTTGACATACACTGCATCATCCTCTGTTGTCCAGGGTGTTATATCTCCACTATATACCCTGGACCCATTCACCACCATAGTCTCATTTCAGGTACACACTTGACATACACTGCATCATCCTCTGTTGTCCAGGGTGTTATATCTCCACTATATACCCTGGACCCATTCACCACCATAGTCTCATTTCAGGTACACACTTGACATACACTGTATCATCCTCTGTTGTCCAGGGTGTTATATCTCCACTATATACCCTGGACCCATTCACCACCATAGTCTCATTTCAGGTACACACTTGACATACACTGTATCATCCTCTGTTGTCCAGGGTGTTATATCTCCACTATATACCCTGGACCCATTCACCACCATAGTCTCATTTCAGGTACACACTTGACATACACTGCATCATCCTCTGTTGTCCAGGGTGTTATATCTCCACTATATACCCTGGACCCATTCACCACCATAGCCTCATTTCAGGTACACACTTGACATACACTGTATCATCCTCTGTTGTCCAGGGTGTTATATCTCCATTATATACCCTGGACCCATTCACCACCATAGTCTCATTTCAGGTACACACTTGACATACACTGCATCATCCTCTGTTGTCCAGGGTGTTATATCTCCACTATATACCCTGGACCCATTCACCACCATAGCCTCATTTCAGGTACACACTTGACATACACTGTATCATCCTCTGTTGTCCAGGGTGTTATATCTCCACTATATACCCTGGACCCATTCACCACCATAGCCTCATTTCAGAAGTGACGTCACCATCTCAATTATCACAAACTTAGTGTAAAATGTATCTTTAAGACATATCTGAGTGAGATATCAATGGGTTAAACTTTAGCCAGCTGAATTATTATCACACTTCTTAATATTGCTTGCTGGATTGAGGTGTAGAAACTACTTAAAGTTTTGGTATTCATAGAGCTGAGCTTTTATGCACACCTTACTTAATGTAAGTGATACACAAAACCTACTTGGTAAACAAGTAGTTGTCCTGATAGTGGTATCCTGATGTTTTTTGTCTTTTTCATTGCATTCCTAACATGTTGGGGTTGTGTGATGACGAGTGACCCTTGTGTGTGTCTTCTGTCCCAGTGACCAGACAATAGTGGACGTGTTGTCTGTGGAGAGGAACTTCCTTCTGGTCAAGACTCACCTGATTGGTGGACCCACGGAGAGGATGATCCCCCCTCGGTCTCTGGAACAGGTGAGGACACATCATCAATGATCATCATGCACCTCATTGTGAATTTGACAGCAGACGACGTGATTTGTGGGAGATGACTGATACAATCTCATTTAATATCATATGCTTTATCTGTGACGATCCGTTTTAGAATTGATCTTCAGTAACCTATGCTTGTCATAAGAGGTGACTAATGGGATTGGGTAGTCAGGCTCGCTGACTTGGTTGACACATGTCATCGGTTCCCAATTGTGTAGATCGATGCGCATGCTGTTGATCACTGGATTATCTGGTCCAGACTCATTTATCTATAGACTGCAACAACATAGCTGGAATATTGCTGAGTGCGCGTTAAACAAAACACAAACAAACCAAATCATATGCATTACTGTGATACCTTGAAGATCTGAGACCCCTGCTATGAATAATTGCCATATTCCTTAAAGTGTCCTACACAATGGAATTTCTGGTCAGACTCAGCGATGGTCAGCGATGTGTCACTGTTCCCCGATAAAATGGGATGTTATCCATTATATCAATCACTGGTTTGTATGGTCCTGACTTGAATTGCTACCTGCCACCATGATATAGCTTGAATATTGCTGACTGTGGCATAAAACACCAAACTGGAAGCCTGTTGTTGTTGTTTTCCTTACAACACTGGTATCATTACTTCCTGACATGATTAGATGTGAAGTGAGCATGTGTCACGGCCTGGCTGGCTGTCGTCCATTGTGAGTCCCACCAAAGTTGACACCCCCAATTTGGTCAAGGCGTTTGAAACTAATTTTCAAGACTGACATTGTTTTTAATGTTTCAGAATTTTGACCATGCTCTTAAATTCTCTCATAATATTCTCATTATCTCTGTATAGAGCTGAAGTTTGGCAATTTGGAATCTTGTTATGATGATGTCATATTTTGTTGAAATCAGTAAGATTTGAGTGTTAGTTTTAATGCAGGAAATATTTTGATATCAACGTGGACAGCTACGTTTTGTCAGGCATTTTTCGTTACCATTTTTTCCGGTTGGCAGCAGATTCATGTAAGCTACAGTTCAGGGGCAACATTTTAATAAGGTTACAGTATTTAGAGCCTGTTCTTGGAGTTCCCCCAATTTGTTGAATATTTGCTTGATATTTGCTGCTGATACCTGGTTCTCATCCTCCAGACACGTGATGGGGTGTACCCCTACCCCCTGTTCTCTGCCTACCCCCTCCCTAGGGAGTACTGCCCCAACCTGGCCGGCCGATCAGCCATGAAACAAGGTGAGCTCCTGGACACATCACTTACAACAATAATCACAGTTATGTTCCCCACACATGCAGATAGCGCCATAAGAAATTAGATGCCAAAATGGGTTAACATAATTCTATCAATTATGTCTTATTATTTGTGTTGATACAGTTTTTTTCATGGAAGGTTTTCCAATGAAATATATTCTTTAGTAGTAGAAATGAAACATCAAGAGTTACCTGATCTTTGTTTGCTGAAATTTTGAACAAATGAAACTTTGGGTTAATCTCAAAAGTCTTCCCCTTTCAAACTGCTGAAAATGTGTAAGTGGTAGTGAAAATAACCAGATATTCACGTACCATGTTTTTCATTGCCATTCAGAGTTTTAAATATTAAGAAATCTTAAGGTAACATTAAAAAATGTGATGATACTTATGGGGTTCATATATATCCCCAATACCAGAACACTTCAGTCTCCAAGGAAAACAAGCTTTTGGAAGTGCTAAATGTTCACAGTAAACTAGAACATGATCACAGTTCCTTTTGGGCTTGTTTTGTACTTTGGTTTATTTTGTTGTGATCAAGGAATAAGATGTTGGAAATTTAGCAGTTAATTTCTTATGGCCAAGAATGTGAAGGATAGTTTATAAATAGATGTACAAGTTTATTTTGTGAATGTTGTATTGCTACAGATGCATGTTCGTGGTGTAACACGATCATATGTTTTGTAGAAGTAGAATTATTTGTTATGCAAGTTCTGGGTGTTCAGAAATACCGATCTACATAGTATTCCTTGCACATCATCTGAGATGCTGGGTGTTCCTGGTCATGGTGATGACTTATAAAACTTGAAACCCATATGGTAGATCTAATGTTGACCTTTCGAGGGTCATGATTACTTTACCAGAGTTTCAGATGAAAGTCAGTATATAAGGGGCAAGTGGACAAGTTCTTGTTGGGATGGAGTGCCAGTACATGGTTATATGTTGGAGATGTTTGAATTCAGCATTGTAATGCTGCTTCCATACATGATACATGTTGTATCTGTCCACATATCAATTCCTGCTTGAAGTCTTGTCTCGTTATTTAAGAGAAATATTCACCAGGCCCACATTGTAGAGAGCATCCAGTCTATAGAATATATGTACATGCTTTAAATGGAAACAGTCACACAAATCACACAAATCACACAAATCACACAAATTTCATACAAGACATATTTTAGTATCAAATGTCACATCATACCAGTGAATATCATTGTAAATGTTCTTCATCAGTTATACAGTCATTTTGGGGAAGATATAAACAAAATAAGACGGTATGTTTCACAGACATTTACAGAGTACACTGGAATGTTTATAGTCAGCAGCCGAGCATTATGAATCATGTTTTAAGGACATTGGCTGAACATACTGTGAATTATGGCATCTGCTGAGTAAACTGTGAATCGTGATTCATATATATCTGATGAGCATACCATGAATCACGTTTCATATGTGCATCTGTGAGCATATCATGAATCATGAACATCATTTGAGAATACTCTGAATTACGTTTCATATGTGCATCTACGAGCATATCTTGAATCATGGGCATCTGTTGAGCATACCATGAATCATGTTTCATATGCGCATCTGACAAGCATATAATGAATCATGAACATCTGCAGAGCATATCATGAATAGTATTTCGTGGCCATAAGCTGAACATACCATGAATCAAAGATGTCTGCTGAGTACAAATTCCACTGATCAGATACTGCCTCTTGTAGGTCATCATGTCAACATGGTATATAGATGCTCTCATTCTGGGTGCACCTTTAGTGACAGACCTTTTCTACCCATATGACCTTTGTTGGATTCCATGGCAGACTAGGTCCAAATGCTTGTTGTTGGAGGTGACTTAATATTGTTGATGGTTTACATACCGTATATGACCGTCTATAAGCCGAATTTTGAGGACCAAAAAAAGCAGTCTGTAGAAGGGGGTCGTCTTATCCATGGGTTAGGCTTTCGTCAAACCTTTTTCCAGGGGTAAGAAAACAACATCGTATCACTTCGCGTGAACAAACAATAGAAGACGACTTTGTCAGTAGAGACGTCAAATTTGCAATTAAACATCACTAGACAAGATTATTTACCTTTTAAGTTCTAAGTTGTTTTTGCTGGGCATTGTATTATTTGCAGGGATTAAGATTACCGTGTGTATCTGAGCCGGAAATAGCAATCAGCTGTGCACATGGCGGGGATCGACTTATGCACGAAACATACCATTTTGACACTGATTTTAAGGGTCAAGTTTGGGGGTCGTCTTATCCATGGGGTCGTCTTATAGACGGTCATATATGGTAATGAATGATGAGGCTGTCTAGTACCTGTGTAACACCTGAGATAAACATTTCAGCCTTAGAGCCAACTGCTGAAGGCCGAGGTTTGTCTGGCATGATGAGTTGTGGAGATTGACCCTGATGAAGTGTTGATTGACGAAACATTCCCCCAATATCATTCAGATAAGATCTTTAGCTGATGCCATACCTCTGTGAGTGAAGGTCAGACGCGACCTCTGGACCCAGTCTCCCAAAATGACGCATCCTTCATTTTGAATGGATGTTCATAAGCTCACCTGAGCCAACTTCAATGGAGGTGTTAGATCTCTACACGCAGATATTGTGTCTGACTCAAAGAACTGATCTGAATGAGATTGAAATCCTGAATCCCAATACATCCCTTACCCCACATCAACACGTTGAGCTGACTGAACCTTTGTCGCACACAGTTTGAGTGACTAAGCTTGCCAACTTTCGACTTAAGTATCTCGCTAATTAATAGATCTGCCTGTTTGGCATCACTGAATTTTGTTTGATTGCAAAAGATGAATGACATTTTTTTGTATTTGCTTGCTGTTTTGTTGCACACTGGCACTGCATGCGAGCACCGTTCATGGAGATCCGCCACTTGTTGTTGACATCAAGTCATCATCCACCTGTTAGAAGGTGCACAATGTCTGAACAAGTCATTTCTAGTTGTACACATCCAATGTAATTATGAAAACATAGTTTATCAGCTATGATTTAGTGGTCTAGTAAGTTCTGGATATCTTTGATATTGTCTTATTCCTACCATTTAATACTTTAGAGAAATACTGATTTTATTGCAGTAATTATGAATATTCTAAATATAAAAGGTTTGGGGCTTTTGAAGTGTTACAGCTATCTTTTCTCATATAAAGTTAGAAATATTAGTATTTGAAGATGTCTCACATTTGACAATGAGCTAATTACAATATATACTGAAGAACAAAAGTAAGGGAACACTATTCCAGAATGTTATTTATTGTTGTGTTAAAAAAAATGAATTTCTTTGCAAATTAGAATGTGTGTTAATTACATTGCAATCTAGTTGTGTTATGAATTTTATGCACAGCAACTCACTGTGAAGTGTTTTGTCTGTTAGGTATGACATGATCCTTTGGTTATATGTTTAAATCCCAGATTTATTATTGTTTATATTGTTATAGGGGTTTTATAATCATATTGTCTCTTGTGTTTCACATGTAAACATCCAAGACTTGCATTAACATTTTCCCATGTTAAGCAGATATGCCATGATATAACCACTGTTTTACACGGAATAAAACCCACCTCAATCGCTCAATGTTTGGGGGGATATGAACATTGGGCATTCTGAAATATGGTAACAGTTACTTGGTGTAAAAGGGGGATTATATGGCTATAATAGGTCCAGAATGGTCTCCATGGTCCAGACTCTATTATTTCTAGGCTATGCAGGTGCTGTGGTATATATGTGCCATGATATGCAGGTGCTGTGGTATATATGGGCTGTAGTATGCATGTGCTGTGTTATATGGGTGTGGTATGCGAGTGCTGTGGTATATATGTGCCATGATATGCAGGTGCTGTGGTATATCTGGGCTGTAGTATGCAGGTACTGTGGTATATATGTGCTATGGTATGCAGGTGCTGTGGTATATGGGGCCTATGGTATGCAGGTGCTGTCGTATGCAGGTGCTGTATGTATATATGGGCCATGGTATGCAGGTGCTGTGGTATATATGGGCTGTAGTATGCAGGTGCTGTGTTATATGGGTGTGGTATGCAGGTGCTTTGGTATTTATGTGCCATGATATGCAGGTGCCGCGGTATATATATGCTATGGTATGCAGGTGCTGTGGTATATGGGTATGGTATGCAGGTGCTGTGTTATATATATGGGCCAGGTGCTGTGGTATATGGGGCCTATGGTGCTGTGGTATATTTGGGCTGTAGTATGCAGGTGCTGCTGTATATATGGGCTATGGTATGCAGGTGCTGTGGTGCCATGATATGGGTGCTGCTATGGCTATGGTATGCAGGTGCTGTGGTATATGGGGCCTGTGGTATGCAGGTGCTGTGGTATATATGTGGTGTTATCACAGTGCTGTAATAGTATGATGTGTGCCATGATATGCTGTGGTATATATGGGCTGTAGTATGCAGGTGCTGCGGTATATATGTGCTATGGTATGCTGGTGCTGTGGTATATATGCATGGTGCTGCTGTATTATATGGGGCCTATGGTATGCAGGTGCTGTGGTATATGTGGGTGTGGTATGCATATATGGGCTGTAGTGCTGTGGTATATGGTGCCATGATATGCAGGTGCTGTGGTATATATGGGCTGTAGTATCCAGGTACTGTGGTATATATGTGCTATATGGTATGCAGGTGCTGTGGCCATATATGCAGGTGCTGCTATGATATGCAGGTGCTGTGTTATGGTATGCTGGTGTGTGGTATATATGTGCCACATGATATGCAGGTGCTGTGGTATATATGGGCTGTAGTATGCAGGTGCTGTGGTATATATGGGCTATGGTATGCAGGTGCTGTGGTATATGGGTGTGGTATGCAGGTGCTGTGGTATATATGTGCCATGATATGCAGGTGCTGTGGTATATATGGGCTGTAGTATGCAGGTGCTGTGGTATATATGGGCTATGGTATGCAGGTGCTGTGGTATATGGGGCCTATGGTATGCAGGTGCTGTGGTATATGGCTGTAAGTATATGGGTGCTGTGGTATATATGTGCCATGTATGCTGCTGGTATATATGGGCTGCCATGATATGCAGGTGCTGTGGTATATGGGGCCTATGGTATGCAGGTGCTGTGGTATATGGCTGTGGTATGCAGGTGCTGTGGTATATATATATGGGCTGTAGTATGCTGTAGTGTGCAGGTGCTGTGGTATATGGATCTATGGTATGCAGGTGCTGTGGTATATGGGGCCTATGGTATGCAGGTGCTGTGGTATATATGGGCTGTAGTATGCAGGTGCTGTCGTATATGGGGCCTATGGCATGCAGGTGCTGTGGTATATAAGGGCTGTAGTATGCAGGTGCTGTCGTATATGGGGCCTATGGTATGCAGGTGCTGTGGTATATATGTGCTATGATATGCAGGTGCTGTGGTATATATGGGCTGTAGTATGCAGGTACTGCGGTATATATGTGCTATGGTATGCTGGTGCTGTGGTATATGGGGCCTATGGTATGCAGGTGCTGTGGTATATGGGTGTGGTATGCAGGTGCTGTGGTATATATGTGCCATGATATGCAGGTGCTGTGGTATATGGGGCCTATGGTATGCAGGTGCTGTGTTATATGGGTGTGGTGCTGTGTGGTATATATGGACTGTAGTATGGCCTGCAGCATATAGAGGTGTGTATGCAGGTGCTGTGGTATATAGGGGCTGTGGTATGCATGTAGTATGGTGTATAGGGGCTGTGGTATGCAGGTGCTGTTATGTAGGGGCTGTGGTATGCAGGTAGTATGGTATATAGGGGCTGTTGTATGCAGGTGGTGTGGAATTCAGGGGCTGTGGTATACAACTATCAAGAGGTGAATTCAGAATAAAGTCATTCTTTAACTGTTCCCCTGCTTCTGTCCTTCAGTATACACAATACAATCAATGTGACTGTTGATAAAACTGGAATGTTGTTAATGCCCAATTGATGTATATAACATGTACAGCCTGTATGTATGTATGCTGAATGAGTGCTGCATGTCTACACAGACAATGAGCTCAGCAAGTTCCTCACGGGGAAGGGAGACAGGAAGATGCCATGGGTGGAGAAAGGCCTCAACATCTTCGTGAAACTCCTCACCAACAAACCGGAACAAGCCAAGGGGAGCTGTGAGTATAGACACATTGAAGATAGATGTGATGGTAGACTAAAGGGAGTTAATACTCAGAGTAACTGCAAAGGCAAGAGCTTCGTACCAATTTATGATCACACAGGTTGTTTTAAGGGTTCTTGGTGTACAAGCTTGCATATCTTCAATAAAAATAAATCATCAACATGTATGAAAGTCTTGAGGGTATGCAAAGATATGATATCAGTTGTATTTTTGGAAATCAAGTATGGTGTTCCACATATGCGTGGGACTTCCTTGTCCATGCCTTGATCCACCAAAGTGCATTACTGAGAGGTTCCTTGACTCAAAAAATAGACACACCCAATTATATTTTCTTGTTTTAGTTGAAAATATAGAGGATTAGTATATTGGCATGTGTACTGTGACCCCATGTATAAGCCTTCAAAATCAATGCAAAATCAATTTATATACCCTGTGTGTAATGCAATCCTGAATTAGCACATCCATAGTTGTTGTCGCTTGAAAGTGTATCTGACTTGTATCTGACGATGTGTCTTATCCACTTTTAGAACTACTGTTCTTGATTAACCAATTCGTCCAATAAGTGTAGTGTGTTTGTTCCAGTGATGCAGCAGTTGCTGGAGCAGACGGTCAACACCCTCAGCAACATCCCAGAAGAGGCCATCTTCCCACTGCTGGACTTCTCACGTATGTTGGTCTGTTTGTTGTTTTACACTGCACTCAAAATGTACCAGTATAATGGAAGTCTGTTGAGTATGGACCAAACTATCCACTCTTGATATCATAGGCAACAGTCACCATTGTTAGGTTATGATCACATGATCACTGAAAAAGTCAGCACATCTTACTACCAGGTACTCGATCCACAAAGCTTTCAGAGAGTTATGATCTATCTTAATAATATGGCATAGAGCTACCAATGCTTTGTGGAGAGGCACCCTTATCTTTCCTGTGGACGAATCGTGACACAGATCTTCATGAGGCTGTTATATGTGTACTCACCACTGCTACACTTCTGCTTCATCACAGATTGAAATACTGTATCTGTGAAAGATTTTACTTACCGGTAAGTGTGTATGTGTATGAGAATTTGATTTTCTTTCCCAGATAGAATTGGTCCACATCAAATTGGTCAAAAACTTGATGGGTGGGATGGTTAGGTGTAGTGACTTGTTTGACAGAAGGGAATTGTACCCCTATTATATAAAGCACTGCCTAAAATATCAATCATTGATAATTTGATTATTTACAGATTGTGGTCATTTAGCTTGAAAATTATTAAGCTCTGAATGAAACAAAGAAAATGTTAGTCTGGTTTAAAATATGATATGATCAGTAGATTGTGCATGATGCATATTAAAAGTTGTATTGATTATTGTCTGTACCAGATATTCCTTTCCTTTTGAAACAGCTGATGATACTGGGATGAAGAAGTTCACGCTGTCTCCTTTACAGTTGTTGGGAATTAAGACAGTTGTTAGGTAAGTATTATCTGCCAGGACAAGATCAGTAACAGTTGTGAGGTAACAGTATTTATGGCAGTAATGTTATGGAGGTAGTATTGGTACAATGATTGACAATGATATCTATAGTTCCTATGTTCTTGCTGCCATGATGTTGCTAGAATATTGCTAAAAGCGGCGTAAAACCAAACTCAGTCAGTCAGTCCTATGTTCTTGAATATGCTTGTGAGAGATACAAAGGATGTGAGTATTGTTAAACAGGTATGGGATGCACCTCAAGGCTATCAACACCTCGGCTGCTGCCACAGACGGCCTGACCCAGCTCCTGAAACAGACTGGCTACTTCCTGAAACAGCAGCAGAAGGTTTTCAGGTCATCACTCCGTATCCTTGACAACCGCTAGATGAGGGGCTTGAGGACTGAATCTGAGGATCATTAGATCACCTTACAGTTCAGTGCATTATCTGTACACTGATACATCGTCCATGGGGTATTCAGGATGTTAGAATAGGTCCCCAGTATCTTCCAGGTTGTCCTGTCTTACATTTGTGATTGTCAGTGCACACTGATAAGGTGGACCCATGAAGATCCGGGTTAGAATTGTCTTCAGCAACCCATCCTTGTCATGGGACAATGGGATCGGCTGGTCAGGCTCGCTGACTTGTTGATACATGTCATCATATTGTGATTTGGGTAGATCACTGCTTATGCTGAGAGTCACTGCACATCCTTCCAGTCACTGGTTTGTCTAGTCCAGATATATATGTTTACAAACCATCATCATATAGATGTCAAGTATTCTTGAACGCAGATTTTAAAACATTCAGCCACTCACTTGTAGTAAATTCTTTTATGTGAAATTCAGATGCTTGGTAACACATAATGATGTCTTGTGTCCATGACAACTGGTTAGTTCCTGAACTAGACCCAGGTTACCTTCATGGCGGCTATCCTGGGTTTGACTGGTTTGCTGCCACTGTGTTCCTCATCTTCCACGGCAACATGGAGCGAGCGTGGAAGTTCTTGTACAAGTTCTCCTCCCTGGGGGTGTCCGGCTATCTGTGGATGCCCCGACTGCACGCTTCAGTATGTACTACTTTCTGAAAAACTGCTTGTCAATGTTTGACATTTGTTGGGTTGCATCAAGGTGATACTGGGCCAGAAGAGGTCATTATGCTGGTCATAAAAGTCAACCAGGTGGTCAAGCTTCATGACATGGTTGATTGCATGTCGAACAAACGAACGAACGAATATCCTTCTACCTTTATACATCTACATTCTTGATATTGACTTTATGGCAGTTGTTGTGAGTCATGAAGTATATTCATAGCTTTTCTCCATCATGTTATTCGACCATTGTTTTCTGTTGCAGACCAAGAGGTTTCAGAGCAATATGCTGTTAAGCCTTTGATAGACATTTTTAAATTGACAGGAAAACGACATGTGAAGCCTTTAGCGATAACAACTTCTGTATTGTGTGATGATGTTTCAGGATCACGTGATGAGGGGGCAAGACGTTTCCCTGAAACATCATTACAAACAATAATTATGTTTCATATCTTCCATAGAATGTTCGTCTACTGTCAGTATGAATCCAGTATCCTTTGTGGGGCGGTGGGGTAGCCAAATGGTTAAAGCGTTGGCTCATCACGCCGAAGACCCGGGTTTCAAATTCTCAAATTGGTACAATGTGTGAAGCCCATTTCTGGTGTCCCCCGCCGTGATGTTGTTGGAATATTGCTAAAAGCGGCATAAAACCTAACTCAGTCAGTCAGTCAGTATCCTTTGTATGGACAGCTAATATATGAGGGGTCTACCAGTGTATAGATTCAGTGTAAAGAAACTGTTGATGTTGACAGGTACACCTCCCGCCTCCACTAATGATGAGCGGCATACACCCAGTCTTCTCCAGCACGGCACACAACATCGAGTTCATCCTGCAGACAGAGCTTCCTCTGGTGGCCTCCGCTTTCAAGATGTCTGGATACACACCTGCACAGGTAGGCCGACAATATACCACATCGTGTTCAAATAATGATTATGTTTTGTGGGATAAATGTTTCCTTGTAGATCAGCATTCACTATGTTGAAATCTTTGTCTAAAGGCCAGTAGGGGGTCAGGTTCAGATACATCTCAGTTGCGTGAATTTTGTCACTTGGCAATTTGTGCGGAGTAATTGTGAAATTCTGTTGAAAATACAAGGTAATTATATTTGTTATATGGCAGTTTCTTTGATTGGTGAAATATTTTCAATAAAATTACACAAACAAGTTATGGTTTTCTTAAATGTAATGTTAAGATTACTTGATCACTGATAAAATTTCCCAAATGTAGAAATGTAAAGTATGCTTCAAGAGTGCACTTCCACTGGATCCGAATATGATGATAACACACACTTAGTGATGGTTCGTGAAGGAAGCTGACATAAAGTTGTTTAAATTGAGGGAATATTTGTCCGATTGACCAGAGTGAAAACACACTGTTGGTAAACAATGAACAGTGTACCTAGTTGTGTTCACAATCCTACTAGTGTTGGGAATTGGTTGAAATCTCATAATTGATGATTGGTTTGTAACCAACGAGCAATCATCGAAAAATATTGGTTAGCGTCATTTTCAAGATTTTCCTGTTCAGATTGTTATTGCAGATAAGTATAACATGGATCTCTGTTGCTTTTTGTCGTACTTAGATATGGCGCAAATTGCATTTGCGACTTTCACATCCAAAGTAAAATGATGCAACTTGCTACTTTTATGTGATGACTAGTATTACGTTAATATAACACCTCCCAAAGAAATATTCAGTTATGACTTTTCAGTAAATGAAGTGAAGTTTCTGAGAATTAAACCTGTTTTAAGGCCCTGACAACTTTTAAGATATGATCCACCTTCAAGTAGGTCCAAAATCGTTTGTGTTCGATTATGAGAAAATGTGATCGATTGCTTGGTCGTTTGGTCACTGCGACCAATCTTCGATTATTTAAATAAATCGGACCACCACTAAATCCTACTCTATCTAAAGGAAGCGATTGGGGTAGCTAAAAGGGGCGGTGGGGTAGCCTAGTGGTTAAAGCATTCGCTTGTCACGCCAAAGACCTGCATTCAATTCACCCCCTATAGGTATAATGTGAGAAGCCCATTTCTGGTATCCCTCACTGTGATATTGCTGGAATATTGCTAATAGCTGCTTAAAACTAAACTCTTTCACTGTTATAACACATATGGTCTGATTATATTTTACCTAACCATTTTCAAAGAGTGGCCCACTGATCTGGGGCAGCAAATTACCATGTAGAGTGACATCCCTTTGTCATGGCAGGATCAGCTTTAGGTTTCAATCTCACATTTGCCGACGTTACAATACGTGGTGTAAATTCATCTTGCTCCTGGGGTTCACCAAAGTGATAAATGTTCAAGACCTCTGTTTTCATCCCACTATTCTTCAAAGTAACATTGAACTCAACTCATTTCTGGAAACAAGCATGTTTTAAGAACTAGTTATTGTTGATTACAGATCTGTGTGCACTGGCTGAAGCAGTGTTTCTGGAACTTCCTTGACTGGGGCGACATCTGCCACTACGTGTGCACCTGCATCGTCCTCGGTGCCGACTATCAGGTGTATACATGCGTAGCCATTCTGCGACACCTCCAGCGCGACATCCTGCAGCATATGCAGACGCAGGAACTCATCTTCTTCCTCAAGGTCAGTTCAGTAGCAACATGTGAGCAGACACTAAGTTAGATGGCGTTCTCAGACTTTCTATAGAGTTGCTGTTTTATGTCCCGGTGGTATTTAAGATATGTTGTGGTGACGTGTTGATAATCAAGTCTGTGTTAGGCAAAGCAGTGTTAAACAGCATGAGCAATGAACCTTTGAAGGTGAGGTGAGGTGAAATTGGGTTTTACGTCGTACCTGAGAATATTTCGCTCATATGACAATGTGCATGCGTGTGTATGTGTATCGGCTGCTTGTACTAGCCCAGACTCAAGCTGGTTTTATAGTGCTAGCCCACTGAGATACCATGCCGCAGTGAAGCATGAATACCCCACTCAGACACATTATACTGACTCCGACCGACCAGTCCTTGTTGTACCCATTAATGCCGAGCTGCCAGACAGGGACCAACAAGTACCATATGCAGTCGGGGAATGAACCTTTAGAGCAGTAGGACACAGATTAATGTATAGCCATCAGATCCCCAGGCTTCAGGTGCAGTAGGGCCAACACAGCCCTATCATAAAGTTAGTGTATACTTGCAGGATCTTATGTGTAAAGACATGTGTATATTAATTTCATAAGTTTGGACAGAAGTAATGGTTAAGAATATGTAGAATCAGAAAAAATGTGAAGGGACCTTGCATTAGAATTGAGTTTACTGTCTCTGTTTATTCACAAGGGTAGTTTTTCTGTGTCCATCTGTGATTGCTACTGTCTGATGTTGTCCAGGAGGAGCCTATCACCGGGTTCCGGATGGCGGAGAACATCCGCTACATGCAGGAGTTGGAGAAGAAGTTCCGCAGGATCGTCCAGCCAGACATGATGAACATTACCAAGCCATGATGTCCTCACAAAGGAGGAGGAGGACCTGTTGAGGACAGGTTGCTAGGACCAGAAGAAGATAACGGGAACCAGCTTCCTTTGGTAACATGATGGTAGAGTTTCAGTGATTTAAGATCATGCAGTTGACAACTGTGGTCACTTGGTAGTTTCCAGACTCATTTCATGTTGATGCTCACCATGGATGTTGTTGGTGATTTACAGTGCCAGCTGTAGTATGTTTCTACTATACTATGTCTATACACCATGCCAGGAACATGAAGCATCGGAGACAAGTGTCTCTTGGTTTGAGTCCAGGTTTATGCTGAAGAATCTGTCTCATGTAAGATGTTTGGAAGTTGTCTCTTCTGAAGCAGTAAAAGTGATGCCTATATTGAACCAGATGATCTTGTGCTAAGATGATCTTGTGCTGCTAAGATGATCATAGCTCCCATTCTTTAACATAGGCTTATGGAAGTCTCATTGCTAAGATAGTTTTGTGACATGGGTCTCAGACAGGTTGCAAACCCTGAAAGGAGGATGCAACCTTCTCGTGACCACTTCTGCAAACTGTTTCTGTAGTCCTGGGGCGGTGGGGTAGCCTAATGGTTAAAGCGTTGGCTCGTCACGCCGAAGACCCTGGCTCGAATCCCCACATGGGTACAATGTGTGAAGCCCATTTCTGGTGTCCCCCGCCGTGATGTTACTGGAATATTGCTAAAAGCAGCGTAAAACCAAACTCAGTCAGTCAGTCAGTCAGTCCTGTAGTACTCCTCACCTGACCACCTACTATGTATATTCTATCTGCCAGTCAAAATACAAGCATTCACTAGTCTAATAGTCTGGTCAGCATGCTGAGCACTGAGCTTGACTGGTCTGTTTGCAGTCAGTATGCTATTATAAGTCAAGCATCTTGATATAAAACTTTGTATTTTGATTTTTAGACCTAATGTGGAGAAATATTCTTCAATCTCATGAACATGCATGTACTTTAAGTTAAGCTAATGGTACAGTCATGTTGTATCATTGATTACGCTGTATCCTAAACATTTATTTCTGTCATGTTTCATAGATTCTTGATTTAAGTCAATAATCATGTTGAAAATCAAAATGCAAATCTTCTGTTGCAAATCAAAGAAGCTGATGAAAATCATGGGTTAGATCTGAGACTGCAAGAACCACTGGAATGGCACCAGTGATTAGAGTAGCGTAAATTAATGCTTTTCTGGAGATAGAACAGATTGACAGACTACTGCATATTCACAATTTCATGTTTCATAATTTCATCACTCAGCCATTTGATGAAATTGTCTCATTTCATGTTTGTGCTATCCCCTGGGTGCATCGTAGTGGTAACCTGACACCTGATACTATACTTTTATCATAAAGTTTTACATATGCAAGATATCATTAATGCAAAGTCCATGTTTTGTGAATGTTATATTTATGATCTGATGTTTAAAGTTGTAATAACATGTAGAGATCATATGTCGCAGATTGGATCTAGAAAAGATTCACCATTTTTTTATTTATTTACCAATTTTCTGTTGTCTGTGGACAATCCGTACTTACTTCATTCCAATCAGCAGGCATTTTCTTTATTTACTTGGCTTAGGGATCAATCAGTCACAAATTTCACAAAATGGAATAAGAATAAATCTTGATTGCATTCTTGTTTTCCAACTCTTAGCCTGCCAAGTATAATTTGAGAATGAAAAACAAATATTGAATCATTTATGTTTTAGCTCTTAACCAATACTACCTTTAAAAGATCACATTTAGGAAAACATGTTTAATGTTTTTTACCACCAATGAAAATCAATCTATAAGCCAAGTAATTGGAAAAAGAGACGTGTCCTGTGGATGAGAGGGCGAGTGGGCAAGTGAGTGAGTATAGCAGAATGTGATACCACCAATGCCTCTTACATGGGTGAGTGAGTGAGTCTGAACATTGACACAATGCCCTACTATATACAACTGCACCACCTGTGCTTTGGTCTATGCCTTGTGGGGCGGTGGGGTAGCCTTGTGCTTAAAGCATTTGCTCGTCACACCGAAGATCCAGGTTCGATTCCCCACATGGGTACAATGTGTGAAGCCCATTTCTGGTGTCCTCTGCCATGATATTGCTGGAATATTGCTAAAAGTGGCGTAAAGCCAAACTCACTCACTCACTATGCCTTGTACACAGGTGGTGTCAGAGTGTATCTAACTCTAGAATGTGTGATTAGCATCAATCTTCACGTCCATGTTTGCGATGCAGACTTCTACCTTGGCATGATCTGTGATTTGATGTTGTAGCATCATCCGTCCATCATTCCATCAAAGGGTATGTTTTTGTATAATAAACATATTCTTTCATATCAAAGCCTATGTTGTTCTTACAAAGCTTCAAATTAAAAAAACCTGTCCCATTTTGTAAAATAGGAATCTAGATCTTCTTTTTCTGGACACAAATAGTATACAAATAAAAACTCTCAAAAGAACTTTAAGAACACCAGACTGTTTCATATGGCATGGGCAATACAGATAAACTATAGTCAAGTGGAAAACAGTGTTCCGAAACTTCTTTTGAGAAGTATATATATAATAATATGCACAAGCAAACTTACATTATCAAGAACAGCTTTCTAGATGTTACCAGAGAATAATAAATTGTAGAGTGTGACAGCTGCAAATATGATTGGTTGAAATACCAAACTCATACTTTTTACTGTCTGTCAGATTTATGTTTTTCTATAAATCTGAAGAAAAAAAGAAATGTTTGTGATTTGTCTCATTCAGCAACAAGTGACTTTGTTAGTTGGAATTATTACAAAGGACTGACACACTTTCACAGATTTGCAGAGTTTATTAATCAACACCAACAAATCACTAAACTTTTGATTCGGGCTCTTTTAATACTGAAGACTATTGTCATCGTTCCTGAAGATCTTATGGCTGTTTGGCAAAGGAAGTGACAACCAGTGTTTATAACACTGATTAAAATCTATTCAAACATAAATAAAGAGACTGAAAAGTACAATAATATGAATCAATAAACGGATGTAACTCTTCAAGGTTTGTACCAGTGAAGAGTTACTTATTTACAATATTAATTACAAAATTGCGTAACCATAGTCAAATTACTGCATGTTCCAGTGTAAACATGACTCTTCCTTGAGCAAGATTGAATCTGTTCAAGTTGGCTGACCTATGTTGGAAATTTAGGTCGTATTTGTGTCCAAGATGTTTTTGTTTAACCATTTTAATCAAAATGCTACATATTCATTTTTTAACATCGAAGTAATGAAAAGCTCTATTGATTTCCATCCTTTACGGGAAACCCTTCAGTTCATGCATTGACTATATCAAGCAACTGATTATGGTATTTGAGATGTTTTACATGGTCAGAAGTTTCAAATTCCAAGATTACATGCAAAGATACTTTTCATGGAATTTAATGGCTACCACTCAAAACACTGTCAGTACTTCAGATACTTGTGTAGACAAGCTTTCTATGTGTGAGTCAGGGGATTGGAGCTCGGAAGGACAAGAAACTGCACTGTAATGAATAGACACTGTAACCACCACCAGCTGCACCGTATGACCACGTTGAATGACATGTACATGATGTCATCATTCTACATTATTCAAATATCAATCTAACTCACAACACATCATGACATAAATACTGTTAAGATAACATTGTGAAGTAACACACAAAAACCAAGAAGAAAATGGTTGGAACCGTCCTCGATTGTCCAGTATCTGATATCTCCTTTGATGACCAAATACAAATTTGCAGTTACTGGTCATTTTAATGTGACACCATCTCCAGGTCGTGTATCACTAAGGTAACTTATCACAGCATTTATACCATCCATGAGCTTGAAATCAACAACCGGTCACTGTTGAGTGTACATGAACAAACAGTGCAATCTGACTATGAGTCAGTTGGGTTTTATACTGCTTCTAGCAATATTTCAGCAAAATGGCAGAGTGCCGTTCAGTTGGATGGTTGTTTTTATTGTTTTGTTCATTTAAAGCCAACTCAAAACATAGCTATGGTTGACAATGGTCCAGGGTTTATATAATAACTGGATGGAGATATTATACCCTGGAACATCGAGGATGAAACAAGGAGCATGGGATCCCAGCTGAAGGATGCACCAATCAACATCACACTTTGTTATTATCATTACAGATTTGACCATTGAGAGCCAAAACTACAATCAGAAGAGAACAGAAAAGAAATATCAAATTTTCCCAAACACTATCATTGCTAGATCGTTAAAACCTATGTACAAAAATCTAACAAGCAACTATTTAAAAGACTGCTGATCAAAAGCATTACCAGTATACTGTCTGCTGCTGCACACATCAGAAGTATTTATCGTTCTCTTTAAGCATTAATGGTTTCAAAATAATTTGGCAGACCCAAATTTGTGCTGGCTAAAATATAGAGAGACTGAGATATACAAACATATTTCTACTTCAACCTACATTAGGTAAATAACTATGTAAATACCCGTAAACCATAAGATATACATGTGTCGCCTATGGACGGACTAGTTCAACTTATAATCTGGCAATACACATCAAACATGGACACAAATGTTTCACTATTTAGAATAGAATGCACTATAACAAAATTCCCAAATAACTATCTACTCATGAATAGTTTTTATAACAATGAATTTTAAAATAAACTAAAAATTTAAACAAATTTTTCAGTCAATGAAAGTTCTGTACTGAGGCTAGATTTTCTCAAGCACAACATTAAACACAACAAATGTGAACAATGTATCTTCAATACTCCAAACTGTTTGTTGTCTGGGGAATATCTGGATCTATGTTCATTATTTTTAAAACAACAGGGGTTCAGCAAGGTGTGAGAGCCTTTCTGGAAAAACTGGAACTTGAAAATATCAATATCAAAGTTATCGATTCATTTCAAAATTGTGATGTAATTATCAGACATGTTTGGAAGACTGTCTCCTATACCTCTTCTGTTTCTTGTAACTTGTCCATGTGACAAAGTTTACGTCAAGTTGCAGTCTAACTAAAAGCAAGTCTTTGACCCAAAATTAGTTTTTCACCATCTGTTCAGTCTTGGCCTATATTCGGGTTAAATACCACCATGGTTCAAGGACACATTTAAGTATTAGAAAATTATATCCTCAAAAGTTCTACAATGAGCCAAGGATACAGTTTTTCATCAAAGCTCTACAGTTGGTGTTGTTCTAAAGACATATTTATACAAAAGAAGAAATTCTAGTTCACCACCATTTGTGTAACAGATTACATAAATAACCATTTAAAAAATACTTCCATTTACGTACATGTATTTGGCTGTTAGTGGGTTAAAACATCTCTTTCCATGCATGGTCCTAAACCGTTAAAGAGGAAGCAGATGACAGTTAAAACTGTCACATCATTGTTGTTTAATGCCACTCACAGTGATACTCCAGCAGATTGTATATAGTCAAAACTGAACAGATAATCCAGTGATTGACATCATGAGCACCGATCTAAATTGGATATGATACAATACATCAACAAAGTCAGCAATCCTGACCACCCAGTCTTATAAATCACTTCCTACAACAAGCATGGGTTCCTGAAGACCAGTTCTAACCCGGATCTTCATCTGGTCCCTGTTTCACAAAGCAATCGTAGCACTAAGGTGATCGTAATTCCCAATCATTAACATAGACTTACGACAGTCGTAGCACTATGATCGCTATGTGAAACGGACCCCTGGTCTTTATACTGTGTACACAGTTTGCAAACTGAAACATGCACCAACAATACCTAACAGCAATAACAAATAAATAATGTCAGTCAGCAATATACAAACATGGTGGCTGCGTAGTATTAATTATCTTAACAAGTAAGCACTATACTGAGGACTAGTTTAAAGATAGCATCACACTATTAATATTTCTCCTGTCTGTTTTACCGCTTCCCAAGGAGGACCTTGAATAAAGTGGGCAGCAAAACCTGTTACGCTACAAGCTCCCTGGTTGTATACTCCCAAGGGAGCTGAGAATATAAAGGTCAAGTTCCAACTGATCCACTGACCATGGTGATAATAACATAAAGTGTCTTTAACAGCAACTTGGCGTCATATAAATAGATTTTCATATTGAAGTACTGATATTTATATCCTATCAACAGTAAAAGATGTAACTTCTGTTTCGTCACATGATACATGGCAATTCTCTCTGCAGATTTATGTCTCTAGGCATGCTTAAAAGATCATGTGTTAAATCCCAGTTTGCTTCGATTATGTTTCCGAGCTTTATCTATACCAGCCCATGCACGTGGATTTCATGAAAGGGGTAAATCTCTAAATGCCATCATCACTAAGGAATTTCCTCACATAACAATATCCAGTGATACAACTAAACTACATAAATAGTGTTTAAATAAATTGTATAACTAACTTTCATGTACTGGAGAAATAACTTTGTTGACTAGCATCAAGGAAAAAGGAGTATCGGTAAATCTTGACTTGTAAAATTTCTGACACGGACACCCTGACTTTCATGCTTAATTTTCAACACAGCACATGTTATCATCCCCTCATTGAAAAATCCTGTCATATGACTGGCCAGTTGTAAGAACCGAAAGTCAAGCGGCTCAGGATGCCCTTCTGTTGGATTGACATAGTGAACTTGTCACATTACAATCAACCCTGTTTGCAGTTCAAGTTGTCACACAGGCGGTCTCAATATAAATCTTATCTTCTCACTGAAAACATCTGTAATTAGGGTAAGTGTGAGATGGAAACCTAGATCAGCAGATCTTGACATGACAAGGAGATGTCACTGTACATGATAATTTGCTGACCCTAAGATGAGTTAAGTTTTACGCCGCACTCGGCAATATTCCAGCTATATGGCGGCGGTCTGTAAATAATCGAGTCTGGACCAGACAATCCAGGGATCAACAGCATGAACATCGATCTACACAATTGGGATACGATGACATGTGTCAACCAAGTCAGCGAGCCTGACCACCCGATCCCGTTAGTCGCCTCTTACGACAAGCATGGGTTACTGAAGGTCAGTTCTAACCTGGACCTTCACGGGTAAAAAAACCCAAACTGACTTAACAATGATAAAGTTGTTCCATGTTCAACTAGATTTTACATCAGAATGTTAACATACAGACCAATTTCATGTGTAAAACATAAAACCCCACTAATTACACATGCGTCTCTCACACTAAAAACCAAAATCGACTTCTAGCAGAACAAACCTACTGGTGACAGGTTTAGAGAAGCTAGTAAGTTCGGTTTGTCTGACCTCAGTGTTCACATCATGTTCATGGCTTCTTGGTTACACTGGCTGTCTGGTAGATCTGCTTCAGGTTTTGACGACGTTCATTATGACAACCTGTAACATACACAAAAGCTTGGTTGATAGTGTCAAGACATACATATTACTCTGCCATCCTAAATGTAACGTGGGTAGCCTAGTGGTTGAAGAGGCTACATGTTACTATTCGGTTAAAACAGAGACACCCCCAGTGCTGTGTTGTAGTTGTGGATCCAGAATTTTGGAGGGGTTTGGGGTGGTGGACACACACACACACACACACACGCATGCACCACACACACACATACACACACTTTTCTCCTCCTCCCTCCCGCTCTGGATCCACCTGTGTTGGGGTTGAGCTGGTGTAGCCTAGTTATTAAAGTGAACATTCCTTAAGATGAAGATTCCCCACATGGCTCTTGCTGTGTTGGGACTGTTCCAAGTCCCTAGCAAAGCTGGACAGGTCAAATTAATTGTGAATGAGTGAGTGTTGGAATAATCAAGACATTACTTGAGGTTTTTAAATTATCAAGTTCAGGTCCTGTTCCACAAAACGATCGCAGCACTAAGATGATCGTAACTCCCATACTTTAACATAGACTTACGACAGTCGTAGCGCTACGATTGCTCTGAGGAATGGGGATCTGGACTTTTATAGTTCAAAAAGATATCAAAACCATTAAATTCACTCATTCATGGAAGCTTCGGAAGGTTTGCCAAGAGATAAGATTACTAGAGCCTTCACTGAGGTGAGCTACCACTACTGGGGATACAAGGAATCCCACAATGTCCATGTACCTACCTAAGAAGGAGTTGATGGTGGTGCCCATGCTGTTGATCATGCTGAGGTGAGCTACCACTACTGGGGATACAAGGAATCCCACAATGTCCATGTACCTACCTAAGAAAGAGTTGATGGTGGTGCCCATACTGTTGATCATGCTGAGGTGAGCTACCACTACTGGGGATACAAGGAATCCCACAATGTCCATGTACCTACCTAAGAAGGAGTTGATGGTGGTGCCCATGCTGTTGATCATGCTGAGGTGAGCTACCACTACTGGGGATACAAGGAATCCCACAATGTCCATGTACCTACCTAAGAAAGAGTTGATGGTGGTGCCCATGCTGTTGATCATGCTGAGGTGAGCTACCACTACTGGGGATACAAGGAATCCCACAATGTCCATGTACCTACCTAAGAAGGAGTTGATGGTGGTGCCCATGCTGTTGATCATGCTGAGGTGAGCTACCACTACTGGGGATACAAGGAATCCCACAATGTCCATGTACCTACCTAAGAAAGAGTTGATGGTGGTGCCCATACTGTTGATCATGCTGAGGTGAGCTACCACTACTGGGGATACAAGGAATCCCACAATGTCCATGTACCTACCTAAGAAGGAGTTGATGGTGGTGCCCATGCTGTTGATCATGCTGTCAGAGTTGATGGACTCATCGGTGTAGACAGGGCCATCGTCCCAGATGAAGTCAAACCCGCCGATACGCTTCTCCTTCCCTGTCAGTCTGTACAGCAGGCAACACAGTGTAACTACAGACTTCAAAATTCATGCTGGACCATAAGCCCAAGACTACTGACTTGTGTGGAGGGAAAGTGAAAACCCAAATCTCATCGACTATCATCATACGGAGACTATGAATCAGAGCCAGTTCTAAATACTTCACTATCGCTACAAACTGAAACCAAATATAAAAAAGTAAACATTTTTGTGTCATTCCAAATGATGAACTACAAACTCTCTAGTCAAGATAATGTAATTTTTTGAGTAAAATTGATATTTTATACTTATCCTGACTCATGCTCTTTTGCTTGTCCCCTTCCTCTTGCGAACATAGTGGAACACTTGTATCTCCTTAATTGAAGCTCCCTTCAATGTAAAATCACTAATTGGTACTCACCCACGAGTAACCTCCCCTGCCGTGAGCGCGGGAACAGGTGTCGCCACCCTCTGGCCTCATGCTTCACTCTCTCCTGATTTTGCGAGCCCAACACTTGAATTTACAGGGAAATCCAAAGTGTTATGTGGGTGGGATGGTAGGGCTAACCTCATGAGTCAGGATAAGTATAAAATATCAATTTTACTCAAAAATTACATATTTTTCCTTATCCTGACTCATGCTCTTAACTTGTAGAATCCACGGAGAGGTGGTGGGTAAAACAGAATACTTTGGATTATAATTAGTGATTTAAATAAGTGATATTGTAATAACCCCTCTTGGGGAACTTCATAAGGCATTGAGACTTAGGATATTTCCTTTATAATAAGCCATCAGATATATACACTATAAGTGGGGTATTACCTTACTAATATACTGATATATCAATATATATATATAAGCTGCTACTCTAAAGTAGCTGTACACTGAATATAACTCAGTATGAGCTTGGGTTGAATAACCTAAGCTAAATATGTACATAGCCCTAGAACTCCATGGAGTTATAAGCTAATGAATATATGTATCATATATATAATAATCTGGTGGGGGTGAATATTAGCATCTCACGAGGACTGTCAATTGCTGGCGAGGACCAAAGGACCCGAAATGGTGAATGCCAGAGGCGTCCTCGGTGGTGATATCTCTGAGATAGTGATTAGCAAACACCATGTTAGATTTCCAAAGCATCCTTCCATAATTGTATTCAATGAACAGTTACAGTGAAGGGGCGAGGGTGGATGCCAAAGCCCTGATTTCATGGGGATTTGATGCTGTTGGAGGGTCAGTCCTGCTGCCTTATAAGTGGCGTAAAATGACAGTTCTTATCCATATAGATATGGTGAGTGCGAGAGACTTCTGTCTGATTTGTGGCGATAGCGGGATGAACAATCTTCTGGCGATCTTAAGCCTTGTTTTGGAAACGGCGTAAATAGATTATGAGAGCTCGTACTGGGCATAGAGATAAGTCAATGTATCTTGAGATCGAGAATTGAGGATAAGCGCAGGGATGTGAAATAATCTGTCTGGTTGACCTGGTAGTTGATTTTTGGCGATGAAATCCCATCTTAATCCCAGGTGCGCTGTTTTTGATTGTCATCAAACTGTATCCTCTCATAATCTAGAGCATGAATTTCAGATATTCTGGCTGCGTGGCTAGCGATAACAGGAAAACTGTTTTCTGTGAGAGAAATTCCAAAGTTGTCGATTCAATGGTTCATAATCCTCACTTGTGAGGTGTCGTTAAAACTGCATTCAGATCCCAAGCTGGAAGCGTGGAACTTCAGCTTTTGGTCCTCCAATCAGAAAGCGTAGTAAGGCCAGTAACTCTGGTGTTCTTGTTAATTTAACACCGTTCTCATAGAAATCCACAGAACTAAGCGCTGACAAGATATGTTGACAATGTCGAGCCTTTTAAATGTTTGTTTTGCGTAAAGTAACACAAATAGTCTGCCACTTGAGGATCGTAGCATCTCTGGCTATAAAACCCTTGTTTGCTGCATAATTTTGGAAACTTTGCCACTTGTCATGTCGTACAAGTTCTGGCGTTGAGTATCGTAAAGGCAAAGCGTGACGCTTTTGCCGCCCTGGTAGAATATCCTCTCTTGTTTAAACACATTTTAATACAGTCCATGCGTGAAGTTTGAATACTTCTGGGTTTCTGTGCACCTGTTTGGTGTGAGGATGTATTAACAGGTTTCTTGCTAGGTAGTTCTAGTGCGGTTGACCCGATATCTTGTATTAGGGGAAACCACGTTCTGGCGGCCAATAGAGCGACCAAAGTGAGTTGTAGGCTCTGCGTTTGGCTGATTTTCTGTAATACTAGAGGTTATTATTGCTGGGAGAGGCGTGCGCGTGAGGCCTTCCATGATATGCTTAAAGCGTCCGTTGCCCATGCTTGTGGGTCTGGCACTGGTGACCACGAATGTCGGTAGTTGATTGTTGAACCTTGTGGCGAATAGATCTACTAGCGGCTCCTATTGCTTGATTATCTGTGCAAATATCTCTGTATTGAGCATCCATTCTGTCGGCGGCCGGTAGATGTGGCGAGAGTCGTCTGCTAGTATATTCCTGGCTCGGGGAATGTGGCATGCTGACATGTAGATTTAGATCTTGGATTAATTGAACAGTTGAAAGGTTAAATTCAAAAGGTTCGGCGATCTCGTTGAGCCTTGTCTGTTCATATAAGCGCCACTGTCGAGTTGTCGGTATGTATCATCAGAGTGCGCATTCTGTAGAATGTTGCTCCAATGTCTTATAGCGTTGATTACAGCTTTCATCTCTAATGCGTTTATGTGGAGTTTGCTTTCTAGCTGAGTCCATAACCCTGATGCCGTCGGTTGGTGAGATGAGCTCCCCAACCTTGGGCGGCGTCTACATATAGATGGGTTTTGAATTCCTGCTCTGCTAAACAAATCCGCCACTGCAGACATTCGATTTCTTTGTCCACCATAATAGATGAGGTCTGAGATGTTTGGTGGACTGAATGGTTGTAGGTCGATCGAGATGTGTGTTGACGAAGACCTGTAATGGGCCGTAACTGTAATCTGCCAATGACTGTCAGAGTCTTGGGCTGATGTTAGAAGACCTAGTAAGCTCTGCCATTGTCAGAAGTGGTAGCGGCGAAAGTAGAGCTGGTGGAATGATCTGTTGGATCTTGAGCCAGCGGTCTTCTGAAATAGCCACGACTATCACGGTTGAGATTGGTGATAAATCGGATGCCTAGGAATTGCAGATCTTGCGATGGTACTAGGTCCGACTTGTGTAAGTTTACTAACCATCCCAGCTGTGTTAGTAGCTTTATGATGTAGTTTAACTGTAGTTTGAGATGCTGTGGATCTTGATCTACTTGTATCCGTCGTCGAGGAAGAGCGCTCGCGTAGCCTTGGCGATGTAGATGAAGTAACAATCGGTTTACGTTATCCTCGTGAATAACCATGGGGCTGATGCTATTCGAATGGGAGTACTTTCCACTGGTAATGTAACCCGTCTAGCGTAAACCGAAGGTATTTCCTGGATTAGGGATGTATCGGGATGTGCAGATAAGCATCTTGTAGATCTATACTGCCCATGTAGTCCATGGGGCGAATCATCTGCGTAGCTGCGGTAGATGTATCATGAAATGAACCTGGGTGGTCTGCTTAAGTAAGTCTTGTTGAAGAAGCTCATGTTGTAAATGAGTCTGTATTTCTCCTTGGAGTTCTTCTTGGGTACTAGGAAAACTGGGGAGTAGAAACCTGGTTCGATGTTTCCTTGCTCTATAATACTTCTATGGCCTGCTTGGTTGGGAGTAATGTAACCGCCTCTCTTAACTTTAGTAGTTGTTGTGCCTGTACCTCGAACTTGTGAGGGTTGACTGTTAGTGGAAGCTTGGCCTGTAGTGGGATCTGAAATCAGCGTTGAAAAATGTTGGAGACATAGGTGTCTTGAAGTATTCCCCAGTTTTCCCAGTGTAGTTGAAGGCGTCCACCCACTTGTGGCGGTTGTACTGGAGCGGCTGGGGTGGAAGACTCCAGTCGTTCGAACCTGTCTTTCAGCGTTTATAGTTCGGGAACCTCTGGGTGTCCTGCCTCTTCCTGACCCTCCTCTATAGTTGCCATATGGGCGTGAAAAGAATCTCTTCCCTGGAACTGGCAATCTTCCTGTCTCTAGCTTTTTGTAGGCCCGTGAATTTAGATCTCCTGAGTATCTTTGTGAAGTCTGTCGAGAATGATGACACTGGCTAAGCGTGTCCATCGATTTAATCATCAGGACTTCTCTAGAATCCTTGGTGACTTCTTTGGAGACTCTGTCTATTCCTCCGTCAAATATGGATGGGGAAGACCACGGGGCTGTATATAGTGGAGCTGTAAAGTTCTCACCCCAGTTGCAGGAAGCTAGGAGGCCTTGACGGACGAGCTAAGGTCAGTGCTGCTGAGACAGGCGTCAGATGATCTGTTAAAACTGCTGGTCCTTCTTTTTGCATCAGTAGGGCGAGAGTAAATCATTCTGTCATCTTCAGAGGTAGGTGTTCGAAATCTGGAGATAAGTGTCTCATTTATTGTTCTAGATCTATTTAGACCAAAGAACATACAGCCTGCGTCATGGTTTCTATCTGAACCAATTTCCGATCATCAATCTTGTAGTACTTGTTCTTGGCATCGGAGATCAGCTTATAGTTCTCATCGATGTCTTTAGCGCTTTGAAGAAGGGTCCATATTATCGTGGAGAACTTCTTGGCTGAAATTTAACCAGATGTGGCGTCTGAACCTTCCGTGGCTTTGTTAAATGCTGTATCTAGGTTCTGAGGTACCACCCATGTCGAGATTAGATTGGGGGTAGTGTAATAGCATCTGCATCGTCTTCTTTCATCAGATAAGTCTGCCGTATTGCCACTCTTGGAAGGTGATGAGAGATCTAGATTATTGACCATCCAATATCTTATCTCTGCATCTGAGAAAATAATTCCTCCATCATCTTCCATTCCATCATCATAATTAAGAGGTTGTTGCTCTTCTGATGTAGGGCTGTGTGGCTCTATCTCTATATCGTTTGGCAGCTTGTGGAGATCTAGTTGTAGGCTTATGTGCAGACCTGTGAGGTGATCGGTGGTGATGGCGGCGATCGTCTTAGTGATCTATATCGATAGGTTGACCTTCTTGGCGACCTATGAGGGACTGATGGTAGCCCGCGAAGCTCTTATGTAGTCCCTTGATGACCTTTTAGATGAAGAGCGATCTGGGTTCAGGTGTCGCTTCGCGAACGCAGCCCAGCGAAGCTTCGTTTGCTTCGGTCCTGGGGAGCGATGATATGACCTTCAGCGAAGGCTTGCGTGTGGTCTGATGATCAGATTCATTATCTGAGTATGGCGCCCGAAGAAGGTGATGATTTTTCCGCCTTAGCGAAGGCCTTCAGCGAAGGCTGTACATCTGGGTCCTTACGTCGAGGTGGTCTGTGACTTCCTTCGCGAAGGCTGCATTGTCGTGGCTGCTTCGTTGACAGATGGTGCCTCTGGGGTGCTGTCACGTTGGAGCCTTCAGCTTCGGACCCTGGGATGGCTGCTTCTCCAGTCTATAGTGGCCTTCCATCATAATCATGATCTGTTTCATAAGATCGTTTGGGATGATCTGCGGCGTAGTAGATGGTGCCCTCTCTGCTGTGCTAGCGGTGGGGCCCCTCAGCGATCTCGTCTGACATCAGTGTAGAGGCATCAGGCTGCATGGTGATCTCTGCTGGCGTCACTGTCGCTGTCACTGGTAAACTTCTTGTGGCGTATGTCGGGTATGATGATAGGCTGGTCATCGTAGAGGCCCAATTCTGCTGCTGGAGCGATCTCGGCTGAAAGTTCTACGATGACTTCGTGAGATTTCCCTTTGGAGGATGGCGCTGCCCTGGGGTACGAAGTCTGCGTTGAGAAGACGTTGAGGCCCTCTTGGACTTTGTCTCGCGATGACTGGATGTCTGGAGAGGCGATTAAACTTCTTAGAGGTGACGGACTGCATCCCACGTCCCTCTTCCGATGGGGTCTCAAGCAGAACACCAGGCGGGGAGGATCGCTTCGACAGCAGTTGACTGGATGGGCAATCCGGCGTATCGGCCATGTCTACACCTAGTTTGCGTGACCTATCTGCAACCACGTCTCAAGGCGCAAAGATGGTATTTATCAAAGGCAGAATTGGTTAAATTTATGCAGTAACTGCAGCGTGAATCAAGCGCACAAAGTGAGTACAACTAGGGCATACCACATGCGGATCATGCAGCGGAAAAGCGTAATCTACAAATAGTACAGTTTTTCATCAATGTAAAACTAGCTGAACAATCCACGAACTCACGTGAATAAACAGTAGAAATACGATTAATTATCAATGCAAATAACTGAAGGATACTAGCTATACCTTTATAGTAAACTATAATAGGTAACTAACTAAGAAAAACCAAAGGATATAGTGTGTAAGGAGACACAGGCGCTCTCACATCCTGCTCACTGGGCGAAGAAGGAGAGAGTGAAGCATGAGGCCAGAGGGTGGCGACACCTGTTCCCGCGCTTACGGCAGGGGAGGTAACTCGTGGGTGAGTACCAATTAGTGATTTTACATTGAAGGGAGCTTCAATTAAGGAGATACAAGTGTTCCACTATGTTCGCAAGAGGAAGGGGACAAGCAAAAGAGCATGAGTCAGGATAAGGAAAAATAATAAATATGAAAAGCCCTATTTCTATTCTAAACTATAACTTCTCGCATTATTATCATCCATGTAACAGAGTAGGAAACCAACATAAGTCTGTAATTTGAAATATCTGATTCTAAAGGGCTAACGACATTAAATACATCTATGATGATTTAGTTCTGAAAGGATCATAAACTACGATACGTGGCACTGGCAATGCAAGCAGGGATCTTTTGACAAACTCTGATTTTTGTGAAGGAACTGACCATCCCTCATGAGGCCTTCTTTATGGATGATAATTATCCATTACTCTTAACACGCCTTGATTATGATGATGCTTATTATTGTTAACCTTGTTTTCCTCCTCACCTATTTTCCATGTCAAGGACATTGATGACATCATTAAGCATTCCGAACTTGAGGTCATAGTCTTCTTTACTGCTGGCTGTGAGAGACGGCGATGCATTGATCTCCAGCAGCCAGCTGAAACAGTCAACCCAGTTACAGTATACACTCACTGGATTGTGTTCACAAAATACAGCTCTGAATAGACCTGTGAAGGTCCGGGTTAGAATTGGTCTTCAGTAACCCATGCTTGTCGTAAGAGGCAACTAACGGGATCTGGTGGTCAGGCTTGCTGACCTGGTTGACACGTATCCCAGTTGCCCAGATTGATGCTCATGCTGTTGATCACTGGATTGTCTGGTCCAGACTCGATTATTTACAGACCGCCACCTTATAGCGGGAATATTGCTGAGTGCGACGTAAAACTAAACTCACTCAGTCACAGCTCTGAATAGGGCCTTACATTAAGTATGAATACCGGATTGTATTCACCCTGCCAAATTAGCATGGCTAATTAAGAAATTACATCAACATATTTTGTGTTGATGAAGGTATAGATGTATAATGCACACTGTCTAAATCTGCATGCATATGTTGAGTTTATCTTCATAACTCTAACTGCCCCAAAATGTTGAAGTCAGTCCTTACAAATCTAATTTCATAGACTAAAAAATAGAAGAAAACTAAATGAAATGTGTCATCAGCACAGCAATGCAACCCAAGCCCTGCCCATTTCTACCATAAGCCAATCAGTAAAGTGTAATCTATGTGGGGGCGTGGCCTATACATTTCAATCTTCCAATACTTTATGAGGATGCAGTGGGGATGCAAAAGGGATTCTCCAGCCTGCAGCTAAAGTCACCACTGTTATATGCAGCATTAAACCCCACTCACACTTACTGAAGAGTCCATATATGTGGGTGTGGCTATAATGTTGCTAAAAGTTTGTTGTTTAAAGCCGCACTCAGCAATATTTCAGATATATGGCAGCAGTCTGTAAATAATCGAGTCTGGACCAAACAATCCAGTGATCAACAGCATGAGCATTGATCTACCCAACTGGGATACGATGACATGTGTCCACCAAATCAGCGAGCCTGACCAGCTGATCCCGTTAGTCGTCTCTTACAACAAGCATGGGTTACTGAAGATCAATTCTAACCTTGATATTCACGGGTCTAATACAAAAGGAATCAGCAAAAAATACAACAAGAATTACAATGAACATAGAACAGAAAATAACTGTATAAAATCCTAATCGACACTAATTTTGTTGTATTTAAAGTTCATTGTTTGTAAATTTAACACCACACATCACCAAACTAGACATTCCTATATTCCTCATACTGGCTGGTTCTGAACTTTCCAACTGAATCTTCATCTCTAGATGTACCAAGGAGTGATGTGATAAGACGCAGCAATATACAAAATCAAGAATTGGTGTAATATAAAGAGCCACTCACGGTTTGAGTTTGGCATCCAGTAGGATGTCATAACCATACAGCTCGAAGCAGTGCTTGTCATTGATCATGATCTTCTGTGTGCTCTGCAGGCTCAGAATAAACACCTCTTGCATCTGGTTCAGCATCTTCTCCACCTGGCAACAGGGGAGGTAATAGAAGAGGGGAGGTAATCTGAACAGGGTTGTCTCACATGAACAACATTTTACATACCTGAAGGAGTTGTCGGTCACATGCGGTGGACTTATTTGAAGGGGAAGGGGCAGGTAGTGACCTTCTATTTTTGTAAAATCTCAAATGTATGTCAGTTATTCTGCTACGTTTTATACACTGTAACATCTTTGACTAATATATTTAAATAGTATAAAGAAAAATCTCTCTGAAATTTTGAGTTCATCTTTATGAAGTTTCTGTAGGTGAACCTGTCTGTTTGTGGGTGTCCTTCCCTGATGTTTTGATGTTATAATTAAAGGCTATACAGGTCTGACCACCTAATCCAGTAAGTCTTGTCTTGAAGCAGCATGTGGTTGTCTTATGGTTGCAGGGGAACATATTTCAGCCCAGAATTCCCATGGGCAAAGATGAAATATTGAAGGGTGCGATATGAATATTAGCCTTGCAATCAGAACAGTTAGGTCAAGTAAACTCTATTTCCTTGTAACTAAACTGAGCCATAAATTCAAGACATGAGGTCTGTTGGATTTGGTTGCATGAGGAGGACATAAACTCACATCTTCTCGCTTGTGTCTCGCTGTCAGGTACTGTCGGAGTTGTTGTGTCGACCACTTGCATCCCTTCTCTGGATCATAATCCGGGGCTGTCTTCTGGATGGCCACATTTGTCAGGTGAACATCTGCACAACTTGTCAAGGAAAAACTGGAAGGCACTCCCAGGGACTTTGTTTTGGAAAGTTTTGGTCACTATTTTTTAGAGAATCATCCTTTTCTAATTCACCAGTATTTATCAGCATCCTCTCCAGTAACAATATTTAATTATGACAATGACTAAAATGACTCATAATATTTATCTCAGTAAGTTTTCTGTCATAATAACCCTACATACTCCTCTGTCATTACATTGTGTGTCCTATGCAGGGATTTACATGGAGTCCTGTATTTGACGGTCCCTGGGACTCATACTCTTAATTTTCAGGGGGTCCTGGACAACAAAATGGGGGCCCCAGACACTAAAATATTATCATCAATACTGTTTTTGTATTATGTATCATGATCACCACATTGTTACAGTAATTTAATTGCAAATAATACTATAACCCAACTAGTAGCAAACTCAGTGATAACCTATTATCACTTGACTGAATTTTTACAAAAAAGTATTTGGACTTTTTCTGAGTCCCTGTGGATGCCATAATAAATTTGACTGCGTCCATTGTCAATTTTTACGCGTATAGGACGCAGGAATTCGCGTCCTGTAAATCCCTGCCTATGCTAGCATGGCCTTTCCACTGGGGTCATTGCTATTGTAAATCTTATCTAAGCTGCAGAACAGGGCCTTGATATTCGACTTTGTAACTCTAGCTATGATGTAACTTTTGGAACTGGAAAAGAAACTTTGTTATGAGTAGGTTTACTCTTGATTCAAGTGAGAAGTCTATCTACGGTCTAATGAAGACAACTCTTTGCAGTGACTGGGAAGACTCTAGTTTATTTCATTTCTAATTAGTTCTGGCATTAAGAAGTCTTGGATCTGGTGTCCTGATTCTAATAGACAGTCCCTCAGATGGTGGAAAGGTTTGAATTGGAAGACCACGGTTTGACAGAGAAGGCTATTGGGACTAAAATATTAGAAGACTCTCAGGTCTGAGAGAGAAGGTTTAGGGAGGACTAAACTTTAAAGGATACAATTGTTCTCTATAGACTCCAGAGAAAACCTTGTGTTGGAGAAGCGAGCAAATCCATCCCTGTACAGCCACACACGGAGTGGGTTGTACTGAAATACATCATACATACAGGTTATACAGCAACTTGTATTAGTTACGGGTAACAGTCCAGACATCATACATACAGGTTATACAGCAACTTGTATTAGTTATCGGTAACAGTCCAGACATCATACATACAGGTTATACAGCAACTTGTATTAGTTATCGGTAACAGTCCAGACATCATACATACAGGTTATACAGCAACTTGTAGTAGTTATCAGTAACAGTCCAGACATTCAGGGTTGGTGTGTCACTGTCCTCCTTTGTAGAGGTGTGACGATACAGAATTTTCACGATACGATAGGTACTGTGATATCTTGGAACGATACTATACGATTCGATGCATATCACGATATGCTATCTTTAGTTATTTTCTTTCAAAATGTATATTTATACTAAGGTGCCTAGAACATACACAAAAACGTCAAACAAAACCTTACCGAGGTGACCAGTACGTAGACACGGATGTCAAACTTGCGGCCCCCTATCAGGTATGGGTTCTCGATGTAGCGCTGCACAACATATGTCTCCGGACCATCTTTGCTGGCATCCGATATGGGCTGATATTCTGTACCCTGGAGGAAGATTATACCAAAGGGAACCTGAAGATTATTCTAATGTCAAGGTTATCACTTCTAACCTACCCCGCAGTGACAACTTCAAAGTGAGCTGAATTCTTTCTACTCTTTCCACAACTATATCCATCAGCACATTCAGTTTAACTGAAAACTCAAAACGTTGGAAGCTGTGGTGGCTTAGTGGGTTAGATGGCTGACCTTGTGTGCTGGTGATTAGGTGCCTGACTCTGAGGGTGTGGGTTCAAATCCCGGATGGGACTCAACCCAACAAAAGTACTAGAATCTGTAGTTTACTAAGAAAATGTAATCCCAAATATAACATATGCTACATTTAACCACTTTCTAAATCGCATTCTGTAATCATAAAAACTCGTTCTCCTCCAAAATTTCAGAAGATATCAATGGCAAGTTTTCTGTTGTTGCTCTCAGATGAGCAATGAATACAGCTCCTCCATGTTTTGTGTTTCTTCAGACAAATACTTTTAGAGAGATTCATAGCTATGTATTTGTAGCCGACACATATCAGTATTCTCAGTAATATTGACGGAGCATTTGCTACCATTTTGCTTCCCAGTAACTGGCATCTTACAATACAACAGTTTAACAGTTATCCTATGCTAGATTCCACAAACCTTTTTCCAGTCAGTGATGTCTTTGAGTCTCTTGAAGAGGAAGATTCCTTTCCCCTGTGACTTGGCAATGGGCTTCATGATCCAGATGGATCCGGGGTTACGTCGGAACTCATCCACAAAGATGTGGTACTCGGACTGGAATAGTAGCCACGTGATACATATTTGTGAATCAATATTGTTTTACGCTTTGATTACCATTATTCCAGACATATCATGACAAACATTCAAGCCTGGGCCAAGGTGTGGTGAGGTGAAATTGGGTTTAACGTCGTGCTTGAGAATATTTCGCTCATATGACGATGTGCATGCGTGTGTATGTGTATGTGCGGCTGCTTGTACTAGCCCAGACTTAAGCTGGTTTTATAGTGCTAGCCCACTGAGATACCATGCTGCAGTGAAGCATGAATACCCCACTCAGACACATTATACTGACTCTGAGCCGACTAGTCCTTGTTGTACCCATTAATGCCGAGCGCCAGGCAGGGACTAACAAGTACCATATGTTAACGTCTTTTGGTATGACGCGGTCGGGGATCGAACCCGCGACCTTCCGAACTCCGTTGCGGACGCTCTAACCACTACACCAATGAGGTGGTCTCCTGGGCCAAGGAAACTAATGGTCAGTAAGATGAGCAACCATCAAGATGTCCAAATATTTTGACACATAATCAGCCAATTATGATATGAAGATGACAGCTGCCATACATTTATATTGCTTGTTTGTTGTTTTATGCCACACTTAGGATTATTACAGCTTTGTGAACACCTTGATCACTCATGGCTCCAACTTTGTGTAAACCAAAGTCATGCTAAAACCTTCCTCACTCAAGTAGCTATTCTAATGACAAGCCTGTGTACTGGGGATTATTTCCCCCCAATTATACCCCTTGGGGTTACATGAATTAGAACTAGACACTAGGATCCTGATATGTCTAAGGGAGACAACTAGACGTATGGGGTTACATGAATTAGAACTACACACTAGGATCCTGATATGTCTAAGGGAGACAACTAGACGTATGGGGTTACATGAATTAGAACTACACACTAGGATCCTGATATGTCTAAGGGAGACAACTAGGCGTATGGGGTTACATGAATTAGAACTACACACTAGGATCCTGATATGTCTAAGGGAGACAACTAGACGTATGGGGTTACATGAATTAGAACTACACACTAGGATCTGGATATGTCTAAGGGAGACAACTAGGCGTATGGGGTTACATGAATTAGAACTACACACTAGGATCCTGGATATATGTCTAAGGGGAGACAACTAGGCGTTATGGGGTTACATGAATTAGAACTACACACTAGGATCTGGATATGTCTAAGGGAGACAACTAGACGTATGGGGTTACATGAATTAGAACTACACACTAGGATCTGGATATGTCTAAGGGAGACAACTAGACGTATGGGGTTACATGAATTAGAACTACACACTAGGATCTGGATATGTCTAAGGAGAGACAACTAGGCGATGGGGTTACATGAATTAGAACTACACACTAGGATCTGGATATGTCTAAGGAGACAACTAGGCGTATGGGGTTACATGAATTAGAACTAGACACTAGGATCTGGATATGTCTAAGGGAGACAACTAGGCGATGGGGTTACATGAATTAGAACTACACACTAGGATCTGGATATGTCTAAGGGAGACAACTAGGCGTATATGGGGTTACATGAATTAGAACTACACACTACCATCCTGGATCCTGATATGTCTAAGGGAGACAACTAGACGTATGGGGTTACATGAATTAGAACTACACACTAGGATCTGGATATGTCTAAGGGAGACAACTAGACGTATGGGGTTACATGAATTAGAACTACACACTAGATCTGGATATGTCTAGGAGACAACTCTGGGTTATAATTAGAACCACACACTGTCTAAGGGAGACAACTAGGCGTGTATGGGGTTACATGAATTAGAACTACACACTAGGATCTGGATATGTCTAAGGGAGACAACTAGGCGTATGGGGTTACATGAATTAGAACTACACACTAGGATCTGGATATGTCTAAGGGGAGACAACTAGGCGTGTGGGGTTACATGAATTAGAACTACACACTAGGATCTGGATATGTCTAAGGAGACAACTAGGCATATATGGGTTATACATGAATTAGAACTACACACTAGGATCTGGATATGTCTAAGGAGACAACTAGGGGGGTTAGACAACTAGGCATTATGGGGTTACATGAATTAGAACTACACACTAGGATCTGGATATGTCTAAGGGAGACAACTAGACGTATGGGGTTACATGAATTAGAACTACACACTAGGATCTGGATATGTCTAAGGGAGACAACTAGACGTATGGGGTTACATGAATTAGAACTACACACTAGGATCTGGATATGTCTAAGGGAGACAACTAGACGTATGGGGTTACATGAATTAGAACTACACACTAGGATCTGGATATGTCTAAGGGAGACAACTAGACGTATGGGGTTACATGAATTAGAACTACACACTAGGATCCTGATATGTCTAAGGGAGACAACTAGACGTATGGGGTTACATGAATTAGAACTAGACACTAGGATCCTGATATGTCTAAGGGAGACAACTAGACATATGGGGTTACATGAATCAGAACTAGACACTAGGATCCTGATATGTCTAAGGGAGACAACTAGACATATGGTGGAAAACACCCAGAGACCGGATTATTAATGAATCATATCACTTAAGCATGTTACAACAGGCTACTGATTGTTAGCAGAGAGTGATGGGTAGGTTTAACTCTAAGTTTAGTGGAGACATGAGGAAAGGTGTCAATGTTTGGTATCCAAGCTGAAAATTGAACATGAATCTATGGTGAAATGAAACAAAACAATCCAAGTAGTTCTCAAAAGAAAAGGAGTTCATCACAATGTCAAATATACCGGTACTGCTCTGATCTGAAATCAAGGGATCACCCACACTTACCGGTAGCTCATATGTAGTAGGGAAGAAATCACATCTAGCACAGATTAAGGAATGTATTGTACAGCTAAATTATGAATTATTGCTGAATAAAATCATAATAAATATCTCGAAATAATTTATGAAATTTAACATATGATAAATATACAATAAGTCAGCTAATCTGAGTGAGTGAGTGAGTGAGACTCTAAACTTTACAACTTTACAGCATAGAACTACATGTAAACTTGCAGCATCTTTGAGTGAGCTGACTGTAACTAAAGGATACTTCTGTGCCTCCAGTTTTCCTGATTCTCTCTCGATCTGCCTCCGCAGTCTCTTCAGGTTCTTCACCATCAGGTTCTTCCTTGTCAGCTATAACATCAGACATTGGGTCGTCAAGCTGCAGGTGTGTAGATTTGGTTTCAGATTTTAATGAGTGAGTGAGTTTAGTTTTACGCCACACTCAGCAATATTCCAGCTATATGGTGGCGGTCTGTAAATAATCCAGTCTGGACCACACAAACCAGTGGTCAACAGCATGAGCATTGATCTGCTCAATTGGAAACCGATGACATGTGTCAACCAAGTCAGCGAGCCTGACCACCCAATCCCGCCTCTTACGACAAGCATAGTCGCCTTTTGTGGCAAGCATGGGTTGCTGAAGACCTATTCTACCCCGGATCTTCACGGGTCCCCAGCTCTAAGAGAATATACCCGTGACCGTGACGCAACTCTGAACCACCAATACTATGAACCACCAAATATCCACAGCTGTCATTCTAGAAGACAGCTACTCATTTAGAAAGTAAGCAACGATATTTTACTAAAAGCCATAGCTGTTAAGACAGATTTTAAAACAGAATTAAGTTATCTTAACATTTTGCCCTTTGAGCACTGCTATTTGAGCCATCTAGCAGTTGCATGCACAAGTTTGTTGATGTGAAAAAGTGATTTAAAAAGAAAATTAAATACTTCTGATTTCTTTAATTTTCATTAAAATGGACTTGGCGATATATAACCCTTCAGCATGAAATGTATGAAGCTGTGTAATAATCAGAAAGTGAACATTTGAACATGTTAAGACTTTTTTTAAAAAGATGTTTGATGGTTCTAAGATTGAACAACAAAATCTAAAATAACTAAATATATAACAAATGTAACTAAACAGTTCAAAATTGCAATGCTTCTGATGGGACACATGTCAATCAAAAAGGCGACTACATCAATCATAATTTGGTTTCCCTTACTCTAGATAGCTGGATCGTCAGTTTACCATGACATTGTCACTTGATATTGTTGACATTGAACAAATTCTCTAGACTTGTAAATGTAAAAGTGTCCAAATTTTAGAGAGATTTGCTCCTATGGTATTTGAACCTTGGGATGGCCTAAATCTTGAATTTTTAACAGGGTTCATACAGCCAAGAGCCCATGAGATTCAAGGGCTTTTCAAGGGCTTTTCATGGACATATGATGTGTTTTCAAGCACCACTTTCTTTACCAAAGTATCGCAGACAAGTTTCACTTTCAGTTTCCAGCATTAACAACCATCTATCAGAACGCAGCACAAACGCCAGATTCACAGACAGAGCCCGTTTCTCTATTTTTATGATGTAAGGACCCAGGAAATAGACGCAATTTAATCAAAACAATCGATTGATCGTCAGTTGAACCACAATAAATATTTTAATGAAATTTCAATCACTTTTCAAGGACACGTCGAAAAATCCAGCACTTCATCTGTGTGAACCCTGTTTAAGTATTTGCACTATAACAAGGACCCATTGATTTTCATGCTTAATTTCAAACATTGGTTACCATGTGAAAATGTCTGATTCAGCAATCGTTTATTTTCAACAGAAATTCTTCAGAAATGGATTTTAAATTTGCAGTTTACATGATATACATTTTTTGAATTGGAAGAGTGGAATGTCACACAACTGTATGACTGGCTGACTTACATAACCACCTGAACGACACACTTTGATTTTCATATAGTATATGCTAATAGACCCTTTTACTTGGGAAATCCCTGGGAATTCCACAGCACATTGCAAATTGTGATGTTTGGACATTTTGATAGTCATTGTATAAAGGTTCATACTCCAGTGAACTCACACAAAATGAAAGTTAATTCTTCAATGAAACATGCAAGTCAACAAAGAAAGTCTACAACAATCTGAAATACAAAAGAAAATCCACTACAAGAAAACATAGCAACATGAACAGTTGTTTCCTGGACTGACCTCGTAGTGGTTTCGAAAGTGGTTAATTCTCATATGTTCGTCAAGGTAGGCGTGGTCAAACGTCTCCCTCATCCACCACACGTCACACCAGTAGATGTCCCACTCCGCATCACTGCAGATATCACACGATATCACACACAGCACAGTGAGAGCCAACTCCACCCTAACACATCTCAGATACTGACACTTGCTGAGACACAGCTAGCATGGATTAGGGAATAGTTGGAATGTTTTGATGTTTGATGAAGAAGATAATCCCCAAATTTCTGAGATCAACTTTTGCACCCCTTCAACTGAACTCTGTAAATATTGACAACCTCAAAGGTATTCTTTAAAATAGACACACATAAGAAGCTGTGGATCATTCCGGCAAGAGCACACTTAAGGAAGTTGTCAGAGACAGTCTTGCTACCATGTATTTTAAATAAATTTGTTTGTGATAGAAATGCACATTTTTTATAAAATAAACATGACAATTAGAGTGAGTGAGTATTGTTTTATGCTCTTTTTATTAACATTCCAGAAACGGTCTTCAGACATGGCACCCATGTGGAAAGTCAACCGCAGGTCTTGACAAGTGAACACTTTAACCACTAGGCTACCCTACCGCCCCCTTAGAGCTGTTCTTTATTGACTTGAACTGTAAAAAAACATCAACAACTAAGAATGAATGTAAATAATAAAGGCGTAGTTATTATATTGTTGTGGATATATTATACACCTGGCCATTCCAGAGTGTCATGTCATGTACACCTTATATGAGTACTATCCACAATATTTCTGGTCTGAATTAAATCATTCATAAGGTCGAAAAATTTAAGCAAGATGATATGTGATTGGCTCAAGAAAACAACCAACAGCAATGACAGCCAAAAAAAACTACTTACAGATTCAACCAATACTTTGGTGTTTAGATTGTGAAAGTATTGAGTTCATTCAACATTTGTCATCTTCAACACCTAATACCATTTTCTGCTGTCTCAACAAATGTCAGCAGGCGGGATGATTCTAAAACTACAACATCTGCACACTACAGACAAATATACACTCATTGTAACATTGCCTACTAGATGTACAACAAAGGAGAAGATGGATAATGGAACCTGTGTGCTCTCTGGGATTGTCCGGAAATGTAAACAAATCTTTAAAATATTGGTACTTAATATTATCAGATATCTTCAAATGATATAAAAACTATCAATTTTTCATTCTTAAGCCAAATTTTAGACCTCTGACATGATGAAATATGGCTTATATAAGTGAAAAGGGCCATTAAATCAATATTCATGGGAAAAACATATCTATAAGCATATTAGTTTGTTATCTTCATCTTCGCGAGACAATCAGCATTAAAGACACTGTCAAAGATTTAAAAATCCACCCTGAAAACTTGTAAAATAAGCCATTAACTGATAAGTATTGTAACAATCCAAAACATGTACATGTTGAAGCAATGAGTCTAATTCTCATTCATATGAAATATCTGATAACTTTGATCCCAATTTCTAAAAGGTTTGCTCATTTCCTAAATAAAGAAGATCCTGAGAGCAAAAAGGAGCCCTTATCATGCCTTTCCCTTTGCAAGCTGAAGAACCTGTCCCTGGTTTTACATACCAGTTTTCCATATCCCTATAAGGCTTAGATCAATTAATCAAGCTACATAATTTCTTGTCTAGAAAGAAGTAATTCACGAGAAATAAATTATTTGTATACAAATCTATCAATGGGTAGCAAAATGATAAAAACACCTGTTAATATTCTGTTAAGAGATTACAATCATTTTAAGAACATAATAACACAACAAAAGAAAAACAGAGTTGTCCATTAAATACACCACTTGAATTAGATTGCAATGTGCATCAAGCTTGAAAATATTAATCAATGTGTGGAAAAGTAGTCCTTGAATCAAGAACATTAGCATTTAAACAGTAAATTGTCTCCACAGCGGCAGATAATTGATCCCAGGCAGCTGATCCACAAAGGGTTCATAACGTTATGACCTATCGTAACTCTATAGTTTATCATAGGCTTATGAATGTCATAGTGCTCCAAATGCTCTGTGGATCGGAACCCAGGTCTGCTACATGAAAATTCCCAAATGGGAATTAAAAATGTCCAACTTCCAAATATAATAGTTCTACCTCATGTCATCGCTGTGTAAATGTTACTTGTGTGTGTTTCATCTCCCAGGCCGAAAGATGGAGAGATGCTTCAATGAACAGGGGTGGAAATAACTTTAAAATTGATAGTGTACTCCGGTACAGTGGCACATGTAAAAGCCCTTTTTCTGATAATTTTTCCACTATACCGGCCATTTTCTTGTTGATATTTTAAATAAACAACATAATTAACATTGGAAAGTCAACTGGACACCGGTATGTACAGTGTGATATACAAATTTTCTTGCCCAACAGAATAAAACACTGGACTCGGACGTCAGGCAATGGGTTATTTCCACTCCTGATGAATACTTTCACATTATTGCATTAAATACATGTCTGACTTTATAAGTTAAGAACTTAAAAATAAATTCTAATTTTGAAAAAATAATAACTTGTTTTTGTCCCAATTTTCTTTCCAAGTGTTTTTAGTTTGGAATATTGGACTACCAGCCAGAGTAATTAATATAATATGATTTAACCACCACCGTTCTAAAAAGAAAATTACTCAATTGTCCCAACTCCTGTAACCATGGTAACTAAACATCAATGAGAAGAATAAACCTGGAAGCCCAAGCCACACCAGCACTACTGTACAAGCAGTAAAATGTTTAGTGAATAGACCTCGTAATAGTTTCGGAAGTGTGAAACCCGGGAATTCTCTGGGAAGTAGAGACAGTCATAATGTTCTCTAGCCCATTCCTTGTCACACCACAGGAAGTCCCAGTCGCCATGGCTACTGCAACCATAGTTACCATGCATATCATCATCATCATCATACAATCCGGTCAATTCATTGCTTACAATCATTGATCTGAACATCAACAGGTTTGAACACTGAATAATATAATTTTCTATTTATAGAGGACCTGGGAGTATGAGTAAAGAGTGAATGTTGTTATGTTGTTTAAGATCACATATACTCTAGGGGGTACAAATGCATAACTTAGTTAAATCAACCTTTTTGACAACACTGCACAATTTTCTCCTGCGAACGAAATTTCAACAAATCAGAGGGGCTCGTCTCCATGACCTAATATGAGGTATTGATATGAAGGGCACTGTAGAATTCATGTACATTTCCGGGGGTAAATTATCTTGTTTACAGATTTGTCTAAACCTGAAATCATGACAATTGTTGTGAAAAATGAAAGCTACTGTCATTTAATCTTGTCACCTGCTTTGCCTAGCTTCCGAGTTACAACTTGTTTTCATAGACGATTCGGTCAAAATCGCTTGTTGTCATAACGGTTACCTGTTGGCTAGATCTGGCTTTTGTTCCACAGTTTACTCGGGTGTTAAAAATTTATATCAAGTAATTTAAATATGGTTAATTCAGTGAGTTGGCATTTTGATACAAAGCAGACTCTAACATGTCTGGAAGTAACTCAGACAGGGACAATCTGTCCATTCAATCTTCAATGAAGAAACAATCACTAGGCCTTATTTGTTCGAGCCAGATGCTAGTGATAGTGAAAACGATGATCAGCCTCGCTCATCACGATCGACTAGTATCTACATAGTGGTGAGTGGACGTTAACCACGTGAATGTAGCAAGAAAGTTATCGCACAATATTGTCACTTCGACCCCCACCTTGCTTCCGTGGAAGAAATCGTCATGTTACAAGTTGTGTCATGCAAAATCTTTTTGGTCATGATTCAAATACATATTTAACTACGAGTAGAAAGAAGTTTTGATTTTCTGACTTGATGAAAACAAACAATAATCTCATTTATTCTCGAACAGACTTTTGCTCGTGAAGTACGATTTTTTATTTTTTTTGTCACAGTCTGAGAAAAAATTCTATTTAGGTTTGTTTTCACCAATTTACAAAATCAAAACTACTTTCTACTCGTAGTTAAATATGTATTTGATTGATGGCCAATAGGATTTTGCATGACATAGCTTATAACATAACAATTTCTCTCTTGGAAGCAAGGTGGGTGTCAATATAACACTACTTACTTGTAATATTATTGTCACTTCGACCACAACCTCGCTTCCGAGGAAGAAATCGTTATATTACAAGTTGTGTCATGCAAAATCCTTTTGGTCATCAATCATATACATATTTTACTCAACTAGTAAGTAGTTTTGATTATTTTTACTCAATGAAAATGTCGAGAAATCAGCAAAATGACGAGCTTATTACACACTTATATACAACTGACTGAAAATCCTTCCTCACATGACGTCACTTCCGGTTCGCTGCAGTGCTCTGGCGACAGAATTACCTAAGCTCCTGTGGTTTCGTTGGCGTGGCGAGTGAAGAAGACGGCTTTTGGGCAATTTTTAATCGCTCGGTATTAATTAATGACAAGTTTTTTAAGAATGAATTTGGTGTTCCGCTGAACACTAACCACAAGTTTTATTCATTCTTTAAGGCTGCAGTCACACAAATATATAAGCAATGTCACATTGTAAACAATTAAGTCAGGACAGGGCAAACCCGTCTGACAGTATGAGCAAAATTACACATGCGGCCATATCACAGACATATATGGGTTGTATGACGTATTACAGGATAACATATGATAGCACATGCATATAATGTGGCACAAGCTATTACAGCTGGTCACAGTACTCACCCTGTAACCTCCTGCCATCCCGGTCTCGCACGCAGTACATCCAGTATCGTGTTCTGCAGGGAACACTTGAACCGAATCACACGGTCACTGCAATACGACATGATTAAAACAATTGGAAGTTAAAAAGTCACTGATTGGTGCCACAGTAAATGATGCCACCTGGAATGATGCCACTTTGAAAGATGCCACAGTTATAATTATTTCAGCCTAATATCACAGCTGTTTTGGTAATAACGCCTGGACCTAGCAAATAGATGTGTGACGATACAGAATTTTCACGACACGATACGTATACATAGCGATATCTTGGAACGATAAGATTCGATTTGATGCATATCATGATATGCTTTCTTTAGTTATTTTCTTCATAAAATCATATTTTAATAGCAAGAACTTTTGACATAACCGTCAATATCTAATGAAAATTAACAATTTTAAGGTCAACGGTACATATCCCGATACGTAAAAACGTATCGATATATTTATCATCAGATAAAGTATCACGATTATCGAAACTACGATATATCATCACAGCTCTACTAGCAAACTAGTCCTTGATAGCATGAGTATCAGCTTGAACACACTTTCTTGTGGCGACCAGTCTAAAATCTGACCACCCAATCCCCATATTAGTCCAACCTTACGATGAGTATAAGGCACTGGGTAGCTACTCTGACATGCATGGGAAATTTACAAGTATGAACACGTGAATTTACATATTGATTAGAGCTGTTATGATTAACTTGTGTATTCAATGATTTAAACCATATACCTTCATGAATTCATTTCATCATTCATAATGACAAGAATTGACTATTCTTGAACTTTTTAAAAATGGAGAGTTTTACTTGAATTTGATAGCTATTTATCTAGATACGTAACATTAAATATAATCAAGTCCACATTATCAAATTAATTTGACAGTATTGTAGCCACAGATCACTGTCATGATAAATCAACACTGTCAACATTAAGGCAAGAATTTTATGGATGTCAACTTCTTTATTGTGATGGAGTATATTCTTACTGCTTCATGCCTTTTTGTGTGTATCACTTCTACATGCCATTCAAAGACACTGTCAACATGGTCTAGACATGTCATAGAACGCAGGGGTGGAAATAACCCATTGCCCAACGTCCGAGTCCAGTGTTTTTTTCTGTCGGGCAAGCAAATTTGTATATCACACTGTACCGGTGTCCAGTTGACTTTCCAATGTTAATTATGTTGTTTATTTAAAAAATCAGCAAGAAAACGGTCGGTATAGTGGGAAAATTATCAGGGCAAGTGACTTTACATGTGCCACTGTACCGGAGTACACTATCAATTTTTAAGTTATTTCCACCCCTGAGAACGTATTTTGTTATTGTTTCACTGAATATGATAAATAATACATCATTAGTTGACTTGTTATTGCATTTGTTACCCAATATTCTCCCCAGAGTGAATATGTTGCAACCCTAATATCAATATTTTCACATTCAAATGAATGTTTCAATATTTGTGACTACTGCCAACTTCTGCAACAGATCTGTTTAACATCTGATATCTGACTGACTGAGTTTATTGCCGCTTTTAGCAATATTCCAGCAACATCACGGCGTGGGACACCTGAAATGTCTGATATCTACAAACATGGTAGAGGTCATGGCTAATGCCCTGTTGTTTTCACTCATCAAATAAACTCTGATCTTTATCTCTTTAAAGAATCAAAACATTATTTGTTGTGATGTCACTCACCCTGTGCTGCGACCTTTCACATTTGGACGGGGCATTTCTGAAATACGAAATCTTTCAAATTTATTTAAAAATCATCAAACTGACTTAATAAAATTGACCTGAACAAAAAAACAATAAAGATTGAATAATAGGTATAGGAATTATAGGTTGCCAAAGATAAAGTCAGTTAATTTTCCAACTTTAAACTTTTTAAGCCTCGGTAATCAAGATATTTAAATTGAAATAGAAGATGAAATTGTTTTCTGTTCTTGTACGTATCTCTTTATTTGCTGGTCTTATCATCGTTTATTTCTTTGCGTGAACTCTGAAAGCCTGTAACAGGGGCTATATTTGGAGTTACCATCCTTCTAATTCTATAAAAGATATATACTGATGTTATTAATAATACACAACACATTATTTTTCTCGTCTTTTACATAATGATCGTCTTTACAACAGTCCAACTGAAAACGTTTCACCAAGTCAATCCACACGACGTATTCAAAATTAATGTTTCAATCACAGCGTCAAATTGTATGAAAAACGTACCTATTGATATATCACATTTTCCAAAACAGTCTGTTGATTAGGTAATACAAAGTGGATTGACAGTCATATGTCTAAACATGTGGGTACACAACGGGCACCGACAGTTCAACATTTCGTTGTCAACAACGCCATTCTGGAGGATGCTAAAAAGGCTGGAGAGTTACTTAGGGGGAGGTAACTCTGATTTATCGCCGGTTAGGAGATCGCAAAGATGTTCAGGAATATTGTTTCCAAATATGTATACGCTGGAAATTTAATTCATAATTGCTTGAAGAATATACAGAATAGATCAGGTATACATATACTGATAGTAGTACCCTCCAATAAATGATGCATTTCCCAAACACTCTTACGTGAGTGAGTGAGTCAGTTAAGATTTACGCCGCTTTTAGCAACATTTCAGCAATTTCACGGCCGGGGACACCAGAAATGGGCTTTAAAACACTGTTAAGAAGAGAAAAGTAGATGCATATGTCGGCTTAGGAGTGCACATATGTTTGTTGACCTTGTGGTAGTGAATTATAAGGTAGACAGTAGCCAGGGTTAGTCTAGGCGTCAGTGTGCGAAACAGCTACTGGCCCGCAAGCCTGTGGCTAGTGAAAATCCAGTCGGGCCAGTAAATCTCCACAATCACTGGCCCGACTGGCTAGTGAATTTTCAGGGGGTTATTTTGTAAATATATCACTCTCTCCGACTTGTTAAGTTATAATACACTTTTAAATCATGCAATATTGTGGTCTGGTAAAAATGTTCATCATATTAGCAGCTTAATGATGGCTTATTTGAGCATAAACAAAATATTGCAGACATGTGTTTTCATATTTGTTTTTTGATTGTATTTTACCTTTTAATAATCTTTTGTTTAGTTTCTACATTCAAATGTCGGGCTAGTAACTTCAGGCATAGCTAGCCCAACTGGCCAGCAAAATTTGGAAACTATTTCGCACACTGCTAGGCGCTCAATGGCACCATCCACAATCACAAAGTAATGGCCTGTGTGCCGTTGTACAAAAGGTGAGGTGAGGTGAGGTGAGGTGAAATTGGGTTAAACGTCGTGCTTGAGAATATTTCGCTCATATGACGACGTGCATGCGAGTGTATGTGTATGTGCGCCTGCTTGTACTAGCCCAGACTGAAGCTTGTTTTATAGTGCTAGCCCACTCAGATACCATGCCGCAGTGAAGCATGAATACCCCACTCAGACATATTATACTGACTCCGAGCCGACCGGTCCTTGTTGTACCCATTAATGCCGAGCGGCAGGCAGGGACCAACAAGTACCAAATTTTAACGTCTTTTGGTATGACGCGGTCGGGGATCGAACCCGAGACCTTCCGCTCTCCGGGCGGACGCTCTAACCACTACACCACGTAGGCGGTTTTGTACAAAAGGATCTTATCGCTGTTGATAAGACATTTACTTATACTTATAGTATAGGACATTTCATAACCTTTGTCTGCAAATGAAAAAAGTTACTTAACAAACTATCATCATTTTGGTTTGATTTTTCCGTGTGAAATCTTACGAGGGTAAAGTAACAGTAGTACTGTTGCAGGAACAGCCTCAAAGGTGGGAAGCACGTGCAATTGAGACGTCACATCACGCATAGCCAATCGATTTATTGACACGATACATGAGACAATGAAATTCACCTCCGACATCTTGAAATTCCATTATTTTAAAAGTTTATGATGTTTTAAAGGCGAATGTGAAAGGGGTCGCCATAGATATGCCCTGGGTAGATTTGTTAAACGTACTGCGTGTGTAGTTGGGTTGTCTGAAAGACAATTGAAAACTTTATTGAGACAACGTGCATTCGAGTCTGTCACAACCGAGGGGGTCGTATCAAATTTCCAATTTTGAAAGTTGACAAACTTGACTGTTTTCAGAAGAGTTAGTGAAAATGCTATTAGAAGACTCCACAGCAAAAATACATTTCTTACCTTTTGTATTTTAGCAAGAAACCACATGGATATAAAACATTCCTTGACTATATCCGATTATCAATTATGGAAACTTTTACATAAATGTGGGTTTCGTTATAAAAGGGTAAGTGTGGAAAACAGGCGGGTGCTATGTGAAAGAGATGACATCGTGCGATTACCCAACACATACTTACGCACTATCAGACACAAGCTTCAAGAAGGATTAGAACCAGTGTTTTTGAATAAAACATGGATGAACGCCAGCCACACTGCAAGCACACAATGGGTGGATAGCTCTTCTACAGAACCATGTAACAGGAAACTGCTATTGGGCAAGGGTGGGCGGCTCATTGTGTTACATGCAGGTTGTAAACGTGTGGGGTTTATGCCTGGTTGTTTTCTCGTGTTCAAGGCGAAATCCAAAGACAACAGATATTACCACACTGAAATGAATGGGGAAGATGGTACCAGCACTTCCCGGGAAGTGTTTAATTGTTATGGACAACACACCATATCATAGCGTGCAGGATCCAGATGCAAAAGCACCAACATCCAACAACAGGAAAATTGTTTTTTTTCAGCATGACTAGAAAAACAAGATATTCTGTTTCCATCAAAAGCAACTAAACCTGTTTTGTATGACATGATAAAGCGCAAAAAAACAACACCACCAATCTGTAAGGTAGATCGATATCTCAAAGCACATGGCCATGAAACTTTACGTATACCGCCTTACCATTGCTATCTAAATCCCATAGAACTTAGGGCCGGTGGGGTAGCCTAGTGGTTAAAGCGTTGGCTCGTCAGGCCGAAGACCCGGGTTCGAATCCCCACATGGGTACAATGTGTGAAGGCCATTTCTGGTGTCCTCTGCCGTGATGTTGCTGGAATATTGCTAAAAGCGGCGTAAAACCAAACTCAGTCAGTCAACTTATCTGGGGTATCATAAAATCTGACGTGTATCGCAACAATACCACGTTCAAACTTTCGGACGTTCAAGACGAAGTACACAAAGCCATAAGTAAAATAACACCAGCAATCTGGTAAAACTGTGTACAGAAAGCTGAAAATGAAATAGAGAATCAGTACTGGATAAAAAAGTAGTTAGATTATGCCACCATTCAACCGGTCATCATAAGTGTACAATCTGAGAGAAGTAAAAGTGAATCAGGAATTTCCTCAAAGAGTTTTGATGCAACCCCTAAATGTTAATACCCTAAGCCGCACGTGCTTCCCACCCTTGTGGCTGTTCTTCCAACAGTACTACTGTTACTTTACCCTCGTCAAACTTCACACGGAAAATCAAAACAAAATGATGATAGTTTTTATAGTAACCTTTTTCTTCTGGAGACAAAGGTTATGAAACGGTAGTGGTGGTCCGATTAATTGAAATAATCGAAGATTGGTTGCAGTGACCAAACGACCAAGCAATCGATCACATTTTCTCATAATCGAACACAAATGATTTTGGAACTGCTGTTTTAGTCTTTGAAACACTTGACGATGGAACATATCATAGAAGTTGTCAGGGCCTGAAAACTTGTTTGATTCTTAGAAAACTCACTTCACTAACTGAAAAGTCATGACTGAATATTTCTTGAAGACTCCAGGAAGTTTATGTTCATGATATATTAGTCATCACTTTAGAGTATCAAGTTGCATCATGTATAAATATCTGCAGTAACAACCAGGGGCTAGATTTTCGAAGCTCTCTTAGCGCTAATATAGTCATAAGTTAATGTTAATGTATGGCTCTTACGACTATCTTAGCGCTAAGAGAGCTTCGAAAATCTAGGCCCTGGATAGGAAAATCTGAAAAATGACGCTCCATGATTGTTGGTTGGTAATGAAGCAATCATCAATTGTGAGATTTCAACCGATTCCCAACACTAGTATACAGTGATACTAAGGGAATCTAGTCACAGAGGATGTAAGGTGTTTGTACAGGAAATATGTAGCTGGAATCAGTCTTTCTCCACAGAGCTATCTTTGCTTCACAACTGTCCTAAATAGGCTTATGTTAAAGTATGCACTAAAATTGCCGAGAACTGAGCCCTAACTTGATTGAATGTGGTTTAATACTGCTTTGATTGTATTTCAGTTTTCATGGTTTACATCACTGCATGTCATTTTAAAAAGGGAGGACAGGTCGATGAAATCAACTGGTTGATTGTAACAAACCTAGAAATGTAATCAAGTAAGTCTGGGGTTCAATCTCAGAGGATAGGTTTGTGGCATGTATAAGGGAGGCAACCCTGCAGAGTAAATAGTGAGGCTTGATCTGACTGGGTCACTCATAGCCCAAGTCTGACATAAAACGTCCACAGGGCTTGATCACAGACAAGGGATCCCTGGTCAGGCTCACTGACTTGGCTGACACATCATATCCCAATTGCATAGATCCATGCTATTGGATGAGGGGATTCTCTGATCCAGACTCAATTATTTACAGACTGCCCCTGGAGTGAGTGAGTGAGTTTAGTTTTACGCTGCACTTAGCAATATTCCAGCTATATGGCGGCGGTCTGTAAATAAGCGAGTCTGGACCAGACAATCCAGTGATCAACAGCATGAGCATCGATCTGCGCAATTGGGAACCGATGACATGTGTCAACCAAGTCAGCGAGCCTGACCACCCAATCCCGTTAGTCACCTCTTACGACATACGACAAGCATAGTCGCCGTTTGTGGCAAGCATTGGTTGCTGAATACCTATTCTACCCCGGATCTCTATGGGTCACCGCCGCTGGAATATTGCTGAGTGTGAGTTGTCCAACAATAAACAAATCAAACCAAACCATCATCACAAACAACAAACAATAGCTGACTGGTTAACATAATCATTTATTGGTAACGGGTCTCCATGTATCACATGGGCTTCACTCAAACTTTGATTGGATATTTTAAATGAAGCATCAGTTCACATCACTGGGTGGCAAACAAAGCTATTCTATCTCAACATCTAATTCACATAATTCACACATGAAGTGGTAATGAAAATAGATTCTTAATGCTCATGAAAATATAGAATTTGCCCATGACATCTGCAGCACCACCAATTGAAACCCATCTCCCCTATTTCTCAAAATAGGATAAACCTGCTTCAAAGGAAAGACAGTTCACTTAACAGTTGTTGGGGGTGACAGGTAGTGCTGGTACAATATGGTGGGTGAAGCCAACAACAGCTAAAGTATTGATAAATTGCAAAGGGTGCAACATTGATAAGAATGTATATCTTAAATGTCCACACATGAAATAGAATATGTACAAGACATATCTTCTTCTGTACATACACATATCCACACTATCAAATCATAAATGCTTATTAGATTAAAAAATTGAAATTCAATAACCAAGAGCAAAGATTCATATTTAGAAATTTCAGTGACTTGGTTAAACAGAACCAGAAATTTTGTTCATAAAACTCATTTAACTCCCTTTTCAAACTTTATGATTTTCAATGAGAATATACCTCTACTAATCTACAGTGAAACCATTCTGTATATGTCAATTCTAAAGGCAGTGGTAGACTTTGCTTAGTCTATATAAGTATTAATCATATTAAATTGCACCCAAGATCCCATGCAGTTTAATATGGCATGTGGCTGCACCAATCAAATCTTACATATATGTCAGCCAATGAAGTCAAAGATATTATTCCACTATTCTTGTCACAATGAAATTCACTGGCTGAATAAGGTAGAGTAGTTGGGTTATCTCCCTTGTCACTACATCCTACAAATGTCTGAGATAAATCCATCTATATCCAACCATCTCACATGTTGTAACTCACAAGGTTGAATCATTTGTTCAATCTTGACAGCAATGACAATATTAAATACATTATATTACAATTTGTGCTGGGTCTATTTAACTTAGATGCTAGGATATTTTACAACATCTCTAATATAGTTCACATCAAACATGCGTAACTGATTTTCATCAAATAGTTAACGAATAGGTTCAGAACATAAAAGTCACACAATTCCCTTGAAAATACAGGATACAATGTACACGTCATATTCAAACTGGTACACCAATACATAACAAAGCAGAAACATAAGAATGATGATATTTGTTGTACTCAAAAGAAACTATCGGTACAAGCATGCATTGGAAATTACTCTAAGGCAGATGAAATGAAAACAATTGATTCTCTGGCAATGATTTTTTTTAAAACTAGAAGTGAGAAAAATGCATTACTTGTGTAAATGTCTAAATGTTGTAATTGTAGAAAAAATAACTGAAACGCCGTGATATGTGTGTTTGCCAAACAACAAAGGTCACTGTTCTTTCAGCCGCAATCTCTGATTTTTTTCCAGATCATCACTTTTTTTTTACCGGTAAGACTTTTCCAAAAATGATACGTGACACTTAATGAATCTCAACACTCAGGATAATTTGTTTTAGAACTAAGCCTTTTCATATCACAGAAGCAATATCAGATGTTCACAAAATGTTTTAAAGACCTGAAACGTTTTCTTTCTTCTTGACCGAGTGTTAAAACAATGTGGTTTAAATGTTTGCAAAAACATCAGTTATGTGGAAAATCTAATAACTAACAATCTAAAAAAAAATTTAAAAAATGACATGAGTACAATCAGGAGATATCAAACCAAAACACACACATAACTTAGGCATCATATTTCTGCAGATACAACACCTTGAATGAATATTAAATGAAATTATTATTTAAGTTGGCATCAAAAAGACACTATGTACAATCACTGGACTAATCACCTCGCCTTCATGTCACATGACTGTGTACACATCACATGACTTGTGCCAAAATGCTATGTATCATATCTGCTGTACCCATGCACTTGTCACTGACAATATCATACTGTACCTTAGGGGTGGGGCAAACGTTTGCACATCCTCTCCAGCAGATGTCTGCTGGTGACGGTGGTTTTATTTCAGGTGAGTGAGTGAGTATGGTTTGATGCTATTGGCAATATTCCTGCAATATAGTTGGGGACACCGCAGATCGATAGGCACATTGTACCTGTTGGGAATCAAACAGACCTTCAGTGTGACAAGCCAACACTTTAACCACTTGGCTTCCTAACAAAGCTCTTCACTTCAGGGATATTTTTCTTGAACAGTTTCAGTGAGTGAGTGAGTGAGTTTAGTTTTACGCCACACTCAGCAATATTCCAGCTATATGGCAGAGGTCTGTAAATAATCGAGTCTGGACCAGACAATCCAGTGATCAACAGCATGAGCATCGATCTGCGCAATTGTGAACAGTTTGAGAGGCATTCAGGAAGTTGTAAGCAATAGGAATGACAAGTGTTTATAGATGATCAACTTCTTTATTGTACATAGCGACGTTTTGGTATAGATATTTATACCATTATCAAGCATGAAAGTGGTATATGTATCTATACTGAAATGTCACTATTGTACAATAAAGAAGTTGATCATCCATAAACACTCTCATTCCTGATATTTTCCTTGTAGCAATCTGTAAGAGGCAGACTGGTAGTCAATAAAATGAAAAGTAAAAAAAGAATTGGATCTCTATTAGTTACCGCCATTTCATGAATTGGAAAGAAAGAAGATACCTTTATTCAGCTGGAAAAATGTAAACACTCAAAGATCACAACAGGTACAATAGTTATGAATACACAATGCCATTTAGAAAGTGGTCAAATGGACTAATAGTTTACTTTCAACAAATCAATAATGCAAAAAGAAAATGTTTATTTGTCTAATCTAGCAACACATATTTGTCATGTTGGTCGGCTTTAATTTTTTCATGTTAATCTTCTTTAATACTGTATTTTGAGTTAGTTCAGTTTGTTCACAATATTTGTTTATTTCACTATATGAATGAACTAAATATTTTATCTTGAGCAACATGGCATAACAGTGATGAGATAGCAAGGGTAACAATAATGTAGTGCTTTTGGCACTTATACCCTTTGTGCTATGGAAATACAGTAATATACATGGCCATATTATCATTAAAATAAATAGAGGTCTTAATTCACTGTTACACACATTTATCAAGGACCCTTGCAAATTGGGTCAAAGTCCTTACTTAGTTCAAAGTTTTGAATTTTTGGAAGTTCTTATTTCCTAAATTCTGAGGCATTTTAACATTGTTTTCAGAACAAAGATGTAAAAATAACCATTAACCCCTTCTATTTGTTACTTGTCATGTTAACAGTGCATGAAAAATTACCTTTACAAACCTATATTACTATTAATGATGGTTAACATAAACTGGGAATTTGAAATTCCAACTTGGGTATATTTAATGCCTTTTCCTGCAGATTATCTGTCTCTGACAAATATACATGTCTCTGAGCAGCTATAGATATATCCCTGCAGAATCGCCATACAGCTCAGTAATGGCACAAGCAAGTAAGCTGTACCATGAATGCTAAATACAAATCCACCCCTACCGGTAGCTCTACCTATTGCAAGTGGTAACAGAATGTTAGTGAAAAATAAACCCAAATGTGGCACTCAGACTCACTCACATGCAGTTAGATACAGTGTTCGTAGTGTCCCGGAGAGTCCACTAGCGTCACTTGAAGTCAGGTCATAAGGTGGGTTGTTTGTAGTGGTAAGACCACTCTCTGTACATTGAAGCGATACACATATTTCAGTAGCGACAGGCATTCTTAATCAGCCATGATCAGAAAACTATTCTTTCAACTCAGGCACCAAAGCATCCTTCACTGAAGCGGTTAATGGCAGTTTAATAAATTGACCATCTTACCGAAGTCACATCTTAAAATTAGACTCTGAGCATTGATCTGACAAACACACATGGCAGCGCTTTAGGGAAAAATTCCAAGAAGCCAATCTCAGGGATGGCAACAGGAAAAACTATTTTCAGCTGAAAACTTAATATAGTGTCATCGAATGGGGGTTTCAGGGGGATCAATTTGAAATCCACGGATCAGCTGAAAATTGACATCCCTGCAATCAGTATTAATGCTTCGACTTTCTCATGCAGCAAAAGAATTCCAAAATACATATTAGATTAATGAATCTAAAAAACATACAGGGGCAGTTCCAAATGGAAATAATAAAGGTATGTCATCATACTGAAGTGGATACTTCACACACCCTGTTGTTTCTAGCACTATGGCATCTACATCAAAAAAAGAGTAATACTTGAGAAATATTAGTTTTCTATGCCAGTATTTGATAATTCATAATCGAGGCGGTGATTTTAAAGATTTGTTTAAGAGAGCTGAAGTCTTATTGGCATAAGAACTCATGCACCATTCCCTTAGATTTGGTGGTCACAGTTTACAGGAGATTGCTAAAACTGACATATGACTTGGGTTTAATAAACATTAACCATTACAGATTATGTTAAGTTGATTGAAAACTTTACTTAGCAACAGTAATGCCAGTACCCTGAAGGTTGTTCTGTTTGTTTCAGAACTTATAAAAAACATTAACTTGGAGATTCTATTTCTAGAATGAAACAATGATAAAGAGTAGTTTCGTGGATGAGTTATCTCCCCCTAGCACACACATGTAATACTTAATGATATAAATCAACATAGTTGTCAAGAATGACAACAGGCAAATTTCATGATTGAAATTACATTGTATATTATGAAATTATTATGTTAGTATCAGCTGCTCAATCACGTCCATGAAATGCAAAGACAATCTTTGTTTTTTCTCCATCTTTGGAAACATGTTCAAAGCATCCCCAGATATTAATGCTGGCTGTGCTTACCAAGCAGAAGCATCAGTTCACAGAGTTCATAGGTCGTAAAGGTCTTCAATGGACCTAAAGGCTGAAGACGAGTTTCAGCAGCCCAGACAATTTGAAGTACGCCGGCTGATAAAATTAGCGTACGAGTTCCATTATCAAATGTTCACTCTGGATTTTCTGGAGTCCATAAGCACCTAAGGGACTAGCGTTAAATAATATCCAGAACAAGTTCTCCAATGTCAACAGTCACTTCGATATCAGCTCCATGCTGTCCAGATGCACGTGTTCAAGATGTCACAATTGTTATAGTTATAAGTCAGTTCGTCATACACACGGTAAACTTTCCATAATGCTAGATAAAAAGAGTAAAATATCTACAAGTGTGGTCTCACACAAAGTCGAGTTGAGAGAGATCACATTCACCAATGCAGGGCAGATGAAAACACTCCCCAAAAAGAGAATGAATTAGATTCGGTCTTTGACAAAATCTTGCGGCAATCGTTGGTCAAACAAACATGATCCATTGTCCAATGCCTGTAGTAGAGACAAACATCCAAACTGAATCTCTATGAAAGACGAATGTGTTTAAGAGAGGTCTGTGCGACGGTAGTAAAGCAGGTACGGCATTCTTGGTGCTATGTATTTGAGCACGCTGCCGACTTGGACTGGCTGTATACGTGCGTCGTCAATGTGCACCCAGCTGCTGATGCCTGGGTGAAACACGTCTGTTGTGTAGTGGCCGCCGGTGGAGTTCTTACCGTGGTGAAACACAACTGCAAGCAGAGACACAATGATGTAAATATGAGTGGTTGGTTGGTTTGTTGTTTAATGGTGCACTCAGCAATATTCCAGCTATATGGCAGCCGTCTGTAAATAATCATGTCTGGACCAGACAATCCAGTGAACAACAGCATGAGCATCGTTCTACGCAATTGTGATATGATGACATGTGTCAACCAGGTCAGCGAGCCTGACCACCCGATCCCGATAGTCAAGCCTCCTACGACAAGCTTGGGTTACTGAAGACCTATTCTAACCTGGATCTTCATGGGTAGTAAACATAAGTGAGTGAGTGAGTGAGTTTAGTTTTAGTTTTATCCCGCTTTTGCAATATTGCAATGGGCTTCACACATTGTACCAATGTGGGGAATCAAACCCGGTCTTTGGCGTGACGAGTCAACACTTTAACCACTAGGCTACCCCACCGACCCCCTCTTGGGAGAAAACTAATGAAAACATGGATGGCTTAATCAGGATTGACTTATCATTTATAAGATAGACAAAACAAATTATAACTGAAGAAATAAGGCTCCAACTGACCTGCAAACAGCTTGTAGGACCGATGTGTATGCTGGATCTTGGCCTTGGCTGTTGATGACAACAGATCTGTTGAAATACAAAATATAGGAGTGAGTGAGTCCTCCATTATCCTGCACCAAGTTGCCAGCTTTCAGAAGTGATGCCACTATCTCCATCTCTCCTTTGCACACAATTACTTATGAGTATAATCTGACTTGCAGTGATATGTTATTGAAGGGTCTGGGACATTCAGTATACCAGAATGTAGGCACTGTCCACTGGCAAATCAAAGATGGAATTTTGATAACATTTCAGTATATCAACATGATAAGTTAATGATATACAGGTATAGTTTCCAGCTTGGGAAACCTATAGCTGGAGAGTCATAATTGGAACAAATAGATTCAAATCCATGTCTGCAAAACAAGCTGTCAATGACTTTGAATGGATCAATCTGACCTTGTTTGTCAGTAGTTCAATGCTATGCTCATTAATATTCTGGTGATATGACAGCAGCTAGTAAATAATCAAACAACAATCCACACCATCGGGGTACGTTGACATGCCAAGAACCATGTGAATGTGTCTGATCACTCAGTCACCTTGTACAACAGGCATCGGTTGCTGGGAGCCATTTCCAAACCCTGAATATTTTACCTTTAGTGATGTTTAGGTCAACATCAAAGTCAATTTTCTTCAACAGCTTCTGACTCCCTCCTGCCTTGTCGAAGACAAAGCACTTAAGATGGAGGATGAGGATGGGCGGAAGTTCTTCCAGGCTGATCTTCTTCACCACCTCCACCTGGGGACACAAAGAGTCAGGTTGAACCCATTTAACATCCCCTTTAATGTAAGTCATGGCTGGCACACTGAACACTTCCCTTTAATGTAAGTCGTAATCACAACCTCCACCTGTGGGTATGAACACACTGAACAGACTGAACACCCCTTATAATTCAAGTCAGTATGCTGAACGCAGAGTATAATGGAAAATCAGTTGAACACACCAAAGACACATCTAATATGTGTCATGGTCTGACTGAACACCCCCTTTAATGGAAGTCATAGGCAGGCAGAGTAAACCTGACAACCTTTATAAGGTAGAACTTTCATAAGTGTTTAAAAAGGAAGAGAGATGAACAGATAGGAAGATAGAGAGAATGATGGAACATCTGAAACTGAAATGCAAGAAATGGACTGAGTGAGTGAGTGAGTTGGGTTTTATTCCAGCAATATCACTTAGGGGGACACCAGAAATGGGCTTCACACATTGTGCCCATGTGGGGAATCGAACCCAGGTACTCAGCGTGATGAGCGAACGCCTTAACCACTAGGCTACCCCACCGCCCCACGGAATTCAAGAAAGGAAGTAGGAGTTTGCAAGATGAAGAAGTAGAGATAGGTGGGTAGACACATACCTCCTGATTAGTCTTTGAGCACTGGTATCCCTGTACCGCCTCCTTGGTGACCAGTCCCTCCAGGGCGTCCCTCACGGTCCAGATCTTCTCATCCTGGATGTCCAGCTTCAGGGTGAAAAATGGCTCTAGTGTGGCTGACTCTTTGGACGCAGCCTTGTACACTGCAGAGCGGATGTGTCCCGCAAATATGTCAGCAATTGGAGTCTTGGCAAAGGCAGCCTACAGAAATAACAAGAAGTTCACAATGGCTCTATATACAAAATCAGTTAAAATTAATCTAAATCTGGTGAGAACATTCCTAAAACGACTTCCACTCAGTTACAGCGGTACACTACAGTATAGTACTAATTAGCTGTATCTCATTAGTTGGAGGTCTGGACCAACCAACCAACAGTTTCAACTGCCCTTGTATGTGAAGATATCGGTGTAGCTTTCAGTGGATTCTGTGTATAAATATAGGGGTGTAGGAAATTAGGTTTCACCCCATGTGTGAAGATAAGGCTGTTTTAATTGACCTTATATGTGGTTGGTTGGTTTGTTGTTTAACATCGCACTCAGGAATATTCCACCTATATGTCGGCACCTAATTGAGACTGGACAAGAAAATCCAGTGACCAACAGCATGAGCATCGATCTATGCACTTGGGATACGATGACATGTGTGAACCAAGTCAGTGAGCCTGCCCACCTGATCCCATTAGTTGCCTCTTACGACAGGAATGAAGACAGGAATGTTTCAGTTAGCAATATGTCTGAAGAATATATTTATCAACTGACCCCATGTCTGAGGATGGTGGTGTTTCCAAAGCACCCTGGGCATGATAGGGGTGAGGGGGACTAGGTTTTAACCACTATGTATTCGACGATGAGGTGGTTTCAAATGAGTGTGAGGATGGGGTTTGCTTCCACCACCCTGTGTATGATGACAGCGAAGTAAACTACGCTTCAACTCACCCTTCTTGTGAGGATGCTCTTCTTCTTCGGTCCAACTTGCTGCCAGGAGTCCTCCTCGTCCTCACTTCCTTCCTCATCATCCACGTAGCCATTCTCCTGCACATCCTCTGTCTCCCGTTCTACAAACACGCATACAGCCTCCAGTAAATATATTTCGGACCAGCCTTGAATGACCTGAAGCTCTTTTGCATTTACATGTCTTTACTTGACTAATTAGATAATTTCTTTGTTGTTTCATGCTAAGTCAGCAAAGCCTTGACACACACTCACATCAAAGGGAGGTAACTCACCCCCTCCACTGGCCAGGTTTATGGTAGCAGACATTTCCTCATGAAGTCCATCCAGGATACAGTTAAGAAACTCCTCTGCATCCTCCTGTTTTCCGAGCTGCAACAGGGAGAAACATTAGTCAGTTTGGCTTGGCGCAAGTCATGTCACATAAAGGGGAGATAACTCGCACTGTGACCTGCACCTGGCAGACAGTGCACAGCCAAGCTAAAGAACTGAAGCTTCACCCCAAATCCTGTATCAAGTTCAGGCAACCCAAGGGACAAGTAAGGCCTAAGTTTGAATTGTGGGTCTGCTGCAGAAAAGGGGAGATGATACAGATGGTAACCTGTGAAAAGTGCACCTTGAGAAGCATAGCTGAACAACTACCCCAAGAATCCTGTTTCAGACACAGGCAACACAAAGGACAAGTGATGTCATTCCTTGAATTATGGGTCTGCTGAAGCAAAGGGGAAATAACTCTGACTGGAGACCTATGAAGAGAGAACCTTGGAGAACCTGAACCTACCAATGAGCAAGTGAGTGAGTTTAGTTTTACACCACACTCAGCAATATTCCAGCTATATGGCGGCGGTATGTAAATAATCGAGTCTGGACCAGACAATCCAGTGGTCAACAACATGAGCATCGATCTACGCAATTGGGAACCGATGACATGTGTCAACCAAGTCAGCGAGTCTGACCACCCGATTTCATTAGTCGCCTCTTATGACAAGCATGGGTTACTGAAGATCAATATTCTAACCCGGATCTTCACGGGTGGAACCTACCAATGAACCCAGCTAACCAGTCATGTCATACCTTGAATGATGAGTTTGCTACATTAAAGGGGAGATAACACTGATGGCACCCTATGGAGAGAGCACCTTAAGAAGCAGAGCTTCACACACCCCAAGACTCAGGCTGTATCAGGCTCAGCAACCAAGCCAACCAATGTCTTACCTTGAATGATGGGTTAGCCTCTATAACCTGCAGCATCTGGTAGACATTGTTTGGCTCAAAAGGTGACCCTGGGATGAGTTCTGGAACCTTCTTTCCCCCACGGGCTGCAAATATAATCCATGTTAATAGTGATGAGGGTGTCGTGACACGCTATCAACCAGTTCACAGAGCCTGGACTGACTGACTGAGTTTGGTTTACGTCGCTTTTAGTAATACTCCAGCAACATCACGGCGGGGAACACCAGAAATGGGTCACAGAGCCTTGACCCGTTGCTTGTTTGCAGTATCAAAAATGGGTGACTGAGCATGGTTTAATGCCAATTTTAGCAGCATTCCAGCAATATCACACCTGGAGGAAACCAGGAAGGGGCTTTACACTTTGTACCCATATCGGGAATTAAACATGGTTCCTTGACATTACAAGGAAATGGTTTAACCAGTGGGCTACACCTCTACCCCTAGTACAACCAGGAAAACCTGGTATGCACAGTGACTGCATTGTGTTCTGTGAATGTGAGGCCACTCTTGCTGCTTATCTGAAAAGATATTTTTCAGCTTGTATTTTACCTGTACATTTACTCAGAATGACCATTGTTTTTTTAACCAATATATACTACTGACAGGAAGTGAAGAACACACGACACCTTCATGTTACTATAGTCAATCTGTCAGTTACACTACCTTGTGGACGTGTCCAAGGTGAAAACTTCTTGGAAAACGCAATTCTGAAAGCAACAAATTTAGCAACATTACACTTTGAGTTCCTGACAAACGATAAATAAATGGATTAAATAATCGTATCCAGAAATGTTGTAACATATCGATGTTATCATTGAGTTCAAATTAATGATTGACAGCATATGCAATGACATATGTTCATGTCCCACCCCACCCAATCCACAAATAACAACAAAAACCAACACTCAAGCCCTATTAACTTACAGTTCTAAACATTTGAGTGAGTGGGTGGGTGAGAGTGAGCGAAATTAACAATATTCCAGCAATATCACAGTGTGGAACACCAGAGATGTGCATCACATGTTACCCCGCAATCCTTCAACATTTGACTGACTGACTTTAGTATTACGCCGCTTTTAGCAATATTCCAGCAATATCACGGCAGGGGACACCAGAAATGGGCTTCACACATTGTGCCCATGTTGGGAATCGAACCCGGGTGTTCGGCATGACAAGCCAACGCTTTAACCACTAGGCTACCCCACCGACCCACATTTGAAAGGACATTTCTGAACATATAAGTTGAACATATAACCTATATTTCCAGTGAGTGAGTTTAGTTTTATGCCGCTTTTAGCAAAATATTCCAGCAATATCACACCAGAAATGGGCTTCACAGATTGTACCCCTGTGGGGAATCGAACCCAGGATGAGTGAACAACAAGGCTACCCTTGCATTTGTAATCTGTTAATACTTTTTTACCCTAGTGAAACATTTGAACACACCAACTGTGCCACAGCTGAAAAATCTCTTTCTACTCACAAGCTGTCAAGAATCGGAGTTGAACTGGGACCTCTGATCAGGGGAGAGAACTCACACAGCTTCCTCATCAGTTGGAAGAAGGGAGGGCATGCAACAAGTGCTTGTAGTGTCTGGGCAGGTTCAGGAAGTTGACAAACAGCAAGTGATCATGACAGTATCAAAAACTATCTTGAGTCACTAGACAAAAGGGTGAGTACTGCGGCCCATAAAACAGTGATGATAATGTAAGATATCTTGTTCAAACTAAAATCTTCGGTCTACTCTATTTGCACTACAGACCCATTTCATTTGACAAGATTCAAAACATTTTGATAGTTGTATTGATCAATTATTTTCTTATGCCTTTATGCCATGTGTAAAAAAATAAATCACTTATCATCTGGATTTTGCGACAGTAAGCAATATTCCAGCTACATCACAGTAAAATTATACATATTTATCCTATCCTCTAATACACTGTCTTCTAAATCAAGAGTGCAGTGTTGGGGAATCTTTGTACAGCATACTTCTATATTATGACCCGTGAAGATCCGGGTTACAATTGATCTTCAGCAACCCATGCTTGTCGCAAGATAATCGAGTGGTCTAGCTCGCTGACTTTGTCGACACGTCATTGTATCCCAAAAGCGCAGATCATGCTGTTGATCACTGGATTGTCTAATACAGACCTGATTATTTACAAAGTGCCACCACAGTGTGGGCTTAAATGACACAGAGTGAGTGAGTGAGTTTAGTTTTACGCCGCACCCAGCAATATTCCAGCTATATGGCGGCGGTCTGTAAATAATCGAGTCTGGACCAGACAATCCAGTGATCAACAGCATGAACATCGATCTGCGCAATTGGGAACCGATGACATGTGTCAACCAAGTCAGCGAGCCTGACCACCCGATCCCGTTAGTCGCCTCTTACGACAAGCATAGTCGCCTTTTATGGCAAGCACATGGGTTTCTGAAGACCTATTCTACCCCAGATCTTCACGGGTCTAAATGAAAACTTCATAGAAAACTTCTTTAGTATAATATGTGTGTTCTTAGTTTCACCCGACTCAGCAGTATTCAAGCTACATGACAGCATCCAGACAATCACTGAGTCTAGACCAGGACTACCGCGTGATTAATATAATCATGATAATGAACAACAATACATGTTTGGGTACAACGACACACCTTTGACTACATCACCAAGTCAACCGCCCTCCATTAGTTGCCTTTTATCAGCAGCATAGGTGGAATCCCCAAGAATATATTTTTTATAGATTGTTGCCAAGGATACAGCATTAATATAGCACCAGTTTCCTCGGTTGATGAGGCCTCGTGGTTGCAGTGCCACAGAGACGTGGTTTATTTTCAGTGTCTTCAACATGCCTGTAACATAAAAACATAATAACATCAATAACATTGCAACACTGTAACAAATATTCTTGAATGATCAGATAAGAGATTTTGTTGCTGCATTAGAATCTATCCATGAAATAAACAAAATATGATTATGAATAAACAATGCCATTTAGAAAGAGGTCGGAATGTAACATATGCTATATTTGGAATACAGTTCCTGATTAATGTACATATTCTAGTACACATTTAGGAAATGAATCATCTCAGCCACTGCAGCTTCAACAAAAATGGAAGTCTGACCACTGATAGACTACACCATATACTTTGAGCACCACTCAGACGAGTGGAAATTGCATAGCTTGCATACGGGACTCACTAAAACTCAAACTGGGTTGTATGTAATCATAAACTTTTCTCCCAAGTATGCTGAGACTGCAGATTGTGACCTCATCGTTTCAAAATAACGTCCAATGACGGGGAATCTACTGACCAAGTGTTGATCACAGGTCTTAATTGTTTGCTACTTGTTCTGACGCTGCTGAGCAGTAGTGAGTGAGTATGGTTTTACGCCGCTTTTAGCAATATTCCAGCAATATCACAGCCGGGGACACCAGAAATGGGCTTCACACATTGTACCCATGTGGGGAACGAACCCGGGTCTTCGGCGCGACAAGTGGACGCTTTAACCACTAGGCTACCCCGTCGCCCTTGCTGAGCAGTAAACAGTGGCCTAGACTTTATGAAATACCATTAAATGAGATTTGACTGAAAAACAATCAGAGCGTATTTTCTAATACATGATCACTTGTGATTGCTGAACTTGCTGGTTTCAGCCAATTATCCTTCTGTAACGAACATGGCTACAGGTTGTAAAATTGTTCACTTATGGTGCAGAGACTGCTGAGCTGTCAACAGTGACTTAAACTTTTAAAATAGCATCCAATGAGATCTGACTAAAAACCAATGAGTATATTTTCTGATATTAATAGAATCAACAGGCTAAAATGAAAATATGTTATCATTTAAGTTTCAATTCATGTTTATCCCATATATTTGGTCATTGTAACGCCACAGTTTGATGGCTGTCTGTACATAATTGAGTCTGGAGCAGACCAATCTAGTGTTTTGACATTATGAATATGAACATCGATCCACACAATTGGGATACAAGGACATTCAATTAACCAAATCAGTGAGTTTTGGGGGACCAAATCTACATCGTTTCCCCTTATAACAAGTGAGAATGAATAAGTAAGTGTTTTACATCATTTTGAGCCATATCACAACAGGCAATAAAAGAAATCAAACCCAGGCCTTTGGCATGATGAGCAAATGTTTTAACCACAACTTCTCATCCTTTTGACACTTACTGATACATATCACATACAAAGAATTCCTAATATGTGAGATATGAACCTGTTATCATGGTTATGGTCAAGCTGAAAGCCACTGTTCAACATCTTCACTGATAACCAATTAGATCTACAAGTAAGTGTCACTAGTTCTTCAACAATTTTACTACTTTTAAGACTAATAAGCTTGGAAAACTAGGAAAATCACTGTCAATTCTAGTAGCCTTAATTATGAACAATGACAAACTTAACATTCATAATTTGAGTTTGGCTAAGCAACTAGTGCTACTTTCCTCTCAACAACTGTTACAAGATACTAAATAGTTTACCTGGAGTCAGCCAAGTAGAATATTTGCAATGCCTCCTCTTTGGGCTCGGTCCCTCATGTGGTTTGCTCACATGGCGACGTTTTGTCCTGCGAATCCCTGGCATGGTGAGTTTTACTGAGACTGGTACTGGGTTATGATACTGACAGCGGTACGGTCATGCTTTATATACCAACTCTTCCATTGTTATTTAACTAGTTGTCCCCTCCCTAGTTGGCAGATTCAGCTGACATAGCAGTGTGACGTCACTGTTCATAAATACTCTCCAGTAATACAGGACTTACTAAAACTCAAACTGGTTTGTATATAACAGTAAACTTTTCTCCTATGTATGCTGAGACTGCAGATTGTGACCTCATCGTTTCAAAATAACGTCCAATGACGGGGTATCTACTGAACAAATGTTGATCACCAGATCTTAATTGTTTGCTATTTGTTCTGACGCTGCTGAGCAGTAAACAGTGCCCTAGACTTTATGAAATAGCATTAAATGAGATTTGACTGAACAACAATGAGAGCGTATTTTCTTATACGTGATCACTTGTGATTGCTGAACTTGCTGGTTTCAGCCAATTATCCTTCTGGAACGAACATGGCTACAGGTTGTAAAATTGTTCACTTATTGTGCGGAGACTGCTGAGCTGTCAACAGTGACTTAAACTTTTAAAATAACGTCCAATGAGATCTGACTAAAAACCAATGAGTATATTTTCTGATATTAATAGAATCAACAGGCTAAAATGAAAATATGTTATCAATTAAGTTTCAATTCATGTTTATCCCATATATTTGGTCATTGTAACGCCACAGTTTGATGGCTGTCTGTACATAATTGAGTCTGGAGCAGACAATCCAGTGTTTTGACATTATGAACATTGATCCACACAATTGGGATACAAGGACATTCAATTAACCAAATCAGTGAGTTTTGGGGGACCAAATCTACATCGTTTCCCCTTATAACAAGTGAGAATCAATAAGTAATTGTTTTATGCCATTTTGAGCCATATCACAACGGGCAATACAAGAAATCAAACCCAGGCCTTAGGCATGATGAGCAAATGTTTTAACCACAACTTCTCATCCTTTTGACACTTACTGATACATATCACATACAATGAATTCCTAATATGTGAGATATGAACCTGTTATCATGGTTATGGTCAAGCTGAAAGTCACTGCTCAGAATCTTCACTGATAACCAATTAGGTCTACAAGTAAGCGTCACTAATTCTTCAACAATTTTACTACTATCAGACCAATAAACTGTTACAAGATACTAAGTAGCTTCCATGGAGTCAGCCAAGTAGAATATTTGCAATGCCTCCTCTCAACAACTTTACAAGATACTAAATAGCTCGGTCCCTCATGTGAATATTTGCAATCACATGGCTCGGTCCCTCATGTGGTTTGTCACATGGCGGCGCTTTTGTCCTAAATCCCTGGCATGGTGAGTTTTACTGAGACTGGTACAGGGTTATGATACTGACAGCGGTACGGTCATGCTTTATATACCAACTCTTCCATTGTTATTTAACTAGTTGTCCCCTCCAGTTGGCAGATTCAGCTGACATAGCAGTGTGATGTCACTGTTCAAAAATACTCTCCAGTAATACAGGACTTACTAAAACTCAAACTTGTTTGTATATAACAGTAAACGTTTCTCCTATGTATGCTGAGACTGCAGATTGTGACCTCATCGTTTCAAAATATCGGCGAATGATGGGGGACATACTGAACCATTGTGGAACTTTCTGTATGTCGTAATTGTTTGCTATTTGTGCTGAGCTGTAAACAGTGACCTAGATGACTTACTAAATAGGATTAAAAGAGATTTGACTGAAAACTGACGAGAGTGTATATTCTGATACATGATCACTTGTGATTGCTGGGCAAGTCATTGATCTTTCTGGAACGAACATGGTTACAGGTTGTAAAATTGTTCACTTATTGTGCAGAGACTGCTGAGCTGTCAACAGTGACCTAAACTTTTAAAATAATGTCCAATGAGATTTGGCTGAAAATCAATGAGTATATTTTCTGATACATGATCACTTGTAATTGCTGAACTTGCCGATTTTCTTGCTGAAAAGTCAGCATACCAAAGGAGTGACCTCATCCATCCCTAAATAACATCATGTGACCTTGAAATGAGGTTGTGTACTGCAAACTGATTGGACTATAGCTGATCCTACGTCCCTATCCATGAGCTATATATTGTGCTGAGGTAAGTACTGGCCTCATCTTACCTAAATAACATCCAATCATCTTGAACAGATCTCAGTGTATAAACACTGATTGGACTATAGCTGATCCTACGTCCCTATCCATGAGCTATATATTGTGCTGAGGTAAGGACTGGCCTCATCTTACCTAAATAACATCCAATCACCTTGAACTGATCTTAGTATTCTAAACACTGACTGGACTATAACTGATTGTATGTTCTAGTATTTCTGCTAAACACAGTGCTGAGGTAAGAAATGACCTCATGTTTTCTAACAATAACATCCAATCGTATTGGAACTAATCTCAGTACACTGAACACTGACTGGACTATAACAGATCATATGTTCTGTTAATTTCTGCTGTATATCGTGCTGAGGTAAGAAATGACCTCATGTTTTCTAACAATAACATCCAATTGTCTTGGAACAATCTCAGTAAACTTAACACTGACTGGACTATAACAGATCATATGTTGTTTTATTTATGCTACACACTATGCCGAGGTAAGAGTGAGTGAATTTGATTTTACAATATTCCAGCAATATCATGGTGTGGTAAGAAAATACCACACCTTTGCCAAACAACATCTAATCATCCAGAATAACTAACATCTAATCATCCAGAAATACTACCCATGGTCTATAGTAAAACAAATCAGATGTTATTTTCTGGTCTATATTTTGTGCTGAGGTAAGGAAATGACTTCATCTTTCCCAAATATCATCCAACAGTATGGGCCTATGTCTACAAAAGGAGAACTGATTGGCTGACATGAATCGCTGGTCAACAACACTGAGTTGCTGTATATGCTGATATTGCATTTAGTGACCTCATCATACCAAATAGCCAAATACTTTCTTTGGGGGTACTAACAAGCTATGAACATTAATGAATAAGTCTAGGGTTCAAGCAAGAGGTTGTTGCTAGCCAGCTGATACTGCATTGACGATGACTGAGTTCAGTCAGCCAATGATCTTGTACTATTTTCTGTGTGACATCTACAGAGCCTCATGATTCATGAAATGGGCATTTGACTGGTACTGCATTCAGTACAGTGAAGGTAGGTAAGTACATGTACTTGCTCCAAAAATAGCTGAAGATTTGGATAAACTTATGCATGTGTAAACGATTATGTTCAGAAAAGGTAGTAAGTGCTGAGGATGAGAAAAAAGATCAACTAGCCTAATTTCAACACAAAATAGTCCCAATATTGGTTTACTAGCCAGTTTTGTAAAGATAATTTGCATGATTATTGTTGAAGAATAATGACAATTATTATGGATATACAACTTCTTTTATTCTGTGGAGGCGACGTTTCGACATAGGTTCTAATGTCGTTGTCAAGCAAGAGACCTATGTCGAAACGTTGCCTCCACAGAATAAAAGAAGTTGTATATCCATAATAACTGTCATTATTCTTCATCAACTCAACTTTTAAAATGCCCATCAAAGAAGTCATGATTATTGTTGTATATCATATTTACTGAATAACATTACTTTCATTATCAGATTTCAGATACAACCAGGAAATATGACTGACTGACTGACTGAGTGAGTTTGGTTTTACGCCGCTTTTAGCAATATTCCAGCAACATCACGGCGGGGGACAGACCAGAAATGGGCTTCACACATTGCACCCATGTGGGGATTCGAACCCGGGTCTTTGGCGTGACGAGCCAACGCTTTAACCATTAGGCTACCCCACCGCCCCTTCTGCCTATTGAACTAAGGTAGAGTATATTTCTAGACTTTAAACACATTTTATTCATTGTCAGTATTCAACATCTGCAATGTTGTCTTGACTGGAATTAATTCAGCTTTGAGTTTCTTTACAATGCAACAGTGCTCATCAGGCTTTTCCATAATGACTTCATGTTAAAAGTTTTTACAATCTAACATATACTTCCATACAGTTTCAAATTAACAACAAACTGTAACCATCTCTTCTTTTTGGAATTTTCCTCACCTAGCAGTTTCAAATACTATTTTTCACTAGTCACATGATTGCGATTATTGAGCTCTGGTGAGCAGTTATGGGAAGTTTTCACAGTGACAATGTAGACAGCATTCTTCAAAAGTCTAGTCTATACTAAAGGAGACAGAGTATTATTCTCAGAGCTAACAGAATATTTTAAGGACCGAAATGACTTTCTCCTGAAATTTGTTTCACATAAAGACCAGACTTTTACATTGTGATTCTATTTTTTAATAAACATAGATCACCTAAAAATACATAATGAATACCTCCCATGTTTCCATGACATGTCATAAAGAACTTTCAAAGTGCGAATGATTTTAAAAACTATTATGGTCCTACTTGATGGTGTAACTCTTTCTGAATACCCAAAAATCATGCTCGTTCTGCCCAATAAATATACAAAATTACAAGACATTCAGTTGACAACTACAGTATTCAACACCTACACCTGAAACAGGCTTGACAGATTGTATCCATGTAGGGAATCAAACCCAAGTCTGTAACCACTAGAAAAACTCCACTGCCCCAATCATCATACAATGGATAGTTAAAATGTCACAAAGTTCTCCTATTCCAAATAATTCAGTTCACAAATAATGAAAAGCTACTGGCAAACACTGCTTAGCATCTGCAGATATTCTTAAGTGAAATCTTTTAATGCCATAGTAAAAAATATTTGAGGTGTACAATCATACAGGACCAGAATGATCACGAGCATCAATACCATTTATTGGGGCGACGGCCTGCAATCAGCCAAGTCATTGAGTCCGATAACCCCATCCTTGTAATTATGACCCCATTCCACAAAACAGTTGTGGTGCAAAGATTACTGCAACTCCTATACTTTAAAATAGACTTGAGCTGATCATAGCACTAAGATTGTTTTGTTGAACAGGGCTGGCTGGCTGTCTGAGTATGGTTTTACGCCGTTTTTAGCAATATTCCAGCAATATCACGGCGGGGGACACCAGAAATGGGCTTCACAAGTTGTACCCATGTGGGGAATCGAACCTGGGCCTTCGTCGTGACGAGCGAACGCTTTAACCACTAGGCTACCCCACCGCCCCTTGTTGAACAGGGCTGTACTCTTAAGACATTTACAGTAATTACAATGAGTGAGTTGAGTTTTATGCCGCTCTTGGCAATATTCCAGCAATATCATAACAAGGGGCACCAGAAATGGGCTTCACACATTGTATCCATGTTGGGAATCGAACCTGGGTCTTCACTGTGACAAGCGACCACTTTAGTTTAAACACTGGGCTACCCCATCGCCCTGGACAATTAATTTACAGAGCACTGGAGATATATTCTTCCCCTGAATAACCTGACAGTCATGATACTGTAGTATTTTCTTACCTCCCAGCTGTACGGCAGCAGAATCCTCTGCCACTGGTACTGGCTGTTTAGTGGTTTCCTCCGCCTTCGTCTCCGGTGCTTGAGTTGGCTGTGGGCTCGGTTCCCGTTTGGTATCATCTACATACGTGACGATGGCTGAACTTCCTTTAAACAGCCCTGCCCAAGATTTGGGCTTGGGAGGGGAGGTGGGCTGTGGTACTGGGATGGAGTCCTGCTTTACTGGAAGATTTGGGTCATTTGGAACACTGGCATCAGGAGAAGCGTTGGTGTTAGTATCCTTGGTTGCACTACTGTTAACTGAAATATTTTCTACTTGCTGTCCTAGATTGTTGACAATGCTAGAAGTCCTGTCAGGAGGGCCACTGTTTTTACTGGACTGAGGGCTAAGAGTCTGATCTGGATTTGGACCATGTTCAGTTTGACTATGTTGAATCAGCTCGGTCGATGTTGACACTGGGACCTCAGACCCGGGATCACTGTACACAAAGTCAAACTCGGCTGGGGGACTCGACACTGCATCCCTTTTGGCTTGAGGAACATTTTCGGGGCTCACTTGAACAAGTTCATACACTTGGGAACTGACAACAGGACCATTGCACAGCACAGTTCCAGGAGGGGAGGTAACTATGTGGCCTCCTTCATTCTGAGTATAGATGGTCTCCATTGGCACTGGAACAGGCTGAGGATGGTATGGTGGCCCCAGGGCGATTCCATTGACGATGGGGGCCACAGGGTAGGGGTGACCACAGCTGGGACTGTGGGGACTGGGTACATGCCAGGATACTGTGGAACAAAGATCGGGGTGCCACGGATGGGAGGGACTGCATCCACAGGGATGTAGCCTGGCTGAATGTCAGCATCTACAACACAGAACAATATCATGCACTGGGTTACCCTTACACCAGACCAACTAGTGGGTTTCAAAGACTGAACAATGCAAGACAGTATAGTTTTACACACTGTTTTCAGCAATAATCCAGGAAAATCATGGCAGGGGACACCAGAAAAGGGCTTCACACATTGTACCCATGTGGGAAATCAAACCCCTGGCTGCAATTTAGGCATGGAGTAAGATGAAGGAATACAGTCCACATTTCTTTTGCCTGATTTCATTACAAACATTCAAAATATTAAAAGTGAGTAAGTGAGTTCAGTTTTACGCCACTCAGCAATATTCCAGCAATATGGCGGAGGTCTGTAAATAATCGAGTCAGACTAGACAATCCAGTGATCAACAGCATAAGCATCAATCTACACAATGGGGATACGATGACGTGTGAACCAAGTCAGAGAGTCTGACCACCCAATCCCCTTAGTCACTTCTTACAACTAGCATGGGTTACTGACGATCAATTCTAACCTGAATCTTCTTGGGTATTAAAAGTAGATTCAATATATCTGATTATGGTCTTTCACTTGGAAGGTCATGATAAAAACTTCAAATAATTCTCTCACAAAAAGCCCCAATAAAATGATTTCAAATAATAAGTTTTGACTTAAAGCGATGGTGTATCACTGTTTATGACCAGTAGTCTCAAGTCTAACACAAATATGTACATGAATGCTGCACTGATGAAACCCAACCACTTACACCCTAAATGTTCAGAATATTCTTGACCACATCCGTGGTGTAGTGGTTAGAGCATCCGCCCGGAGAGCGGAAGGTCGCGGGTTCGATCCCCGACCGCGTCACACCAAAAGACGTTAAAAAATGGTACTTGTTGGTCCCTGTCTGGCGCTCGGCATTAATAGGTACAAGGACTGGTCGGCTCGGAGTCAGTATAATGTGTCTGAGTGGGGTATTCATGCTTCACTGCGGCATGGTATCTCAGTGGGCTAGCACTGTAAAACCAGCTTTAAGTCTGGGCTAGTACAAGCAGCCGCACATACACATACACACGCATGCACGTCGTCATATGAGCGAAATATTCTCAAGCACGACGCTAAACCCAATTTCACCTCACCTCAGAATATTCTTAGCGTAATAGAAGTGTCAGCTGTACATAATTTGTGACAATTTTAATTCAAATCTTCAAATAGAGACACACAGGACTGTCAATGTACATTATTTGCAGTCATTTCTCAAGTAAAATATATAAAGGATGCAATATTTTGCTTTCAGGAGAATACTGAACTTTTGCATCTGCGCTCAAACATTCAAACAAGCACATGTTGCCTTACCTTCAGGAAAGTTTGGGTCGGGACCATTCCAAGGAAACTGAAGAAAAAACATGTCACTATCAAAATATTACATAGGGCAATGTGACCACAACTTCACACGACTATCATGGGACTGTAACTGCTTTGAGGGTCCAGAACATACTGATGTTGAAATATAACACGATTACAGCCTGTGCCAAAACTAGTCTGAATATGGATCTTAGCATTTTTTTCATGAGAGTTTAATGGCCTTCTTACAAGAATCTGTCTTACTGGTGATGAAAAATGAAGACAGTATACTCATTCAGTCATTATCTTTCATGTGCAGACTTTGTATTTGAAACTCTATGACATCCTTTTTTAAGCAATACATTTTACTTGTCTAAATTAAAAAATGTAAACAAAAAAACTCTCAACATTTCTGATGCTTACCAAAGCAGTTATCACAACTGTTTTGTTCATACTAAACAAGAATGAAGAGTTTTAGAACAGCCTGTCTTAGCTACTGACCTCTACCCTCTTGGCTCCATCAGCACCATGGAGAATCTTGTAGACTCTCTCAAACGTAGCATCATCAAGGCCACTGAAATCTCCAAAGCTTACACTCTGAAAGAACAAATGTAATTGTTGTAACACTGAATGAGTGAATGAGTGAGTAAGTTTGGTTTTGTGTCGCTTTAAACATGTTAAACAGTATTTCAGTTATAACAAAGTGAACATGATCATGTAGATGTGGGCAAACAAATGGACTCGACTCCCTAGCAATGTTGTGGGAAGGTATTTACACCTACGTGTTCCCGCCACCTGTACTTCTTCTGAGGACCTCACGGCAGATCGCCCAGACGAAGAACCTCAAACTGATTTTGGTGGCCTCCTACTGGCAGTCAAGAACATGGTTGCCTGACCTGATAAGACTAGACAGTTTGCGGCACGGAAGGGATTTTCAGTGACCAAGGCTACTCATCCCCAAGTGGCAGAATATTTATGTCCTCTGAGAGCGTCCAGACACCTAAAGGTTCAACGCTGGCTATTTATTTGGCAGCTATAAGTTCGGAAAACAGGGGTTGAAGTTTACCAAGGCTCCAGAACTCATCGCTCTGCTGAGATCCTTTAGATTAAAGACCAGCAGAAGTTTGAAGCGCCAGCATGGGACTTATACATAGTCCTTCAACATCTTACCAGCGACACTCCAGTAATATCAGTTTGGGAAAACCAGAAATGGGCTTCACAAATTGTACCCATGTAGGGAATCAAATCCACATCTTTGGCCTGACTGACTAGTGAAGGCCTTAACCACTAGGCTACTCCATCTCCTTGATGTAGGAGGAAAGCTTGAAGTGATGAAAGTTTCAGTTGGTTCTGCCACCAATCATAAGTGGAAAATCAGTATTGAACCCAAATCTCCCGATTAAATTGTGGCAATGTGTCATAAAGCAGTGACTGATCATGATATGATTGTGTACTTGTTCTGGTTTTTGGTGGTCCATTAACATGATTAAGTACTTGTGGTTAGGTGGAATAAGACTGACAAAAGAGAGTGAGTGAGTGAGTGGGTGAGTGGTTGAGTGAGTGAGTGAGTGAGTGAGGTTTTGTCGCTTTTAGCAATATTCCTGTAATATCACGACTGGAGACACCAGAAATGGTCTTCACACATTGCACCCATGTGAGGAATTGAACCTGAATCTTTGGTGTAATGAGCAAATGGTTTAACCACTAGGCTACCCTACTGCCCCAGATTCGAAAAATATATGAATCTAATGATTCTGTAAGACTATGTTTTAACATCAGGTTTACGACGAAGGTCACTGAATTTTGTGCCTAGTATTTGTACACATAATAATCAATCTCTCAATGGAAGTCAAAGTATATGTTCATTTGGATTTCAGTCCATGATCAGATGATCCTGGAAATATTGGTCTCCACAGCATACAACTGTACCAAGACCACTTGGACACCAAAGTTCTCAATGGGTGAGAAAAGGTACCAATCACGACAAAATAAAAGGCAAATTATCATGCATGTTGGCGCGTGTATAAAAGTCATGGTAGGTTAATGTGGTGGTGGAGGAATTGGGTTTAACGTCTCGCTTGAGAATATTTTGCTCATATGATGACGTGCATGCGTGTGTATGTGTATGTGGGGCTGCTTGTACTAGCCCAGACTGAAGCTGGTTTTATAGTGCTAGCCCACTGAGATACCATGCTGTGAACACCGAATACCCAGTGTCAGACACAAATTTGCTGACTCGATAGAAAAAAGCCTTGTTGTACCCATTTATGCTGAGCGCCAGGCAGGGACCATGGGTTACCATGTTTTAATGTCTTTTGGTATGGCTGTCAGTGATCAATAAAAGGCAAATTATCATGTATGTTGGCTCTAACCACTACACCATGGAGGCGGTCGGTAGGTTAATGGTTCTAGTAAATTGGATTGTTTATTTATCTTTAAAGTCACAGTGTTTGTCAAGGCAGCATGTAAATAATGGTGTCAGGCCGGGAAAGCCACATTTCAATTACATGGCTGTAGCCGGTAAAGCCACATTTCCAATAGATTAATTAATTAATGGATTACCGTAACCGGTAAAAGACTGTTCATACGCTAAACGCCAAAAGAAATGTTTCCCTCCTACCATCAATGAATTACTTACATACAAAAATATGTTAGAAGGTATTAGTTTACAAGAAAACTTAACAACACAGCTTTATGCAAATCACGAACCAAATTCTCAAACGCATTCATATTTAGGTGAACTGCATCTTTTCAGAAGAGTTAAATTGTCCTATTTTCGACCATGCCGAAATAGACCAATAACAGTGATTTAGATGTCCAAATGAAAGGTTGAAATAAAATTCTGCTTAAGACAGAGATAAACCATTTAAAGTCACCATTTTTCAATTATTAAAACAAGAAACAACTGTTGTAGAGTGTGTAAAATTGTAAAAGAATCATTCCTTTGAAGTCAGTCTTTTAAAACATTTTCGTCTGATGTGCATTAGTGAAAACAAGTACAACGTGTCTTTGATGTTGTGAAAAAATGTTTAGGAACATCGAGAATGATCTTTGTCAACAATGCTGTTGCCAATGCCCTCGGATGCCACCACATCACGGTTATAAGACCTATTCAACGCTACAGACAGACTGGGGTCACCGTAGATAGACCAAGAAGTGGACGTCCACGCATCACAATGTAGTAGAAAGTTTTCAAAAGATAAGTACACATGGCAACAAACTAAACTATTATCATGATTATTATGTTTTTCAGATTAAGATTTATATTTATTTTAATGTGATAATATTATATGTTATAATTGTATAGTATATTGTGCTAATTATAGAAATAAAACATGTCTTGGTTTGTTAAATTCAGTAACCTGTTTGAATTACTAAGCATGTTTTTACAGCATAGCCGGGAGACCCACATTCCATATTCACACAACCATAACTATTGCCGGGAGAGCCACATCAATTTTGGCTATCTGTTTCGGAAATGTGGCTCTCCCAGCCTGTAACCTATATAATCATGTTTGCATAAACCAGTGGTTGATATCTATCCCATGCCGTTATGGTGTGATAACATGAAAGGAACAAGGTCAGCAAGCAACGCAATAAAATTGACTATTTTCACTCTAATGGGCCTAGATCACTGATAAATTGATTGGTATGTTAGATTGAAATTATTCATATCAGCGAAATGCATTTTGGACAAGGAACTACTAATTACAGAACAGATATCTGTTATTAGCATATTTGATACTAATTTTGTATTCTTTTGGTTAACACTAATCACATAGTGATTTTGTTGTAATTTCACATGATTACGTTGTGTTGTCTCTCTGCCTTTTTTTATCAAGAACAACAAACAATACAGTGTGTCAGTGTTAGGCTGGCTATATTCTATGCAAGACTGTAGTTGAATGAGGAAAGATTACAATATATTGATGAACAACTTCTTTATTACAGTGAGGTGAGGTGAAATTGGGTTTAACGTCATGCTTGAGAATATTTCGCTCATATGACGACGTGCATGCGTGTGTATGTGTATGTGCGGCTGCTTGTACTAGCCCAGACTTAAGCTGGTTTTATAGTGCTAGCCCACTGAGATACCATGCTGCAGTGAAGCATGAATACCCCACTCAGACACATTATACCGACTCCGAGCCGACTAGTCCTTGTTGTACCCATTAATGCCGAGCGCCAGGCAGGGACTAACAAGTACCATATGTTAACGTCTTTTGGTATGACGCGGTCGGGGATTGAACCCGCGACCTTCCGCTCTCCGGACGGACGCTCTAACCACTACACCACGGAGGCGGTCTTTTATTACAGTGAGAGTGGTGTTAGAGGATACACCGAAACATCACCCACTGTAATAAAGTAGTTGATATTCCATATATTGTTATCCTTCCTTACTACTCCAACTTCAAAATGCCTCTCAAACAAGTTGTAGTTGAGTGAGTTGGTATTTTAGCAGCTTCCAGTTATATCATAGCTTCATGCAGGTGTCAGATGTTTACCAAATGGGACACTGATAATAAAAGTGATATGGTGCTGACAAACCTCAAAATATAATTGATGGGAACAGGATTTGAACCAACGGAAAGAGTTCCTTCCATTCCCCCAACCCTAAACCTAACTCTAAACCTAACCCTAAACCTAAGTTATGGACTTTTAGTCATTTTTGTGAGTTCTCTAGTAATTGTTGTGTTAAGTTTTGTTAATAATTTTAGCATATAGTAATTAATTTATAAATATTATTCGGGATGGGGGAACGGGAGGAACTCTTACCGAACCAACAATCATAGATTTCAGGTGTGACCAAGGAAGCACAGCAAATTGCGGCACCTTAATGGTCTTGAACACCAGTGTTGACTGTTCCTCAATGTATTTGGAATATAAACATGGGATCTCTTTTGACAGCTCAGTTGGAAGTATTGGAATACTTATTTGAGGAAATATGGTAACTTTGTAAGAGTGTGCTGGGGGCCTGCTCTAACCCATGAGTACATTGCTGTGGCCGGATGTTGTTTTGCTGTATCAATGCTACAAAATGAAGTGAGAATATCTGTTAAATATCTCATGCTACTTCTATCTGGCACAACTTCTCAGGAAAAAATTAAAAGGAAGTAATTACTTTGACTTGATACCACGTAAATGTACATGTGTGAAACATTGCAAGTTGTTTCGAAAATATGACCATATTTACGCATGGAAAGTGGGACAAAATGTTCATGTACACATTATAAAATAACAGTCTTAACGACTAACAGTATGGTACATGCCTACACCGTCTCTTAAAAAATATTGCACCATCTTGAGAAATAATGAAATTTACCTACTCACTTGAGACAATATATTTTCAAATCGTTCAAGCGAAACGTGGAACAGAAGTTTTGTACATGGAAATGAGCATTGTTAAGTGCAAATGTGTTAAGCATGAGCGTAAACATGTTTTCTTTCCTGTGTGAATTGGCCTAAGGTCAGGGGCATTGCATTGCAGTCCAGACAGACGACCCAAACTGGCTTCGACCCGAACGTGCCGGTACCTTCTCACTTCCATACACGTTGAGAACAATGTCATGGAGACGTGTAATCAGATGTCTAACAGATCATTCGTGTTGACGGTGTACGAATTGCATTGTTTACCTGATCTGATAACTCCATCTTGTTGAAAACATTTGCTCAATCATCCTATCAACTCATGCTTCGTCGCCATATTGGGGTCCTGTCACGCATGCGTCGGGGAGATAACTCTATCTGACTGTTCGTTCAACAAGCGCCATTAAAATATGTATTCAAAACAATCATGACGGAATGAAACCGTACTGAGGTGCGATTCATTTTCAAAAGAAACGTCTGATCATATGCATAATATTCTTATCAGCTTTGTTAGCCGAAATAAGACAACATTTGGGTAGCTCTTGATATTTATGTGGCGATAAAGTGAAATACCAATGAAATAGGCTGCCAGTGTAAAAACTATTTACCAATATTTATGTATCGTATATGTATTTTCCTCAGTTAAGGCTTTGGTCTCACCCAAAAATGCTTTGCTGTCACCAGAAGCAATATGAACACTAGATTTAATCAATACAGTTACTACATTAAATACCTAAATAATATTTTAGTTGTTACAGCTTTTTAGGTTTCTTGTCTAGGTCTATTTGGAGAAAAACATACTGTGTTTTGAGAGTGAAAAAAGAGGCTGAATTTGAAAGAGGTTTCAGTCGAATATGTAAACCCCTATTAACCAGGCAGAATCAAACATTCTTCAATGTCACGGTAGCGTTAAGATAGCATGGTCGAACAAAATTTGTTTTGACATATCACTTAATCTCCTTGATCTCTGTACATCCCAATCTTTAACTCCATCTCACTGGCCTCGTACGCACTATATATTTTGCTTGTAAATAATAAAGAAGTTGTAAATCCATACCATACGTTGTTACCATCCAACTTCTAAATGCCCACCAAGCATCTGATATAGCGTCAGTCCGAAAAGTCGGTATTTCTATCTCCGGCCACCATATGCGGTACTTTAATTTGGTCAAGGGCGTAGCCCGGCTTACACATGATTGTTGCTAAAAAGGCAGGACAAACCCTCAATACTATCTAAATATGAAGCTTTGCAACCTATCGGGCTTACACGAAAGAAACGGCTTGCTACGCGCCTGTTGGTCCTTGTTTACTCTGCCCGGTCCTCAAGGAACTAGGACTGGCTCTCTGGGAGTGTCTGTGTAGGGTATCCATTTCCAACTGCCGCATATCACAGTGGGGTAGCATTAGCAACCCGGCCTTAGTTCGGACTAGTGCCCCCAGCGCACATACATTGTAACTGCAATAATCTTGAACGCGAGTTTAAACCATATACGTCACCAGTATAAATGATCCGAAAGTAGCTATATTCAATTTAGCGAATATTATAATATCGATAACCTTGACACAATCTATTCCAAGTGATACTTCCGTGTATGAAAATAACAAACGATCCTACAGATAGAGGGTAGGACAAAATCCTACCCAGACAAAATCCATGTCTGCACACTGCGGACAAAATCCCAACAGTGTGAAAAATGACATACATATTGATCATAAGCACTATTAACATAACCTCATAGACCCACGACATTCTAATGCATTTTTCTTGAACATTCCCACCTAATACTACTCTTATTTGTAACCTTCTTAGTGTACAAAAATCCATCTAATGCTTTTTAACTCCTCTCTTATTGCTCTTCAGTACTTGCATTTTGGAACACTGATAAAAACTGTCATCAGACACATTTATACAATGTATCAATGCAGACAGTGGCCTCTGTTACGAAAACATGCTAATCGACTTATCTCACTGGCCTCTGTCATGAAAACATGCTAATTAAAACTGGTTTTAAAACTGGAAGGGTAGCAATAGCATATAAAAACCGGGATTTTGTCTTATATTGGTCATTTTGATGTGGGATTTTGTCCAAAGAAATTTTGTCCTATGGGATGTTATCTGGGTGGGATTTTGTCCGTCCCACTACAGGTAAAAACATACGGGTCACGAATGTAAATGTCATATATCTCCAGTGATTCATTATTGCAGGTTGCGCTGGGCACTGGCTATGGTTACTATGGTAACTATGGTTACATATTGAGGGTTGAGGTACATGTTGGGATAACCCTGACGTGTGTGTGTGTGTGTGTGTGTGTGTGTGTGTGTGTGTGTGTAATGAAGTTCCTCTACTTCCACCGCCCTAATTTCTCTGTATATAAAAAAGTAGGTACTTCATTTTTAATTTACGATTGAAAACATTGGGAAATATATCAATGTCAATCCATGTTATGAGAGTGCATCACATTTTGCACTTCCTTATGATCAAAGTTGTTTGTACAGTAATCGCTCCTGAAAAATAATTGGTATTTGACGTTAAATTTGCATGTGTGCGATTTTCAATAAAAAAACCCGGCTAGAAACAAACAATTGTGTGATGCAAGATGATTGTCAAAATGATGGTCTACAGTGATTTATCGACCTACTTGAAAACTGTCAAAATCAAGAATGTGCACGTGTATGGGGATACTATGTCGAGCACGTGCAGCCCATGCGTTGTGTGTAGGGGTGGTCATAAAGAGAAATGGTGTTGCGTTGATGAGATGTCTGTTTTACGCCGCTATACTATTCCTAATTGGCGGGGAACGTCAGGTTTTGAAGAGTTTATTTTAGACATTACTGTTGCCTTCGCGTCCATTGCAGGTGAGCTACAGAACCTGATTGTTTGGTCGAGACAATGAAGACAGAGTGTAGGTATTCAAAATGTTTTATATTCCAAATAAACACAATCAGTACATGTAAAGTAGAATGCACATTTGTAATGGATTCTATAAACATTGCCAGCACAACTTGTATTCAGTCTATTTTATTGTAGGTGAGAGTCAAGCGAATATATCCGGAAGACTTGGCTCATCCTTGATGTTCTCGAACGACACAGTGGAAAAGTCAGTTGGAAGTATGGCTTCGTGACTCACGGTAGACATCTGACTCGTTTCTGACATGAAGCTGATGGTAGAACAGTCGGACGGAGGGGCTGGCGGAGCGAGGGTGGGGAGCCGGAGAACTCCGGGATACTGGATGCCCTCACTCGTCTTCGGGGTCATAGGTGACACGGATTCATACTTTATGGGAAAGCAGGTGGAATCCGGTAGACTATTTGAACAAATTGTTGTCGTCTGTTGGCTGGGGAAGCTAAACGAGTCCGGCACAGTTGTCAAGTCGGCGAGGTAGTGCATGAACGGATCTGCGCTGTCGGGAGCTATATCAGGAGATGGGCTGTCCGTGACCCGAAGAGAGTGCTGTTCAGCTGTTAAAGACGTTGAAACTAACTCGTCGATCAGAGTTGCGTAGCTGAACAAATGTTGCGGGGAAGCTGATTCGCTAGTTCTCTGGTCTTCAAATGGCGTTCCGTATCGAGGTGAAGGACACAGGTTCCAAAGATTTTCCGCCGCTGCTGTAACGTCTGGGGACGTCGTGGTGTGGTAAAGGAGGGATGCAAATGGCGGGTATTTGCTCAGCGGGACATGAACTCCATCTGGTGTTTGTTCTCTCAGGTATCGGGTGTACTGAGCTTCTGTATAGGACAGACTGGGCGACGGTGTGTGTAGCGCAGCATCGGGATCTCGCGCTGAAGTCTCGTCTCGTGAATCTACACAATCATTGTCGTCTGTCGTCGGCTTTTTGGAACGTATCCGGAATACTTTCTTCGGAGGGGTGCGGGGAGGAGGAAGATGGATATCAGGGATGTTTAGCTGCTTTGTGAGGGTAGGTGCCCATAGGTCTTCCATTCCGTGAGGCACACGAGATCTCTTAAAAGCGTCAGCTGGCACGAGAGACAGGTCAACTGTCCAAAAACAACCATTGGAACTCTTCTTCTTGGTCTGTGTTCGACTGGACTTGTTGAAGCAGGGATTGTGGGAGAGATTGTGTCGGACCGAGTCCTTCCATCCCTTGTATTGACCTTGAAAGAAGGGGAACAAGGCCTCAAGGGCGTCCTGGATCCCAACTAGTGTCAGTCGCTTTTCCGATGTGGATTGGATGGCTGCAACCATCATGCCGAGGTATGTGTATGGGGGCTTGCCGTGGCGCTGGTATTTCACGTGGCGACGTTTTAAGGCAGGCATGGCGGAATCCGGGCGCTTCGACGACAGAACGTCGCCATCCGTTACATCTTCACGACATCGCTTCATTGACTGGCAGGGTCGATCACTGTCCATCCTGTGAATAACAAATGTCAGTTAATCAGTGTTTATTAATTCAAACTGTTAATTTCTACGATGTCAGCATCACTTTACATATCCTTTCTCCATATATATGTTGATCCATTCAACACGTTTCACATTTTCAATTTGAGAATATGCTCAGCCTCAGTTACGGCATCCCCACCGCCCTAAATCGCGCTAAAAAATCCACTGCCCTTATAGCATGTCGACATTTTACCCCCAGAACTGCCTACATTTGTGTTTTTGTTTCAAATCCATTGTAAATTCTTTCGAGATATCATTCACAATACCATATTACATTTCCAATCACCCAAAAGCTAAAGGAGTCGGTTTTGTGATTTTTAAACATTTTATTAAAAATTGAATTAAATTTTAAAAAATTCATCCGTTTCAGAGGTATGCATTGTGTTGTAGGTATATATGAAAAGGAATGCCAGGATTTGTATCTACCTCCATGGATGTTAGATACTGGCATCAATGACAAAGTTGGACAAATATAAAATAAAAATGATTTCGTACTTACATTGTATCTTTTTCTTGCTGTGATATCTAATAAGTTGACTCTATGACCTCCAGGAATACAATGACTGGCTCGTTGACTGATGTTGGCAGTAGTTCCACGTTGACCGTTATAAGCGACGTAGGTGTGAAATTGTGAATGGGCAAGTCTATTATCTTGCAAAAGTGGGTGGGGTGGGTGATAACATCGTCTGTTGAATTATTTTCTATTTTGAACTGTGCGTTTCACATTAAATCACATAGTTACTATAGCAGGTTTATATGTTTAAAAATGGTAGACGTGAAACTACTAAATGTGAACTTGCGATGCATTGTATCACAACAATAAACACATATTTTCCTATTCGACCCCCTTTTTCGAAGATGGACTCACCACGGTCACAGGCGCTTGCAGACAGAGCTCGGGTAAGCCAATTGTCTTCCGTCTAGACGGTGGGCATTAGGTAGTACGTGGTCGATGTAAGCGACAGACAATATGCGATGATTTAGAAAATAATAGCCCAATCATTTTAATCAAGCACTAAACTCAATCACGAATGTAATGGGAGATCAGCTTTGTGCTTGCGAACTTATGATTTTTTAAATATAAACTAAAACTTGGGTCTCCAAAACTTAAATCAAATGTATATTTTACATATTCGATAAGGACAAACTGTATGGATGAACAACTTCTACAAGAATCTGTATCAAAACATCGCATGATGCGACGTTTCGATACAAGAATCTGTATCGAAAAACATCGCATCATCATAAATGTGTATCATCGGAATAAAGAAGTTGTTCACCCATAAACATTGTCCTTATCTGATTCACCAACTTCTAAACATGACACTCTAAGAAATCTTACATATTTCCAGCCCGTATTGGGAACATACATTTTTTTAAAATATACATGCACGTCCTTGAAACATTATTGTTTTTTTCTAATTAATACAATATTCTTTTGAAATTTTCCAAAGTAAGAAAAAGAGATATTCTATGGCAATCCATGTATAATGTGTAGCATTGCCACTGTCAGTGAGTCGAGTGATATTCTGTAAAAAAAATAATCTAAATCGAAGGCGTATTGATGATGATTAAATATTCTCTTCAAATTAGTACTATATATAGCTTGAATGATGTATCATATCATGATGTTAATCATAGTGATCACACTTGCGTGCACCAAATATAGGAAAAAATATAGTGTTTGTAGGAAAAAATAGAACAACTTTTTTGTACTGTGCTCAAGTATGTCAGGTAACCTTTTGTCCAGAATTATATTATTACCAATCCAGTCCGGGAGCAATTCACGGAAATTATGTATGGTTATAAATGTATGTTTAACCGACCCCTTTTTCGAAGATGGACTTTCCTGTTTGAAAACAACAGCAACAACAACAACTTCAGCTATTTCAGACAAGTTCCTCGCACACATCGCCAATATACACTACGTGTAGGAGAGGCAGTCGTTTCGACTCGGCTGGGGCAAGTGATTGCCTTGACTGACGTAACACGCCGACAGTGAGGCGTTAACGTTGCGACAGGCGAGAACGAGCACCTGCAGCAGGAAGGGGGCAATACCCTAACGGTAAACACAACACAGGTTACTGGCGGTATACCTCCCGCCTTTGATGTGTGGGTAGCGCAGGAAGAAGGGCGGGGAGAGGAGCCGGGCAGTTTGACTGACTCTATATGCAGTTAAATATTTGAAAAATGCTAATGAGAAGAAACAACCAAACATACATATTTACTATGTAATAAAAACTACAAATTTACCTTAATCGCTGAGAATAATGAAAATATTAATGTAATATACACTTGGACAAAAATATGTAATCAAGCATCACAAACTACCTATTTCCACATAAAACAGCCATCGTATTTTTAATTTCAGAGTGATACTCAAATGACATGCATGCTCAGGTAAACAGAAATCGAAATCATATTTTTGAGTGCATGTTTTCACATCAAATATTACCCAATTCTTATTATCAGATATCTTAGAATCTTATATATCAAAATCATAGTTTATGTGCACATTGAGAAACATTTTCACATGTGTAAACATTACTTTATACTGTGAATCCTACCATGAGAAATCAAGCTACCACGCTACCAAGCTACAAATTTGCAGACTTTTAATGTAACAGACATTTAATAGACAGTCCGTGTTGCTCTTGTGGATATCAGATTGAAAACGCTCTACACTATTTTCTTACTTGGTTTAAACATATTTTTATTCATGAAAGAATCTGGTTTGGTAAACAAGCAAAGCTTTGCTTTTGTGAATACCTCACCAGTACAAATATAACAAACAGAACACACAAGAACTAGACAAAAAGATAGAATGAAGAAATAGTAAAATCGTAACATCGTATGTGCATTGAGAATTATAATTAACAACGCGCTTGCAGTTGCGTTTCATTACGTTTTGTTAAAATGATTGTTTTATTTATTATTTGGTTTAGACTGTTTTATCGAAACGTTTAGTCTTGCAAATGAATTGGTGGAGAGACTATAATATTCTTATTTTCTTTGCTGGTAGTTGGCGGTGTTCCGTATAACACAGTTTGGAGGCTGTGGCCATTTGCATAAAACTATGCATTATGAATCCAGGACAAAATCCACCCGGACAAAATCCACCCAAAAATTGCAACCTAGGACAAAATCCACCCGGACAAAATCCACCCCTAATAAATTCCACCCAAAGAAAAAAACCCTAATGACATGTTTAGTCACAGAAATGAATTTTATTCATATCAGTCATTCATAATCGATAACAAACACAACCAAAATACATATGTAAGCACATTTTTGCATAAATAAATATGACAATAGCACATTTTCACATTTAAGATTTATGAATTATTCATGCATATATAAATATGACAATAGCATATATTTCACACATAATGAAACATCATATTTCTTGTTATTATTCCTTATGAATCATTCATGCATCACATCTAGGAACAACAGCCAATTAGGAAAACGTAAATGCTATCAAAACAATGCTTTCAATGCTTGAGAAAACATCTTGATCAAAGATCAGGACACACTAAAACTTTTAACTACAGCAATTTGAGAAGGGTGGGGATTTTGTCCATTTTTCTGTTAAGAAGAGGTGGATTTTGTCCTGGGTGGAAATTTTGGGGTGGATTTTGTCCGGGTGGATTTTGTCCAGTTACCATGTCGATTACATATAATGGCAGTAAATAATTTGCATGCAAAGAGATAATGAATAACATTTTCATTGTGGTATCCACAAGCGCATTCAGCATTAGTTGATATATATCTGTTGACTTTATCCGCATTTAGATCACTGCAGCCGAGCTTGAGACGACTACCATAATTCAGGTCAAGATAAAAATTGGATTCATAATTTATTAACAGAGTTTTAAATTCATTGTATCAAATTTTATTAACTGGTAGCAATGGTTTTAAATATGTTTTTGTATCAGCACGAAAGCGTTTCGTCAAACCCGGTTTCCCCACATGGGTACAATGTGAAGCGGTCCCCGCCGCATGTTGGTATTTAAAAGCGGCGTAAAACTCAGTCAGTCAGTCAGTCATATGTTATTTTCTTACTTGCGGTAACTATACTCAGATAAGACTTAATATGTAATTTTACCCTTCTGGTTATAACCTGGTTCCATTTAGAGCGGAATTAAAGGACTTACTCACTGTGAAAACCCGAAAATAGTTGAATCCGTCCACGATTTTGTCATCAAAACACAAGCTTTAAGTTTTCACAGTGAATGATTATTTTAAATCAATAAAAATGTTCTCATGATTGATTTATATTTCTTTTAATAGCTTGTTAGACACACAAAACCGTAACTCTCTATTTATGTTCACTTAGAGAATAGGTGTATGTTGATGTAATATGCGGAGCATATATTATTCATATAACAGTCAATATCGATGACGATAAAGCTTGTTCACCAATCCCAATTCATTTTAATGAATAAAAATTCGTTTACACCACACAGATTTGGTGTGAGTGGCTTTTGATTTATATAAACGTAGTTTCTGTATTATGAGTGCAAACAAGGAAAAGTAATATTGGTGAGAATTCTATTATGTCCATTTCAAAGACGACAGGCTGGGAAACGTAAAACCATCCTGAAATATATCAAATAATTATAATTTTCACAGACACCACTGACTTCAAAATACTGAATTTATGTATTTCATTTGTGCAATTGTATATTATGTTTAGCACTATCTATATGTGTACTAACAAGCTGTTTCAACACATGCATTACATGAGCAAGTTTGGCTTTTTGACTGATGTAGATTACTTTGAAATAGAAATATGTTGAGACCAAATAGTAAACAAAAGAAAACGTTTGGAATTAATATTCAAACACAACATATATTTTCGATAAAAAATGAGATTCAACCATCAATACCGTTTAATAGTTTCACTTTTAGACTTTTAAAATATAAAATTGCATATGAGCTAGCTGATAAAAGTATGAGGTAAACAT